TCTGGTGTGTGTGTGTCTCAGCCCCAGGTGTCCTGGTGTGTGTGTCTCCGCCCCAGGTGTCCTGGTGTGTGTGTCTCAGCCCCAGGTGTTCTGGTGTGTGTGTGTCTCAGCCCCAGGTGTCCTGGTGTGTGTGTCTCCGCCCCAGGTGTTCTGGTGTGTGTGTGTCTCAGCTCCAGGTGTCCTGGTGTGTGCGTCTCAGCCCCAGGTGTCCTGGTGTGTGTGTGTCTCAGCCCCAGGTGTCCTGGTGTGTGTGTCTCAGCCCCAGGTGTTCTGGTGTGTGTGTGTCTCAGCCCCAGGTGTCCTGGTGTGTGTGTCTCAGCCCCAGGTGTCCTGGTGTGTGTGTGTCTCAGCCCCAGGTGTCCTGGTGTGTGTGTCTCAGCCCCAGGTGTTCTGGTGTGTGTGTGTCTCAGCCCCAGGTGTCCTGGTGTGTGTGTCTCAGCCCCAGGTGTCCTGGTGTGTGTGTCTCAGCCCCAGGTGTTCTGGTGTGTGTGTCTCAGCCCCAGGTGTCCTGGTGTGTGTGTCTCAGCCCCAGGTGTCCTGGTGTGTGTGTCTCAGCCCCAGGTGTCCTGGTGTGTGTGTCTCAGCCCCAGGTGTCCTGGTGTGTGTGTGTCTCAGCCCCAGGTGTCCTGGTGTGTATGTCTCAGCCCCAGGTGTCCTGGTGTGTGTGTGTCTCAGTCCCAGGTGTCCTGGTGTGTGTGTCTCAGCCCCAGGTGTCCTGGTGTGTGTGTCTCAGTCCCAGGTGTCCTGGTGTGTATGTGTCTCAGCCCCAGGTGTCCTGGTGTGTGTGTCTCAGCCCCAGGTGTCCTGGTGTGTGTGTCTCAGCCCCAGGTGTCCTGGTGTGTGTATGTCTCAGCCCCAGGTGTCCTGGTGTGTGTGTGTCTCAGCCCCAGGTGTCCTGGTGTGTGTGTCTCAGCCCCAGGTGTCCTGGTGTGTGTGTCTCAGTCCCAGGTGTCCTGGTGTGTATGTGTCTCAGCCCCAGGTGTCCTGGTGTGTGTGTGTCTCAGCTCCAGGTGTCCTGGTGTATGTGTCTCAGCCCCAGGTGTCCTGGTGTGTGTCTCAGCCCCAGGTGTCCTGGTGTGTGTGTCTCAGCCCCAGGTGTCCTGGTGTGTGTGTGTGTCTCAGCTCCAGGTGTCCTGGTGTGTGTGTCTCAGCTCCAGGTGTCCTGGTGTGTGTGTCTCAACCCCAGGTGTCCTGGTGTGTGTGTCTCAGCTCCAGGTGTCCTGGTGTGTGTGTCTCAGCCCCAGGTGTCCTGGTGTGTGTGTCTCAGCCCCAGGTGTCCTGGTGTGTCTCAGCCCCAGGTGTCCTGGTGTGTGTGTGTCTCAGCCCCAGGTGTCCTGGTGTGTGTCTCAGCCCCAGGTGTCCTGGTGTGTGTGTGTGTGTCTCAGCCCCAGGTGTCCTGGTGTGTGTGTCTCAGCCCCAGGTGTCCTGGTGTGTGTGTCTCAGCCCCAGGTGTCCTGGTGTGTGTGTGTCTCAGCCCCAGGTGTCCTGGTGTGTGTGTCTCAGCCCCAGGTGTCCTGGTGTGTGTGTGTCTCAGCCCCAGGTGTTCTGGTGTGTGTGTGTCTCAGCCCCAGGTGTCCTGGTGTGTGTGTCTCAGCCCCAGGTGTCCTGGTGTGTGTGTGTCTCAGCCCCAGGTGTCCTGGTGTGTGTGTCTCAGCCCCAGGTGTCCTGGTGTGTGTGTGTCTCAGCCCCAGGTGTCCTGGTGTGTGTGTCTCAGCCCCAGGTGTCCTGGTGTGTGTGTGTCTCAGCTCCAGGTGTCCTGGTGTGTGTGTCTCAGCCCCAGGTGTCCTGGTGTGCGTGTGTCTCAGCCCCAGGTGTCCTGGTGTGTGTGTCTCTCAGCCCCAGGTGTCCTGGTGTGTGTGTCTCAGCCCCAGGTGTCCTGGTGTGTGTGTCTCAGCCCCAGGTGTCCTGGTGTGTGTGTGTCTCAGCCCCAGGTGTCCTGGTGTGTGTGTCTCAGCCCCAGGTGTCCTGGTGTGTGTGTGTCTCAGCCCCAGGTGTTCTGGTGTGTGTGTGTGTGTGTGTGTGTGTGTGTGTGTGTGTGTGTGTGTGTGTGTGTGTGTGTGTGTGTGTGTGTGTGTGTGTGTGTGTGTCTCAGCCCCCAGGTTCTCACACCCGCGGTCCACGATCGACTCTAATGTTAAATTAAAAACTTTGTGTGCTTTTGTGGGATGAGGTGGTGTATCAGTGTGACTGTAGGGATGTTGTATTGAGAATGAGGGGGTGTAGGGATGTTGTAGTGAGGATGAGGGGGTGTAGGGATGTATTGAGGATGAGGGGGATGTAGGGATGTTGTATTGAGGATGAGGGGGATGTAGGGATGTTGTAGTGAGGATGAGGGGGTGTAGGGATGTTGTATTGAGGATGAGGGGGTGTAGGGATGTTGTATTGAGGATGAGGGGGATGTAGGGATGTTGTAGTGAGGATGAGGGGGATGTAGGGATGTTGTATTGAGGATGAGGGGGTGTAGGGATGTTGTATTGAGGATGAGGGGGATGTAGGGATGTTGTAGTGAGGATGAGGGGGTCTAGGGATGTTGTATTGAGGATGAGGGGGTGTAGGGATGTTGTAGTGAGGATGAGGGGGGGGGGGTGTAGGGCGTAAATGAGGTGGTATAGGTGTGTGGATGAGGTGGAATAGCAGTGTGAACAAATCATTCCAGTTAGACTCATGGGGCCAGATTCACGAAGCAGTTACGCAAGCACTTTCGAACCTGTACATCTTTTCTCAATCTTTGGCGGCTTTATTTATAATTATTAAACAGATAATGAGCTCGGAAGCACCAGGAGGCTGTTTATAACAATAACAACAGTTGATTGGCAAGTTTTCATGCTTGTAAACTACTTAATAAATGTAACCAAAGCCGTCAAAGATTGAGGAAAGATGTACACGTTCGTAAGTGCTTGCGTAACTGCTTCGTGAATCTGACCCCTGGTCAGTAAAGACAAGGAGGGCAGCCCCCTCGCATGATGCATCATACTCTGCACATTAATGTAGACAGATAGTGACTACATAAGATAGATGTGTGGCGAGGTGTGCCATAGTATGTTGTGTGCTAATATCTGTGTAAGTGTGTGAGTGTGTAGTCTTGCAGTCACAGCTTAATCTCTTTGTCACAAGTATACTTACTGAAATATCTCCTGTTTTTATAATAAATATCACGTGTTTAGTTTTGGGAAAGAAAAATATATGCAGAAAACTTTCATCTGGTCTATCGAGGAATCTGTAATGGAGGAACCTTCCTTTTGGAATCTGCCTCGTATGGGCCAATAGGCTTTCTGCAGTTACCTTTGTTCTTGTGTTCTTTGCTTACTCTTATCGACAGAACCTTTAATATAGATATTTCATAAATAATATCAACTCAGCTAATTTACGTATTCTGTCAAGGCTTTACCATGTGGGACTTGTAAATCATTATTAGTCTCACACGATGAAGTGCAGGGAAGACTGCTGAATATTGCCGGTGGTAGTATGGGATCTTCGACCATACTTACGGTCAAAGTTCACTTAGGTTGACTAGTTGTGAAATGTGGAGGGTAATGTCCGTGGAGTGTGAGAGTCCGCGTGCTTAATAATTTCCTTTTTGCTGTTCTTTCCAGTACATTTGTGATCTTTTATAAGTTATCTTGAGGTTATCTTGAGATGATTTCGGGGCTTAGCGTCCCCGCGGCCCAGTCCTTGACCAGGCCTCCTTTTTGTTACACACCCCCAAGACAAGAACAAGATTTTAATATGCTAATTTTGTTAAATTCTGTGATGTATCTATTATTTGGTACTGTTCACTCAACATTTTGTCAGTTTAACCACTAGTAAGTCAACCGACTGACTAGTTTAACAACTTATTTGTTCAGCCTGGAATCAGATCAACCTCGTGGACTTGTATGTAGCTTATTTATCGCAACAATAAGTCAGTATATCTACCCGGATAAGAGAAGAGCAGCTGTTTGACCATATAATCCTTCTGTCACAAGTCAGTTCAAACGTCTAATTAAGCAAATACAGTGGGCTGGCTATGGTCCAGTGCGGCCGGCCTGTACCTGTGCTCCGTACCTGTGCTTCGTACCTGTGCTCCGTACCTGCACTCCGTACCTGTGCTCCTTACCTGTGCTCCGTACCTGCACTCCGTACCTGTGCACTGTACCTACCCTCCGTACCTGTGCTCCGTACCCACACTCCGTACCTGCACTCCGTACCTGTGCTCCGTACCTGCACTCCGTACCTGTGCTCTGTACCAACCCTCAGTACCTGTGCTCCGTACCCGTACTCCATACCTGTGCTCCGTACCTACCCTCCGTACCCGCACTCCGTACCTGTGCTCCGTACCTAGCCTCCGTACCTGTACAGTATTGACAACTGCATGAGAATAACTACCAGATGGCGTGACTATCAATTCCGAGAGGGCTGAGCTGGTGTGTGAATATTGGGATGAAGGCTTTCCACCAGTAGTACAATGTTGTGTTATTAGTTATCTGGTCTTGAGAAATTATTGAAGCTGTGCGATGGGATCGAATTCCCATCTCTGAGCTCCTCAGGCACACGCACCACCGACTAGACCATGATGGGCTTATTAACAGTATCTGAATCTCTTATATGTGGCCATCATTGCCCTGTTGGTAATGCGTGTGTGTATGACGGGGTTCAGGGGTTCGATCCTATTATATGGCTTCAATAAGTGATCGTAGATACATTACGTTCTTGCGATATCCTCTTTAATAAATCTTTTGCTGTTGACCAAACCACACACTAAAAAATGAAGGTACTTCACTTTTATCCACCAATAAACCACAATATCCACCAAAAAATTCTCGGCAGCGCGAGACTGCCGAAACGACAACGTTTCGGTCCGTCCTCTACCATTCTCAAGTCGAAACGTCGTCGTCCCTTCACTTTCTAGTGTGTGGTTTGGTCAACATATTTCAGCCAGGTTATTATGACTCCTCGTCTGCCAATCTTTTGCTGTTAGTTAAGGTGCGCGTCGTCATTAATGTTGGTTTTCTCCCTTACAGCGTGGGCCTGCCGCCGGGCGCGTCCCCGCCGGTGTTCGAACAGATCTTCCGCAATGCTCGCTTCGCCCAAGGCGGTGACGCCATGTTCGAGGGGAAGGTCACGGGCAATCCCAAACCCACAGTCACCTGGACCCGCAAGGGTGCACAGATCGCCTCCGGTAATAAATACCAGGTGAGTATTGTGGGGCGCCGACCCCCCCCCCCCCCCCACACACACACACCCCACCCTGCCCCACCACCCTGTCCCACCAGCCTGTCCCACCAGCCTGTCCCACCACCCTGTCCCACCACCCTATCCCACCACCCTGCCCCATTACCCTGTCCCATCACCCTGTCCCACCATCCTGTCCCACCACCCTGCCCCATTACCCTGTCCCATCACCCTGTCCCACCATCCTGTCCCACCACCCTGTCCCATCACCCTGTCCCATCACCCTGTCCCATCACCCTGTCCCACTACCCTGTCCCACCAACCTGTCCCATCACCCTGTCCCATCACCCTGTCCCATCACCCTGTCCCACTACCCTGTCCCACCAACCTGTCCCACCACCCTGCCCCACCACCCTGTCCCATCACCCTATCCCACCACCCCCTTCCTCACATCCCAACTGCAGATCTCAAAGGGCTCTAGTGTATGGCCCTCTAGTAATCACCTCATTCCATCACTCATAATAATATATTTTTTACTATATCATATTAGTATTAAAGCTATACAAAACATTGCAAACTTTAATTAGTATTAACACAGAGACTTTACTCGAAATAAAGCTTCCGAGGATTTATTATAGATGTTAAAGCTAAGTAAAGATATCTGCAAAGATATTAACTGCAAGGAATTCAGTACCGCTGCATTGTTATTTATTTATTTATTTATTTATTTATTTATATATATACAAGAAGGTACATTGGGATTGTGAGGATACATGGCATAGTTGACCAGACCACACACTAGAAGTTGAAGGGACGACGACGTTTCGGTCTGTCCTGGACCATTCTCAAGTCGATTGTGAAATCGACAGCCCTCTCACAATCGACTTGAGAATGGTCCAGGACGGACCGAAACGTCGTCGTCCCTTCAACTTCTAGTGTGTGGTCTGGTCAACATACTTCAGCCACGTTATTGTGACTCATCGCCTGCACATGGCATAGTAATTACAATCTTGTAAAGTCACTAGTACGCGCAGCGTTTCGGGCAGAAACCATTATTTAATAATTGGTGGTTGAATGTGAGTGTTGATGTGGGTTGTGGTGGTCGCAGGTGACCCACAACGAAACGACAGGTGTAGTGACCTTACACATTACCGCCATCGGCCCCGGCGACGAGGGAGAGTACACCTGCACCGCCGCCAACCAGTACGGCGAGGCCATATGCACGGTTTACATCCAGCCCGAGGGTGAGTATACCTCTCACACCCCTCTAGTTTACGTCCAGCCCGAGGGTGAGTATACCTCTCACACCCCTCTAGTTTACGTCCAGCCCGAGGGTGAGTATACCTCTCACACCCCTCTAGTTTACGTCCAGCCCGAGGGTGAGTATACCTCTCACACCCCTCTAGTTTACGTCCAGCCCGAGGGTGAGTATACCTCTCACACCCCTCTAGTTTACGTCCAGCCCGAGGGTGAGTATACCTCTCACACCCCTCTAGTTTACGTCCAGCCCGAGGGTGAGTATACCTCTCACACCCCTCTAGTTTACGTCCAGCCCGAGGGTGAGTATACCTCTCACACCCCTCTAGTTTACGTCCAGCCCGAGGGTGAGTATACCTCGCACAACCCTCTAGTTTACGTCCAGCCCGAGGGTGAGTATACCTCGCACAACCCTCTAGTTTACGTCCAGCCCGAGGGTGAGTATACCTCTCACACCCTCTAGTTTACGTCCAGCCTGAGGGTGGGTATACTCCTCACACCCCCTATTGTCTAGGCCCAGCCCGAGGGTGAGTATACTTTCATTTCGTGAATCTTATTCTTAATCCAAAATTTATGCAAAGATAAAATGTTCAATATATATTTTGTGTGGTTTCACGAGTGTTAATAATAAGTTGGTTTTGCCAGCGGCCTTCATGATGCAGCAACAGCGCCAGCAGCAGCAGTCTATGTCACAACAAAGCAAGTCCATTATGCAGCAGCAACATATGTCGCAGCAATCATTTTCTCAGCAGCAGCAGCAGCAACATATGATGTCGGTGCAAAATGGACTCATGGAATCCTTCCGTGTGGACACCTTCGAGTACCGGCTGCTTCACGAGGTGGAGTTCCGTCAGTCGCTGACCACGCGGCTGGCGGGGGAGGTGGAGTTGGAGGTCGGAGCTATCCAGGGCCCTCCCCAGGCGCCTCAGCTCCAGCAGAAGCCCCGCTCCACCAAGGTCTCCGATGGAGGCAACGCCACTTTCACCGTCAGCGTCAGCGGCCACCCGTCGCCTAGGGTATGTCTAATCTGCGTTTACTGTAATCTGGTAACACTGTTAATGTTTTGCAATAAATATGAATCATACAAAATGCAACATAGTATCAATCGTGGGACTTACGTAGATCAAAGGAGATGGTTTGTTGACCACAGGACAAATTCACTGCAGTACCGCTGGCCTTATTAAAATACTACACAAAAACTAGCGCCAAGAAAACAAGGGTTTTGATACTAACGTGAATCCTATTTGTTTCAGGTTGTTTGGTTCAAGAACGGAATACGTCTTCAGGCCAGTGATAAGTACCTGATGACCCAGTCTGCCGGACAAGTAACCCTGGTGGTGAAGCAGGTGAACTCCATGGACAATGGCTTCTACACCATGCTGGCGGAGAACAACTCGGGCTGCACCGTCGCCTCCGCCCAGCTGGCCGTCGTGCCCCGGGGCGAGATCACTAATGGCGTCCCCGTTCCTGAGATCATCCGCCCCGATAGGATGTAAGTCGCTCTTGTGTTGATATCAAGCCGGATGCCGTGCTTCTGCTAAATGATTTATTCGTATAATAATGCACGGGAGTGGCCGGATATTGAGATTCTGATTTAATTAGTTGATGATTTGGCTAAACTTAAAAATATTCGCAAAAAACAAACATTCTGGTCAGCTTACTAGTTGGGAATCATCGAGGCGTCTGCCTAAATAATATAATTTGGTTGAGACAAAAATATTAATATCAATATTCAATGAAATTGAGAAAATATTAATTGTAGAAAACTTGAGAATTGCTTAAATTCTCACGGGGAAAGTTGGGAGATATGTTGGTTGTTGAGATGACGTTTGTGTGTGTGTGTTTATCAGGGAGCAGCAGCAGGCTCCCCACGAGGCGGTGGAACCAGACACGGGAGACGACACCAGCAAGTCGATGGAGCCCAAGTTTGTCCGCGGCCCCACCGACCGCGAAGTGCAGGAGGGCAGGATGGTGCGCTTCGATGCTCGCGTCTCTGGCAGACCTTATCCAGAGGTAAGGATAGACCCACACCTTATATAGACCTTATCCAGACATTATACAGAGATAATTACTCATTTTGAGCAATATATGCATGTTACTGTGGCTGAGTTACTTACTCAGTTTCATGTTTAATACTTATGAAAAATACGTAAAGCTCACCCGTGTCTGACAACGGCCATAATGATGTGGAACAGGTGGCGTGGTATATTAACGGCGTACTGGTAGTGGACGACGCCACCCACAAGGTGCTGGTGAACGAGGCGGGCAACCACTCCCTCATGATCAACAGGGCCTCCCTCAAGGACACCGGCGTCATCACCTGCGTCGCCAGGAACAAGACGGGAGAGGCCACATTCCAGGTACGTCCTGGCGTAAAACTTCCTTTGAGTCATGTCAAGCTATATCTGTAATGGTATCTTCTATTATAATCATATGATTTCATTATATTGGAAACGTTTCACTCGCTTCATGTTTAGCATAATCCAAGAGCTTTTAGGCTTCGCAAAATTTCAATTTTTCATCGTGAACACGTTCTTCATCGCTGTCTTCTCTTTACTCGTGTATATTTATAAAAACAACATGCAATGATGCATTAATTTGTGAAATAATAACCACTGTGAAGAAAAAACACAGCACAGGTCAATCCAATGTTGATGATTTACCATTGTTTCCGGTACAGTGTCAGCTGAACGTTCTGGAGATGCAGCAGATGGTGTCCCCCAAGTTCGTGGAGCGGTTCCAGCAGTGCTCGGTGTCTGAGGGGGAGACAGTGGTGCTCCAGTGCCGCGCCGTCGGCACCCCCACGCCTGTCCTCTCATGGCAGAAGGACGGCGTCTCCGTCGAGAATACACAAAATGTTATGGTAAATAACGAGTCAATTACCTGGGGTTGAATAAGTACGATCTCTCAGCCTCAGAAAGTAGTATAAATGACATTTCAGGGAGTCTTTTGGATCCTTTATATATATACGCGTATATTTGTAGTTATTGATTGCTTACTTGATCCACTCTTGATGATTAACGGTAATTGTGTGTTGTATTGTAGGTGCAGTACGACCAGAACGGAGCGTCGTGCTTGCAGATCCTGAGTGCTGGCGCCGCAGACGCCGGCTGGTATCAGTGCAACGCCCAGAACGCCGCCGGATCCACAGCAACCCGCGCCCGCCTGCACGTCAAGACCCCTGCGGCTCCAGCACCTTCAGCACCCTTCCGCCCTCACTTCCCCAAGCCTACTAAGATTATCGAACCCGAGTAAGATGACCTTCCTTTACTAATGATTTTTGAACTGAATATTCACAATTATTGTGTATAATACGATAATTCAATAACTGAATTACTGCTATTTTTACGTAAATGTTTAACAATTATTTTGTGGTGTAGGCCTGAACCCGAGCCCGAACTCATCATCCTGCGTCCCGTGGAGCGGGCTCACCACGTCCCCAAGGCCCCTGAGGAGGAGCAGACCGAACCCCCTAAGTTTACACATCCCCTGAGGGATATCGATATTGTCGAGGGTACTCGTGCCCATTTCGAAGCTAAGGTGATTCCCGTCGGTGATGCCACGATGAATATTGAATGGCTCATCGACGGGAGACCTATCTCTGCCAGTAAGTATTCAGTTCAGTGTATAGAACACAGATTTGAGCACCATAAACACAAGACTGAACACCATAAACACAAGATTGAGCACCATAAACACAAGACTGAACACCACAAACACAAGATTGAGCATCATAAACACAAGTCTGACACCATAAACACAAGACTGAACACCATAAACACAAGATTGAGCACCATAAACACAAGTCTGACACCATAAACACACGACTGAACACCATAAACACAAGACTGAGCACCATAAACACAAACTACTGGGCTTCTCCAACATTTCATTATCCTGAATATAACTAGTCATTTACTCTTTAAAAACATCTGCAGACAGCAGTCCTGTAAATGCTTCTTTATTAATTGAGGGTTCTTAGAAAATCTTAATCATTTCCTTCCATCAGGTTCCCGTGCAACTGTGACTTACCGTTTCGGCTTCGTAGCCCTGGATATCCTTAATGTTATCAACGCGGACGCCGGCGTCTACACCTGCCGCGCCACCAACGTCAAGGGCCAGGCCGAAACCTCTGCCAACCTTCGGGTAACAGGTAAGTTCACTATATGCTCAGTGATTTACTCAGGTAAGTTCATTATGTGCTCAGTGACTTACTCGGGTAAGTTCACTATATGCTCAGTGACCGGGTAAGTTCACTATGTGCTCAGTGACTTACTCGGGTAAGTTCACTATATGCTCAGTGACTTACTCGGGTAAGTTCACTATGTGCTCAGTGACTTACTCGGGTAAGTTCACTATATGTTCAGTGTTTTACTTGGATAAGTTCACTATATGCTCAGTGTTTTACTTGGATAAGTTCACTATATGCTCAGTGATTTACTCGGATAAGTTCACTATATGCTCAGTGATTTACTCGGATAAGTTCACTATATGCTCAGTGATTTACTTGGGTAAACATATGCTCAATGTTTTCAAATGAGAAACTTTTAAACATTTGTAGTGTTCAATTCTATTTTTGTAAACTGTTGTTAAAATATATCCGTTTAAGTTCTCAAATACAGTGTGTAATGGTTAATGGCCAAAGCGGAATCATTTAGCATTAAATATTTGTATTATTTGATTGATTGATGAAGATTAAGCCACTCAAGAGGTGGCACGGGCATGAGTATCCCGTAATTGTATTATTTCCTATGAGCTGGTATATATTCGAGGGTCCTGGTATTACAGTCGGGTTCGTTCTCGACCCCACAGTTGAGAATTCCGGGTTCGAATCCCGGGCGGGACAGAAATGGTTGGGCACATTTCATTTCACCTAATGCCGCTGTTCACCTAGCAGTTTGTAGGTACTCAGGAGTTAGTCAGTTTGTTGTGGGGTTGCATCCTGGGCGGAGTCAATAATTCAACCTTGGGAGGGGGGAGGGCATTGATAAAAGCCAAAACGTGTATGAATACACACTGGCTTCCTGTCCCCCGACACAATGAATTATATACTTAGCTTAATATGACCTGCAGAGCGGCCATTGATTGAGAGCCAGACTCAGCATCCGGAGGCTCTGGAGCAAATCGGCTACTTGGAGGACCACGCTCGCTACCAGCGCACCGTCTCCGTCGACGAGACCTCCAATATCAAGCCCAGCTTCATCAAGCCACTCACCAACCTGGGAGAGGTCTTGGAGGGCAAGTATGCCCACTTCGAGGCCCAGCTGCAACCCGTCAGCGACCCCTTCATGAGAATCGAGTGGTTCAAGGATGGCAAACACATTACTGCTAGTGAGTATACAAACTTAACATTGTACTTGTTAAAGATATTCAGCATTGAAAACTTATTATTACACGAAATAAAGGAGTTAAACTCAGTTTAAAATTGCACTAAATATAAACCAATTGCATTGATCTAATGTGACAGTGGAAACTGTCAAGATTTTTTTCTGAAACAATCATATATTCTGAAGATGAGAGAATGTTTCCGAAGTTTGACCTTCATTTTTAAAAAGGGTTATTTGAGCCATGTTAAGCATCTAGAGCTTGAGAGTAATGGAGCCGTGACTATGCCCCTACAGGTTCCAGAATCAACGTCATCTACAACTTCGGCTACGTAGCGCTCAACATCATGCAGCTACGAGAGGAGGACAGCGGCACCTACACCGTCCGCGCCACCAACAGGGCTGGCGAGTGCTCCTGCCAAGCCTCCATCAAGGTCATCAGTAAGTAGCTTAGTCTTCTTCGGCCTTTCTGAAGACGCTGTGCAAGATGCCTTGCTGTCACACATTAACTCAGACATGCAATAAGTAAACAAACAGTTGTTAATACATTCTAGGGCATTTATTTCACTCTCCAAAATTCTTAATACTCGTTATTACATTTTCTGAGTTAAATGTCATTGTAAAGAAATTCGTTAGCTTGAATTTAATTAAAAATAAAATCCATATAAATGAAAAGAAAAAGCAATTTATTTGTATGAATATAAAAAAAACGATATTAATACTTGACGTTTGTGCAGGTCTGGTGAGCGTGACGGGAGACCTGGGCATCCCAGAGCAGGCCCAGCACATCAGGAGTGTCGAGGAGATGGAGGCCTACAGGTAACAATACTGCTGCTCCGTTTTGTCTCTTCACCATGATCTCTTCAGCTGAATCATCATTATTATTTAGAAATGATAATTTCCATATTAAATAAACCTAAAACCCTCTATTGGTGGGGACCTAAAAAATCCTCTATAATACCTTTTCTGCCCTTTTATCCAAGGGTATCACACACATATCTTGAATACACTCAAATTAAAGCAAAATTGTGAACCGTTTCATCTTTTAATTGGGAATTATTTATCAGGTTGCAGATGCTTCAGAAATCTGCAACAGACATTGCAGAGGCATCTACAGCCCCAGTGTTCAAGACACAGCTCAAGGACTCGACGGCCCGGGAGGGAGCCTATGCTCACTTCGAGGCCCGCCTGGAGCCCGTTGGAGACCCCACGCTTAAAGTGGAGTGGCTGAAGGACGGTCGCCCCATGGAAGCTAGTCAGTATTTATGTTCACTTGGTTGGAGTTTGTAACTATGAAACCCCTATATTGAAGATATTACAAGTTACTCATTATATTACACGACACAATATTAGTTCGTAAATCTGTAAGATGGTATTTTGCATCCATTGCTGGAATGTAGGCCTATGGGCCTATGTATAGTTTCAGAGAATAACAATGTTATTCCCGAAAAAAGAGACTTGACACTATTTTATTGTTTCAGGTTCACGAATTACTTCTTTCTTCAATTTTGGCTACGTTGCGCTTACTGTTAAGGCATTGATCGTTAAGGATGCAGGAACATACATCTGCCGAGCCTACAACGCCAAGGGTGAAGCTCAGGTATCATGCCAGCTTACTGTTATCTCCAAGGCCGATCAAGAAGGAGAATCTCAGTATGAAGATACTGTCTTGAAAATGCAGTACCTTGAAGATTCCTCTCGCTTCAAGAGGACAGAAACCGAAGACGTCTCCACTGTGGCCATACCTCCAAAATTCCTTGGTCCATTGAAGGGTACCAACAAGATCGTTGAAGGACAAAAAGCTCACTTCGAAATTCGTCTTGAGCCTCAGAGTGATCCTACAATGACAGTTGAATGGTACTTCAATGGACAAGTAATAATGTCAGCATCCCGAATCAAGACTTACCATGACTTCGGCTATGTGTCACTGGACATTTCTGACGTGCGTCAGGCTGACGCCGGCCAGTACACTGTGGTGGCCCGCAACGCTCTCGGCCAGGCTCAGATGTCCACTGTCATGACAGTTGAAAGTGAGTGGCTTTGTTTCCTCATAGTGTTTTTAATGCAATGCTTTTGTCAGTTATTTTAGCATGACTCATATTATCATTATATACATGCATAAGGAAGTTTGGTAATAATCCTTACATGCTTTTCTCTCACACAGCTCGATCAGCCATCGATACCAGCTCAATGCACGAGGTAAGTCTTAGCAAGACAGCTGCTTTGGAGCGCCGCCACCAAGAACCACAGTATGATATTGAGGAGCTCACAAAGTCTAAGCCAGAATTTACTCAGCCTCTGCAGGACCCAAATCCCTTGCCAGAGGGTAAGAACGTTCATCTTGAAGCTCGTCTTGAGCCCATGAACGACCCGACCATGAAGGTAGAATGGTTCTTCAATGGCAAGCCTATTACCATTGGCTCTCGTTTCAAGACATACTTTGATTTCGGTTTTGTTGCTTTGGACATTCTTGGAGCTTACACCACTGACTCTGGTGAGTACACTTGCCGTGCAGAAAATTATCTTGGCAGTGCTCATACATCTTCCTGCGTGCGCGTCCTGGGCACTGGTGATATTCAGACAGACACCATGCACGACAATGCTATGGAGCAGATCCATTACCTTGAAGACGCCTCACGCTACCAGCGAACAGCTGAAGAACAAGCTGAAATCAACCAGGAACCGAACTTCGTCAAGTCACTGAAGAATATCGAGACAGTTGAGGGCACCAACATTCACCTGGAAGCCCGCCTGCAGCCTGTAGGAGACTCATCAATGAGAGTCGAGTGGTTCTTTAATGAGCAGCCACTGAAAGTTGGGCATCGTTTCAGACCCGCTTATGATTTCGATTATGTAGCTTTGGATCTGTTAAGTGTATACCCCATCGACTCTGGTATCTACACCTGCAAGGCTACCAACCGCCTCGGACAGGCTGTCACTTCTGCATCGGTCAAAGTTACTGGTAAGTACTACCTGAAAATACAGGCTATATATGTTGTGCATGATAGTACGTTTTTACCACGAACTTTCCCTATTGATCTGTAAAAGAAATTTTAGACCATATCCTTTACCAATATTTCATGGTGTAACTATGATAAATAACAACTTTATTTTCCCCCTCATGCCTGGAAAACATCTATCAGCACAAGATAGATATTATCCATTTTAAATAAAAAATAAAAATCCAATTCATTATGTCAAATACTTATGTATGTTTCTGGTTCCCCTTGTTGATTGTGAGTTCTACTTTGCTATCACTTGTTTCCTTTTGTTTACTGTTATCTATGTAACCAATGTTGTCATGTCTTATAGGTATCTGTCTCCTTATCACGACCCCAGTTGACCTTACCTTGCCACCTTTTCCCTTTAGCCAAGAAGGATCTAGTGTTCGACTCAGAACACCCTGAGAGCCTACAGAAACTTCAGTATCTGGACGACAGTTCACGTTATCAGAGACGTGAGACAATGGAAGAAGTTTCTGTCAAGATTAAGCCACGTTTTTTGACTAAACTGAAGGACGTAACTTTAAGAGAAGGCATGCATGCTCACTTTGAAGCCAAGATTGAGCCAATTACAGATCCCAATCTCCGCATCGACTGGTTCCGTGACGGACAACCCATCCAAATGGGTTCTCGATTCCGTCTGATCCACGATTTTGGTTACGTGGCTCTAGATATCTCTGATCTCATCGAAGAAGACTCTGGTGTTTACACTTGCGTGGCCACGAATCTGATGGGGAAAGACGAGATTTCAGCCAACCTAAAGTGTCTGAGTGAGTAAATAAATAGTCCTGCCGTAGGGCGGCTATCACCAAGGCCTGCGCTCGCCTGCTGCTCTCGTCACCACACGCACGCACTGCACTCATGCTTCTAGACTTCCTAACACCTTTTTTTTTTTATTGCAACTTCGTCTCACAAGAAGCTATAATTTCCAGACTTCTTTTAGAGCATATTCGCTAATAACTATATGCTTATAGTGTATATAGAATTAGATGTAGATGCCAGGCAAGTTTGTCAATAAAATCATGGAAATTAAACTCCTGTTGCTAAGTCATATTATGCAATATTCATGTTGCATAATATGACTGTCATATTATGCTTTTATTAAATATTTGGGTTTTAGCAGTCCAGAGAAACGAATAACAATTAATAAATTTTTTGCAAATATTAAAGTACATTGTAGCACTAACTTAAATTAATTGCAAGATTACAGGCATACGTTGCATGGGGATATGGTATATGAACATCTCGGATAACATAATGCAATTTAGATCTAAACAGCAATGAATTATCCACTGTATTCAAAATTTGCAAGTATTATTTTTAATTAATTCATTGTAAGGTATGTCAAAGAAGAGTTTCATTGCATGACATTTCGCACAAATGAACAATTTCTGATGTGTGATGTTTTCTTTAGATGCGTCGGGAGTAGTGATGGAGTCCCAGGGTCAGACATTGACTATGGAGCAGCTGCAGATGTTGGAGGACCGTAGCCGCTACACCCGCACTGAACAGGTGGAAGAGACCACCAAACAGGCTCCTGTCTTCACCACCTCACTAAAGAACATCGAGATCCTGGAGGGTCAGCGTGCACACTTTGAAGTCCGCCTCATCCCCACCTCTGACCCTACCATGAAGGTCGAGTGGTTCCACAACAACGTCCCCGTCAAGAGTGGCTCCCGTTTCACTGAGTATAATGACTTCGGCTTTGTAGCTCTTGATATCATGTATGCCTATGCAGAGGACTCTGGCACCTACACCTGCCGTGCTACCAACGTCATTGGTCAAGCGGTCAGCAGCTGTAATCTGGTGTGCCACACTAAAGATTCAATCCTGATGGAAACCATGAATCAGGATGCTATGAATAAAATCTCACGCCTGGAATCTCGCAGCCAGCGCACCATCACCACCGAGGAGACCACTATGCAGGCACCCGTCTTTACCTCACCAATCAAAGACCAGAGACTCGCTGAGAATGCTCCTCTACACTTTGAGGCTCGCCTTATTCCTGTAGGCGACCCTGACCTCAAAGTGGAGTGGTTCAAGAACAATATCCCTATCCAGCAAGCAAACCGCATTTCCACCATGCACGACTTCGGTTATGTTGCTCTGGACATGAAGTATGTCAACCCGGAAGACTCTGGCACCTACACTTGCCGTGCCACAAATCGTCTAGGCCAGGCTGTCACCTCTGCTACACTAATGGTGTCATGTGAGTATTTCTCACAGGGAATATCTAAGTTCTCGCATATTAACTGGAATATTCAATTACTATGACAAATGTTAAATTTTACCTACTTTGGTTACAAGGCAACCATTTTCTTGAGCCATTTCCCAAATGGTAATATCAGGACATTAAACTCTCAGTAGGTTATTCATTAACTTATTAAGAAATAATTCGATATAATCTACATTACCTTACATACTCCCCTCTACCATCTTCAGCCAAGGAATCCCTGTTGCTGGAGTCTCAGCACAGTGAGGCGCTGGAGAAGCTGCGCTACCTCGAGGATTCCTCCCGTTACACCAAGTCCACCACCGAGGACACCGTCATCACCCAGGCACCCAGGTCTTTATCTTTACTGAAACGTTTCTTGTCCACCTTTACAGCCTTTTATATCTAATATTCCAAACACATGCATGCATACATGCATACATACATACATGCATGCATGCATACATACATACATACATACATACATACATACATACATACATACATACATACATACATACATACATACATACATACGTACATACGTACATACTCTTATCACTCTATCTTGCTCTGATGAAGTCGAATTGAGCCGAAAACGCGTTCAGTATTCTCTAATTCTTCAAATGTAGTTTTTCCACACATACATATATATTATATTAATTGGACATTTATATATATATATTTATATATTTATATATATATATATATATATATATATATATATATATATATATATATATATATATATATATATATATATATATATATATATATATATATATATATATATATATATATATATATATATATATATATATATATATATATAATTTCCAATTAATATAACAGCGAAATATTTTCATTCTATGAACATGTGTTCAGAATATGAATATACTTTTATTGATTCTGTAGCAAATTGCTGGTAATATGTGTTTGTAATACAGTCATGGTTTAAAACTTAGCCAGACATATAATAGTGGTTCACATTCAGGTTCGTGGTGAAGCTGTCCGGCATGACACAGCTGTGGGAGGGCCAGAGTGCTCACGTCGAATGCCGCCTGGAGCCCTATCCAGACCCAAGCATGAAGGTCGAGTGGTTCCATAACGGCAAGTCCCTCCAAGTCGGCCACAGGTTCAGGTACGTGATCACACGCTCTTGCATGTGACATTTATTTTGATCTTAGTGAGTACCGGTTAAAGCAAAATTAAAAACAAAAAAGTTTTGCCATTAGAGCCTTTGTAGTTTGTAAGCTAGAACCGCACTTTTTCTGTACAGTTATCTGAAGTAATATGATAACAATAATGGGAGTCTATTATTGTTATTGAATTCTAGCGTTTTTCTTCTTTATAATCATATGCTTATAACCATTGAACAATATATATATAATTGAATACTTTAATATGAAGTCAAGTTTAGCACAAGATTACATAACATGAATGATCTTCTAGGACCATGTACGACTTTGGGTTCTGTGCTATGGATATTCTTCAAGCAGTAGCTGAAGACTCTGGCACATACGAAGTCAGGGCAACTAACCGAGTAGGCACCGCCACCTCCTCCATCACCATAGAGGTTAAACGTGAGTACCAAGGCTACAATTTGTACCCGAATTGTTCAATGGTCAATATTGATTTATTCTATTACATAAATGACTACAATGGACATCTAATTGTTGAGTATGTCTGTAAAACATGTCTCAATCATCTCATTTGTTCATCCACAGCCAAGAGCGACTTTATTATTGAAACCCAGCACCCAGAAGCCATGGCTCAGATCACCCGCCTTGAGCAGAAGGCACCCAGTAAGCGACCTGAAGACGCTGTGGTGATCGAAAAGCCCCACTTCGGGCGTTCTCTCAGGAACCAAGAGCACCTGATAGAGGGACAGGCAGTGCACATGGAAGCAACGCTCACTCCCGTCAACGACCCCACCATGAAGGTCGAATGGTTCTTCAATGGCCAGCCAATTCCATCAGGTAATATCCAAATCTGCTTCAAAATGGCAGTATTTGTTTTAAGTTATCGTTTGTTTCTTTACAGTCCAACAATAAACTTCAGGCTACATGGAGATGTATTCATGTAACCAGATTAGCTAATTAGTAAATAAATTATACAGAGGAATGACAGTGATAATAATTCTGGTAATTAACGTCAATAATATTAATAATTATGATAATGTTTATTAATTATTATTATTATTATTATTATTATTATTATTATTATTATTATTAACAATGCTGTAATGATAAACTAACAAAAGCAACTGTGTTTCCTGCAATAGGTCATCGGTTCCGTACAACGTACGACTTCGGCTTCGTGGCTCTGGATATTCTTTACGCCTACCCAGAAGACTCGGGCACATACATGTGCAAGGCGACCAACGCAGCGGGCCAGGCTGTCACCTCTTGCAGCATCGGGGTGGAGGGTAAGCTGCAGATGGCCCGACGTATTCACGGCTGCTTCGTCTACACGGGGGACAGACCCATCGTCCGCCTCCCCAAGCACACCCCTTACAACTAAATGGTCTCTTCCTCCCCTCCCTTCCCACTCTTCTCCAAACACCTCCCACACATTTACACGTTCAGGCTCTCTTCTTGAAACTCCAACTTGTCCCCTCTATGGCTAAATATCCTTGTTATCCTCTAGACCTAATTGACCTCCAAAAGAATTTCTACAAGCACTGGTCTATATTCCCAAACATCCCTCCTGCTCATAACAAAATATTATCTAGACAGTGTCCTCCAACGTAACCCTTATAACCCAAATTCTTGGTTTGCCCTCAACACTCAGATATACCTCGAAATGTTAACAAGTATTTTGAATCTGGCTTTATTACTTTTTTTTATTATAGAGTTGGTATTTATAATAGAGTATGAGTGTGCTGTTGTATCCTTGAAGCGGATATTGAACTAATTATTTTTGTCACATTTGAGTACTATGCTGCGTGTGATATGGAGACACTTTTTAAGCTTAAAATTAACTCAGTTAATATGTCTACATTGTTCAGGCTCTGTTAATGACAGAATTGTAGTGTTGAATTTTTACACATGTGAGTAGCTTTTAAGCATAATTAGTCAAACGGGGATAAGTGAAGATTTTAGCACTATTTTGCCAAACATTTTGCATTCATACACAAACCCATACGCTTTATAGTAAATCTGTATGATATGGCTGTGCATGTATGGTGTGTATACTAATACATTTAAGATTATTGGCCATATTATTAACTCGGTATATAGCTGGCTAGCGCTCTTTGACTAGTCTCCCAGTATATTTAAAATATAATTTGAGGTTAAGAATTGTTGCCAGGGCATTTACCATAAAAAAACCAGCAGTTAAAGATATGGCCAGATGTTACTGCTGAAGCAGAACCATCAAAGGTGAGTTGTTTTCCCCCCTTCTTGCTTCTGCTTAGTGGGTACAATATCCAAGAGTGGCGTTGGTTCCACGTTGAAGCAACGTTATCAATGTTAATTCAACATTGAAGCACCATTGAAGCAACATTGCAGCAACGTTGAATTTGCGTTGCTCTTGGATATTGTGGTCACTGTGTGCACCGCTTGGTCATGCATTTCGCAGTCTTGCTGCATGCTTTTATTTATTTTATTTATTTTATTTATTTTATATATTTGTTAGCACGTATAAGACTATTTTTTACGCATTTTTTTTTATATCTGATTACTTCCGTAGTATAGTATTATTTTTCGTAGTAGAAAAGCCTTTTATGTGATTTCATTACAGTTTTCGGCAACGTGCAAAGGTAGATATCTGTTTTGATGTAACGTTTCAGTATTATTGCTCAATGCTTGATTGTGGTGTACTCTTGAAAATGATCAAACAGATGGACCAAGTGACCATATGTGACGTGACAGACACCGTCAGGTCGTAGACAGTCACCAGTTGTCAGTCTGTCTCACAAATCACGTGAGTGTCCATCTGTTCCAGAACTCATTTTTAGGCAGCGATCACCATATTATTGAGAATAGTACCTGTGATAAACTCCAAACACGACTTTCCCCCAAAGCGCTCGCGTGTAGGTAGGTGACGGCAGCGTCATGATGTGTCATTGCTGATGATTGATGAAGATTAAGCCACCCAAGAGATGGCACGGGCATGAATAGCCCGTAATGTCATTGCTATTTTTCCTTTTTAAGTCTGAAAAAAATATTGATATATATCTGGTATCAATTTCATACTATATGGGGGAAGAGTCGTGTTTTGAGTTAACTTTCTAAGGTAGTATTTTATTAATATGGTCAGCAGTAGCTGTGAGTACCCGACTCGTCTAGTCACTAAATGTAGTCATTTAGTACCTGTTTGGCCAACGATGGCTCCCTGTCTTTTACCTTCACGGTATTTTAATGATGTGAGTTTTAAATAATCCTCGTATGATACACCAAGTAACACTGTGGCCGCTTGTCAACCAAACACCTCAAATCTAGCTTCCTCGTTCGTTTTGATGTGGCTGACCTGTGCTTGCGAGGCGCCGTCCGCCAGGCCCCCCACACACCACCCACGCTAACTCTGCCAAGTAGTAGCCGCTTATGCACACAAAAAAAGCACAATACCTCTCGATGTTCTGGTTTGCGATGCAATATTCGTAAAAGAATTGACCTAGTTAAAAGTATATATTTATCAAAATTAGAGTCGGGTGTATTCTATGTGTCATACTAAATTGCTCAGTGTCATCAGAGAAAGAGGCTTTTAATAAAGAACAAAACAACCTATCGTGTTTCCCTTCACTCCAATTATGGAACAATATATTTTGAATATAAAGTAATTCATTTCGAATATGTCGAGGTTACTGCACAACAAATCCGAGAAGTAGAATGTAATGTAAAAGATCCCGAGGCTGGTAGAAGAAGGAGAGAACAATAGTGGAGGTGCACGAGCCTCTTTCTCTGGACCTCCGGTCGAGGCATCAGCAGGTGGGGAACTGAGGGCGCTGTACCTGCCAGGAGGCCGCCTGGCGACGTGTGCCTGGTGCAGGGGGGCGGCCATCACGAGGTGGAGCTCCACCAGTAAATTAGTCCCACAGGTGATGAATACACTATAAATACTCTCGGCGTGACTCGTTCCTCAGAACGGTAGTAGAGGACTGGTGGATATTTTTACACTCCGTTTTGCTTACATTCTTGAAACAACTGACTGTAAACGGGAGTAATGGCTACCTTAATGATGCAGGCCAAGAGGCCTCCCAGACCTGTCCTCCCCGAGCTCACATCACCACTATAAACTGAGAACCGCTATCGTGGCCAAATTTAGACCTGACTCGTTATTTCTCTGTGCTATTTTTGTTCGTATTACTAAGGGCCATCTTGTTTAGGGCGATGTTAACTGCTTTGGAGCAGCGCAAAGTCTCCAGCCACACCATCACCTCCTAAATGTCAGCGGCAAGTGGGCGTGATGGACTATGGTATCTTGGGCGGACGTGTGGGACGACCCCTTTGCCTCCCCCACACTGCTTATATTGTATCCGAATTTAGAACCTCTGCTCTCGGGAATTGTATTGTAAGATGCCGATAATATAGTTATTATTACGCCTTAAAACTTAGTAGCAATTGATTTGTATGATTTTTTGTACAAATATACAGGTGTCCAAAGTTTCTGATCAGTCATCGCACATGTTTAAATCACACCAAAACAAAAAAATGAAATACAAAATACAATTATATCGCTCCTTGGTAAGTTTACGTAACTTGTGCTGAAGATGTCAGTTAAGGTAATCAGTTTATGTAGAAACCTGCTCAGGGTGAGGTGGTGGGATGGGGGGGGGGGGGGTAGCTCTGACAAGCGTGCGGCTGGCAGGGGTGTCGAGGCCCACGGCTGCCAAAGGGGTAAATTTTTGTTTCACAGATACTTCCTTATTAGCACACAAGGCTGGGGGCGAGTTAGACTTTATCTCCTGCCCATAAAGGCTATTGGGTGCCGCTAGTGTTACGACGGACAGTTTAGCGACTCTCGCTAAGCGACTTTTAGCGACTCTCGCTACTTAGCAAACTAAGTCATTGAGACATGTAGCCATACTTCACTACTAAGTTGATTAACTCAACACTAGTATCAACTACGTATAAGCTATATAATTTTGCCCTAGCTTTAAAATCAAGTCTAGATATCAAATAGGCTCAGCTCGAATATTTCAGTCACATACTGAATCACTGCACGGTATATGTACAATATGTAACTGAATACATACTGTGATACAGTACAGTATCCCGCTTACTGCTTGGCACTGAGGCAGACGAGTGCCAGCACACTCTGGCATCCCAACCTCGGAACTTCCCTTTAAAAAAAAAACAATACAGATAAAGAGTTAAGCGGTGGATGGATACATGAAACTACAAAATTATGAAATATTTACAACTCTAACTTTGTATTTTTTCTCTTAACCTGATGTATAGTTTTGTCCATTGTTACTGTGACTTGTTACTAGGGTAGATTATGGCACTGGTATCACTGAAGGTGTTGGTAGGGCGGTGGTGGCACTGACAACACTGTAGGGTGGTGGTGGCACTGACAGCACTGTAGGGCGGTGGTGGCACTGACAGCACTGTAGGGTGGTGGTGGCACTGACAGCACTGTAGGGTGGTGGTGGCACTGACAACACTGTAGGGTGGTGGTGGCACTGACAGCACTGTAGGGTGGTGGTGGCACTGACAGCACTGTAGGGTGGTGGTGGCACTGACAACACTGTAGGGTGGTGGTGGCACTGACAGCACTGTAGGGTGGTGGTGGGAGTGACAGCACTGTAGGGTGGTGATGGTAGTGACAGCACTGTAGGGTGGTGATGGTAGTGACAGCACTGTAGGGTGGTGGTGGCAGTGACAGCACTGTAGGGTGGTGGTGGTGGTAGTGACAGCAATGTAGGGTGGTGGTGGCACTGACAACACTGTAGGGTGGTGGTGGCAGTGACAGCACTGTAGGGTGGTGGTGGCACTGACAGCACTGTAGGGTGGTGGTGGCAGTGACAGCACTGTAGGGCGGTGGTGACAGTGACAGCACTGTAGGGCGGTGGTGGTAGTGACAGCACTGTAGGGTGGTGGTGGCAGTGACAGCACTGTAGGGCGGTGGTGGCAGTGACAGCACTGTAGGGTGGTGGTGGCACTGACAACACTGTAGGGTGGTGGTGGTAGTGACAGCACTGTAGGGCGGTGGTGGCAGTGACAGCACTGTAGGGCGGTGGTGGTGGCAGTGACAGCACTGTAGGGTGGTGGTGGTAGTGACAGCACTGTAGGGTGGTGGTGGTAGTGACAGCACTGTAGGGCGGTGGTGGCAGTGACAGCACTGTAGGGCGGTGGTGGCACTGACAGCACTGTAGGGTGGTGGTGGCACTGACAGCACTGTAGGGTGGTGGTGGTAGTGACAGCACTGTAGGGCGGTGGTGGCAGTGACAGCACTGTAGGGTGGTGGTGCTAGTGACAGCACTGTAGGGTGGTGGTTTTAGTGACAGCACTGTAGGGCGGTGGTGGCAGTGACAGCACTGTAGGGTGGTGGTGGTAGTGACAGCACTGTAGGGTGGTGGTGGTAGTGACAGCACTGTAGGGCGGTGGTGGTAGTAACAGCACTGTAGGGTGGTGGTGGCAGTGACAGCACTGTAGGGCGGTGGTGGTGGCAGTGACAGCACTGTAGGGTGGTGGTGGTAGTGACAGCACTGTAGGGTGGTGGTGGCACTGACAGCACTGTAGGGTGTTGGTGGCAGTGACCACTGTAGGGTGGTGGTGGCAGTGACAGCACTGTAGGGTGGTGGTGGTAGTGACAGCACTGTAGGGTGGTGGTGGCAATGACAGCACTGTAGGGTGGTGGTGGCAGTGACAGCACTGTAGGGTGGTGGTGGTGGCAGTGACAGCGCTGTTGGGCGGTGGTGGTGGTGGCAGTGACAACACTGTAGGGCGGTGGTGGTGGCAGTGACATCACTGTAAGACGGTGCTGGCAGTGACAACACTGTAGGGCGGTGATGGTAGTGACTAAATGGGTCCCAAACACCTGACATCAAGGGGCTCTCAGGCCTTCCCTATTGTTTTGACCCAACCAATAGGGAGACAACATTTTGTTAATAAATCGATGTCCACTGACGGGTTTTTACTGACTGATTTCCTATGGGACGGCAGCGCCACACGTATAACCAGCCATGAAAGCAGTGTAGGTATCAGATAATGTTATGATTATACAATAATGTTATGATTATACAAACGTTTAATCCCATAATGTTGTGACTATACAAATTTTTAATCCCATAATGTTGTGATTATACAAACGTTTAATCCCATAATGTTGTGATTATACAAACGTTTAATCCCATAATGTTGTGATATGCAAACGTTTAATCCCATAATGTTGTGATTATACAAACGTTTAATCCCATAATGTTGTGATTATGCAAACGTTTAATCCCATAATGTTGTGATTATACAAACGTTTAATCCCATAATGTTGTGATTATACAAATTTTTAATCCCATAATGTTGTGATTATACAAACGTTTAATCCCATAATGTTGTGATTATACAAACGTTTAATCCCATAATGTTGTGATTATACAAACGTTTAATCCCATATTGTTGTGATTATGCAAACGTTTAATCCCACAAGATCTGCCAACTGTTTTTCCAAGGGTGCACTGCATATCCCGTCTGGGAGCAAAAGTGTAATGGAGCACTTAGGTATTGCGATAAAACAAAAATCTAGATACGAAAAGCACTGGAAATTTATTGAAATTTTCGGTCTCCAAACTGGGACTCGTCTTCAGCAGAATAAGAAGTGAGATTGAGGGACTTCTTGTAAGATGAAGGAACTTGTCATATGCTCCAGCGCCTAGCTGAAGGGAAAGATGAGAATTAACACTAGGCTAAAAAGTGAAAGATATATTTACAATTCATATTTACGTTTTATATTTACAGTTCATAAACGAGGAAGGAGGAACCCTGCTCTATATTTGACCTCAGAAAACTAGGGAGCTAAATGTTTACAGTAGATTAACAGTGCATATTACTATCAGGCTTTCGAAAATATTAAAGAATTTCTTGTACAAAATGTAGGTCAGATCCATTTACTAAATAATGCAAGAAAAGCAGTGAATCCCAAAGTTTTGTGTCCTACTCTCCCCCCTTTTTCAACCACTTTCTCACCTGTGGACCCCATACGACCCGTTCTCAACTGTGGACCCCATACGACCCGTTCTCAACTGTGGACCCCATACGACCCGTTCTCACCTGTGTACCCCATACGACCCGTTCTCAACTGTGGACCCCATACGACCCGTTCTCAACTGTGGACCCCATACGACCCGTTCTCAACTGAGGACCCCATACGACCCGTTCTCAACTGTGGACCCCCTATGACCCGTTCTCAACAGTAGACCTCCTACAATGAGCTAACAGTAGCCAATGCTGGGACAAATACATTCCTTCATATGTCTCAATCCCTATGTTGTTTATTCACAGCTAAAACTGCAAGTAAATGATAACGGGAGACCCCTCAATTCAACGTACTTATAAATGATTAGAATTTTTGCTGGAGTACAATAGAGTTCATAGTAGTGGTTCCATGGATCCCCCGATTGGGAACCACTGAAGTAATGAATTACTTTGTCTTATGCTTGCCTTCCCGCCATTTTCCTCCCGCGGAGAGCCACGAGGCTCGCTCACCTGCAACTAAGCGACCTCCACACCTGGCGGGAACTTTTAAAACATTTATTGCAATTAAAACATTTATTGCGATTTAATTCGTTATGGTATCGTATTAATTACGATACTATTATAGTATTAATTCGTTATTATTATCGTATTACATCAGAAAATGAAGAAACGACGACGTTTCGATCCGTCCTGGACCATTATCAAGTCTTATGTAGTAGTCATTGATGGAACAAATTCTTTCCTCCATTATTAACACACGACCTGATAATGGTCCGGGATGGACCGAAACGTCGTTGTCTCTTCATCTTCTGATGTGTAGCTTAGTCATCACACTTTCAGCCACGTTACTGTGACATATTTTATGCATAAACGGTTATCATATAATTCAGTGCCACGTATTTACGAATTAATCGAACACCTATATTTTAAAATACAAATCGAGATGGAAACTGAATATATAGATTTGTGAATATACTGTACAGTGTATATATATATATATATATATATATATATATATATATATATATATCCTCAAAATATAAAATAATAGTGCTTATTGTAACTATTTGGAGGAGAGTACAAATATGTAGTGATGCACCGCCAGTTAACCACTTTTTGTACTATTAATTTGATAAGAGTCCGGAAAAATAAGTCTGAAAACCAAATTTAAAAATGTTTAAGCTTAGTATAACATATATATGCACTGCATTAGGCCTAGGTTTGCTAGGAGACGTTAGGTTAGATTATTTTTATGTTAGGGAGGGGGGAATGTTTCCAGTTTATCCAAATTCAGTAATACAAAAAGTCAACTTTCTGGCGGTTCATCACTGCATATTGGTACTTAACTGCAAATACAGTAGTTACTAAAAGTACTATCATTCCAGGAGGATGGGCTGGTATTATGGTAAGTAATGAACATGATATAAGGCACATTGGCGTGAAAGGATTTCTCAAACTGTTCACAGGAGACAGCACCGCCCCTGTGGCAGGGAAGCCTCACTACGGGCTCACCATAGTGCTACTTACAACTTTTGGTTCCCTGTAGCCGAATCTACAACAACTATTCAAAGAAAATCTAGTTGAACTGGGGTGTATGGGTGTTACGTTTAGTGAGTGACCGGGGTCCCGCTCCCCACAGGTACCGGCAGCATGCAGACGGAGACTCTGGATGAGCAGCGCCTGCGCAAGATTCGCCAGCTGGAGGCTATGGGCCAACGCGCCGAGGAGGCCAAGGAACAGGTCTTCCAGAAGCCCGTCTTCATCACCCCGCTTATCAGGCAAGTGCCTTATTCAAGTTCAAGTATGTTTATTAAGACAAGAAAATAATACATCTCAAAGGGATAGAGTAGCTTAGGCTATTTCTACCCCCCCCCGTTCCTTATTTGTTCTCACTAGGCCTATTGTATTTTGTTTGCTTACATCATTTATTGTTTCTGTTAGTCATTCACTGAGTAAATATAGTTTTAGCGAGAATGATACTTTTGTCAGCAAAATAATAGGCTTTCAGTATCGTTAATTTGTTTTTTGATTGATTAAATCGACCATGGAATGTACGCATGTATGTATGTATGACACTGAACACGTGATTTCACGAATGCGCGCATGCGCGTACTTGTGTGAATATTTGAATGTGTGTGTGTATGTGTGTATAAAGGTACTCCTCCCCCAGCCTGTAATATATGTAGAATATAAACACGTGGGTGTTTGTGTAGACGGTGTTACAAGTAGTGTTGTGGAGTGTGTGTTGAGAGTGCGGGGTGAGACTAAGCTAGAGTGTGTTGCGAGTGCGGGGTGAGAATAAGCTTGAGTGTGTTGAGAGTGCGGGTGAGACTATGCTTGAGTGTGTTGCGAGTGCGGGGTGAGAATAAGCTTGAGTGTGTTGAGAGTGCGGGGTGAGACTATGCTTGAGTGTGTTGAGAGTGCGGGGTGAGACTAAGCTAGAGTGTGTTGAGAGTGCGGGGTGAGACTAAGCTAGAGTGTGTTGAGAGTGCGGGGTGAGACTAAGCTTGAGTGTGTTGCGAGTGCGGGGGTGAGACTAAGCTTGACCCATGCCTTCCCCACAGCTTGGACAACCTGGCGGAGGGCGAGCGCTGCCACTTGGAGTGTCGCCTCGAGCCCATCAACGACCCCAACCTCAAGGTCGACTGGTTCGTCAACGGTGTCGAGATCAAGGCCGGTAAGTGGCACTCCCTCGCTCCTTACTGGCACTCCCTCGCTCCTTACTGGCACTCTCTCTCTCGTTACTCCAACTCTTGTTTTTTGTTGGAACTCTCTTTATTGAGCTCTCTCTTTACTAGAACTCCCTCTTTATTGAGCTCTCTCTTTACTAGAACCTTTTCTCTACTAGAAAAGTTAAGAGAACTGTATTCTTTACTCCTGCTCTCTTACTAGAGCTCTCTTTACTCTAGCTCTCTAGCCAGAAACTAGAACTCTAGTAGAGGTCTTTAATGTTTTTTTAATTGGAGCTCATTCTTCACTGGACCTCTCTCTACTAGAGTTGTTACTTTACTGGAACTCACTTTACTAGAGCTCTCTCTCTCTCTCTCTCTCTCTCTCTCTCTCTCTCTCTCTCTCTCTCTCTCTCTCTCTCTCTCTCTCTCTCTCTCTCTCTCTCTCTCTCTCTCTCTCTCTCTCTCTCTCTCTCTCTCTCTCTCTCTCTCTCTCTCTCTCTCTCTCTCTCTCTCTCTCTCTCTCTCTCTCTCTCTCTATCTCTCTCTATCTCTCTCTATCTCTCTCTCTCTCTCTCTATCTCTCTATCTCTCTCTCTCTCTCTCTCTATCTCTCTCTCTCTCTCTCTCTCTCTCTCTCTCTCTCTCTCTCTCTCTCTCTCTCTCTCTCTCTCTCTCTCTCTCTCTCTCTCTCTCTCTCTCTCTCTCTCTCTATCTCTCTCTATCTCTCTCTATCTCTTTCTATCTCTCTCTATCTCTCTCCCTCCCCCCCCCCTCTCTCTCTCTCTCTCTTTCAATTTTTTTTTTCTAGAGATCTTTGTTTATCGGAACTCTCGATAACAGTGATGATGAACTCTGGCAGTAACTTTTACATGTACTACACAAGGAAACCCTAACCCCATCCTCCTTATAATATAATTACTGTTTTGGGGTTATAAGTAAGTACGGTGTAAAGAGTCAGCCAAGTGACCGGCTCCGAGCACAGTGCTGGGTACTAGAATACATAAACGTGCATTAAAATACACATTTAGAACTAAAACACTTGCTATATAATCATTTGAATCGCGCACGAGGATGGAGCCTGTATGTGATTAATGTGAGAAACAGAGATCGCGTGTATTAACCTAATCCATACATGTGAAAATACATGAAAGTGACGACTTTACCAGTCGTAACTCGCTAAAAGTCCAGGACGGAACGTAACGTCGTCACTTTCATTTCCCTTGTTGACCAGACCCCACACTAGAAAGTGAAGGGACGTCCTGGACCATTCTCAATCGACTTGAGACTGGTCCAGGACGGACCCAAACGTCGTCGTCCCTTCACTTTCTAGTGTGTGGTCTGGTAAACATATTTCAGCCACGTTATTGTGACTCATCGTCTTCATTTCCATTGTGAGGGTTCGGGGGTGTTTGAGGCACGTTATTGTGACTTAAAAATCTCTGCACCTGAGATGGTGTTTTGAGCCACGGTACATGTCTTTCAGGTCACCGCTTCCGTACAACACACGACTTCGGCTACGTGGCTCTGGACATCCTGTACACGTACGCTGAAGACTCCGGCACTTACCTCTGCAAAGCTACCAACAAAATGGGAGAAGCCGTCAACTCTTGCAACGTCAAGGTCTCAGGTGAGTACATCTTTTCTGAAGTTTTTTTCATCTTCGAAGATTACAAATCTTCGTTTTGTTTACAACACTTTCTTTTCTTCATGTAAGATAACAGAAACGTATAAAAATAATGATTTAAATTCTTATTGTGATGTGTTAAGATTTTTGTATCGGTTTCTTCGTAAATACCTAAAAAGAAATGTGAAATTTGCTTTAAGTGCTTTTGTTATTTATTTACTGGCATAGCAGAGGAGTTCTAGAAAATTAATTTGTGTGAGCTTATATAAAGAACTGTCATTTAAAAATTTACTATATAATTTAGTCCATATCAATGTTAACAGTTGGTAATAGCGACTTTAATAGTTAATAATGAATTTTGGTAAGCAATGGAGTTGGGCTGGAAATGTTGAGATCATAATATTGCTAACAACGCCATCTTGTGGTCAGCCCGGCGCTCCATCTACCTGGACACCCAGCACCCCACTGGCTGGGAGAAGATCCAGAACCTAGAGCAACGCGGCCGCTACGAGCGTATTGAGGTTGCTGAGGCGCCCATGCAGGCTCCCAGGTTCACTTCAGAGCTCAGGGTACGTCTCGCATTGAGATTTCAGTTGATTAACATATGCTTCCAATAAAGCTTCGACTTTAGCCCTAAATTCATTTTGCCCTTCAGGAATGGTAATGTAATTCAAAGGCATTACAGTTTTTACTAAATTTGTATAGTTTTTAAATCTCTTTAGTTTAACAAATACTGTAGTGTAATTCCAAGGTAATTTAATCTTTCAGGGCAACACACTACTATCAGAAGGACAACACGTTCACTTGGAGGGTCGTATCGAGCCTGTGCACGACCCGAGCATGCGTGTGGAGTGGTACCATGATGGCAAAGCCCTGCAGTCCGCAGCGCGCTTCCACACCACCTTTGACTTCGGCTACGTGGCTCTGGACATCACCACCGTGTACGCCGCAGACTCCGGCGAGTACACCTGCCGTGCCTTCAACCACATTGGTGAGGCTACGTCCTCAATCTCATTCAAGGTGGAGGGCAAGGAGGGCGTGATCTACGAGTCCGCACGCCCCGAGGGTCTAGAGAAGATCCGCCAGCTGGAAGACAGTACTCGGGTGGCTCGCCAGGTGAGATCTTCCATAGTCTCCACAAAGCGTAACATACCATAGTCCCACTGAGGTTTTAAAATTATTTTATTTTATTTTTAAACGATATATTTGTAAACTTATAATCACTTCATTTGGTATCATAATGTTACTTTAGCTGTAAATTACATACAAATTCGTTATACCTTCAATGTTTCCTTAACGTGATGATTTACAATGGTGACACGCTATTGTTAGTGTTACCTTCGTGACAATAATAATGATCTCTGGTAATATTGCAGGTGTCCGAAGATACACGCACCTTCCAGCGTCCGGTGTTCACTCAACCTCTGCAAAACCTAGACAACCTCACCGAGGGTGAGACAGCTCACTTCGAGTGTCGTCTCATCCCCGTCGGCGATCCCAACCTCAAAGTGGAATGGTTCAGGAATGAAAAACCAATCGAGACAAGTGAGTTCATTATCTTCGTTGCTGTTGGCACGAAACTCTGGAAGAAGTTACGATTCTTAGTTTGTTTCGATTTGTCAAAATATGTAACCGTATTTGGAACTGGTTTTCCATGATAGTGTTTAATAAGGCATTGTGAAGGGACGAGTATCACTTTCTAGTATCTTTAGACTTCTTTTCCCATATTGCTGCTCCCATATGTTATGTGGCCTGATACCTCCCCACTACCCACCTCACGTCAGTGGATAATGATGCCAAAAATGTTATAAACATTGATAATCCTTAACACATAACCAACCCCTCAGGTTCCCGCATCAACCGTACCCACGACTTCGGGTATGTGGCTCTGGACATCAGCGGAGTGCGTCCTGACGATGAAGGCATCTACATGTGCCGCGCCTACAATGACCTGGGTGAGGCAGTCACCACTGCCTCCATCAAGATCAAATGTAAGTCCTTCCTACCTTTACAGGCTATTCATGGCCGTGCCACCGCTTGTGTGGTTTAATCTTTATCAACAATCAATCAATCTTCCAATGTCTTTTTCCAATAATCTACCTATCTCCCCCTTGTCCTGTATGTATCTATATATTTTTTAAATTTGTACTTCATGAAAATATTACTGAATATTTTATGTAATTTTTATTAATAGTAATGAATATTTCAGATTTCATGGTAATACAGATGAATAGTTTCTATAATTTTGATTGTAACAGTGATGCATATTTTCAATAATATTCATAGTAATACTGATGAATAGTTTCTTTAATTTTGATTGTAATAGTAATACATAAGTTCAAAATATTGATGTTTGTGGTGGGTGTTGCAGCTCACGCAACCATTCAGCTGGAGACCCAGCACCCTGAGGGCATGCGCAAGATCCAGGCTCTGGAAGAACGCAAACCAGCTGCTCGCGGCGATGATGTAGAAAAGGTAATCTTCCTTGACATATCCTCAAGAAATAATCCACGTCCATGTTTACAGTCAATCCTTAGAGTTTTGAAATGTCTTGCAGGTTTACTAAGAATATCTAGACAATTTTTAATATATGTATATTTTGTATTATTGTTAGAATATTTTAATTAATTGTATTTCAATTATTTGTTAATAGGTGTACGACAAGCCTGTCTTTACAACTGCACTGACTGGGCCATCCCAGATTATGGAAGGACAGAGTGCTCACTATGAATGCCGAGTCGTGCCCGTTGGAGACTCCAACATGAGATACGAGTGGTATTGTAATGGCGTCGAACTCAAAATGGGTAAGTGTTATTGGTCAAGATTGTATATTGCAAGAATGTTTGCTTGTAAAATTATTTGGTTAGTACTTCTGTAAATGGCTTAAATTATTGCTAATGTTAATATTATAATGAGTTTCTTGTTTTAGGTTCAAGGTTTAAGACTGCCCACGACTTCGGCTACGTGACACTGGACATTCTTCAGTGTGTTCCTGAGGATTCCGGCGTGTACATGTGCAAGGCTTTCAACTTGGCCGGAGAGGCAGTAAGCTCCTGCACCACCAGGGTCGTTGGTGAGTATTCCTTCGTGTATCTGTTTCTTGGGGGCTCTTGAGCTCTTGCACCACCAGGGTGGTGAGTGAGTCCTCCTTCATGTATGTGTTTCTGGGACTCTTCTTGGTATTTCGATGTCATTGTTGTGCTTGTGTTGATCCTACACGTATAAAGATTATGAAATAGGGATGAATCTAAAGCCAGGACTTGATTTGTCTATTTTTCAACTATATTAGTTACAGTGTGTGCTAATTGAATCGTCCACATCAAAGCAAGCTGCTCGATCAATGATACTTTAACAGTAGAGAAGCAAAAGATTAGCATATTTATCATTAGTAGAAAAACAGAAAAGAAATGTACACGATGTTGTGTTGTTGGAGCAGTGAAGGTAAGCAGAGTTGGGCGGTAATTACAGTCAATAGCGGCAAATCAAGTTCAGATGCAAGCAGAAGCGTAATATGTCCCCCACGATGCTCAGATTGTGTGGTGATGAATCTTTTGCTGAGTCACAATGGTAGCATTTGATTCAGCAAGATAGTTGGGTTAATGATACATTTGGAGATACATTTGGATACATTTGGACATTTGGATATGATTTTAATCATACATTTGGAGATAATCATACATTTTGAGTATATTACTTAGGAGTATCTCAACAATCAGTCTCATTGAAAATACAATTGTTACTTTTCGTCAAATATACTGAGGCTTATGTTGTAAATTTTATGTTAAACATATGTACTCTATATACTGTAAGTATATAGAGTACATATGTTAAACATATGTACTCTATATACTAAACATATGTACTCTATATACTGTATAACATTTCTCCACAAATGGAAGTTGTTTAATGACTGTGGGTTTTCTTTCCTTGTGACTGTAGCTAAGGACAGCATCCTGGGCGATGCTCTTCATCCCGGCTGGGAGACCATCCGCCTACGTGAGACTCAGTGGAACCGTGTCCCCGAGACCCCAACCTCCCCAGAACATCTCGAGCCTCCCATCTTCACCAAGCATCTCGAGAGTCACGAACGTCTTGAGGTTAGTACAGTACTTCGTTGTCGAGTTCAGGCCACCACAATACCTTACTGACCAACACCTAAGTATACTTTGGCCATGAGTATAGTTTAGGACTAAAGTAAATTCGTGTACACTGAGAAGCAGATTCACTTCTTAGTATGCATCCTTTTATCAGAATTGATCTTCTAAGGGTAATTTCAAATGAAGGAGCGATTCTCTTTAACCAGTTAAGAGTTCTGTTGTCACTCTCGTGAAAAAATGTAAACCATGACATATAGGTCTTTTGGGGGCCAAAATTTTTGACTCTAAAAGAAATTAAGTAAATATTAAACTAATAATACTTCATTATGAGATACAGAAGTGATAACATAGGTAATACTATGAGTAATACTCATGATAATGTGTGTGTGTGTGTGCAGGAGGGAGGCAACGTGCGTCTCGAGGCTCAAGTCCAACCCGCTCATGACCCCAACCTAAGCATTGAATGGTTCAAGAATGGCATCCAACTGGCTACCGGTAAGACCTGAGTTGTTATAGAGAGTAGTGACTGTATGTGCAGTGTTGGTGGCACCGTCCAGGAGCCCGCATAGAACACTCACACTCGCGAGCAACGTAATACCACTGTGATTAGGTTGACTTATTTATGTTCAGTGTGCAGTCACTGGTATTCCAGGAGAGGGACCAGATTCACGAAGCAGTTACGCATGCACTTAAGAACGTGTACAACTTTCCTCAATCTTTGACGGCTTTAGTTACATTTATTAAACAGTTTAAACAGGCATGAAAACTTCCCAATCAACTGTTGTTATTGTCATAAACAGCCTCCTGGTGCTTCCGAGCTCATTGACTGTTTAATAATTGTAAACAAAGCCGCCAAAGATTGAGATGAAGATGTACAGGTTCGTAAGTGCTTGCGTGACTGTTTCGTGAATCTGGCCCATTACTACTTTGCATGAATAATCTAATCCATAACGCCAAATATTATTTGAAAAATAGGACATACATGTTTGTTGAAGATAATAAGTGTTTGTAATACATGTGTGTTATTGATTTACAAGCAGCTGCTGCATTGCTTATTTTGATATAGTTGGCTTTAGAACACGAATACACCTCCAGATGAGACCCATGAAGAAAGCTTTAGTGATTTTTATCCTAAGAAATTAAAAATTGAAATCTCCATATTCAGTTTAATTATTGGATATTTGAATGAAATACAAAAATATAAAAGTAAATACCACAGGTTTTGAACATAAATGTATTTTGGAAGTGTTAACGAGTCTTATTAGGCTTAAGCAGTACAAGACTAAAGTAGAAGTATAAGGTGATCGTTTATAACTAAGTCATTCAGGAGATATACTGGACACACACCAACAGTACCTCTGTTTCTTGTCTTAATGCTTTCTAAGTAGAGTTAATTCAACTATAATGAAATAGAGTGAACACTTCTCAGATGTAACAGTGATAGTCAGCACAAGATAGTGAAGGCGGAGACACAGTCGCTTGGTGTGTACAGTGCATAAACTGGTGGATAAGCAGGATTTCTTTTTGTTGTAAGGTTTACATTAATATGTGTGATGTCATAACTATGTATTAATATTTGTGTTATAATAACTGTGTGTTGGAAGGTGTGTGTGTAATTACCTAAGTAATTACCTAAGTGTAATTACTTAGGTAATTACACACACACACACCTTGTGTGTGAAGGTGCAGGTGACTATGATGCTTTGCACCCACACACACATTACTGATCTTGTCCTGATGTGCATGGCAGTGACACCCAATATATCTCGTGTATGTAGATGCCGGAGAAATAGAGACTTAAGACTCAGTATGAAATCTACATCATTATTTACTTCCTATTTCCGCCAGGCGCTGGAGGGATTGTGGGCTCCTACAATGAAGGTACAATATACTGTTCTTTTTAGGTGGAGGGAGCACAACACGTAGTGGTTTAGTGACTGGTGGTGGTGGCTGTAGGGGCTGTACAGCATGCAGTAACTTGTTCTTCGTGGGTGTAGCTGTCTGGGTATCTGTTGAAGATACCATGTTGCTTCTTCTTCTTCTTCTTCTTCTTGTACTCAGACCACCTGGCCATGGGATAGACGACCTGATATATTCATGAAGCCGACTCATGATGAGTCCAAATGCATTTGTAATCTTTAAACTAGTTACATTTATCATACCAACCCATCCTCTTAAAATTGCGTCGCTTTTCACTCGTATGCGCGCTATGGCCAAAAATAGACGTAATTTGAAATGAAATCGGCTCACGAAAGTGAGGTACTGTCCCGTTTTCTGTTTGACTCCTCTGGCTTACTCGGTTAGGTTGGGAAAGGAAACTTTCAATTAACGATTTTCATGACGTTTTGAAACGTTAGGAAAACTTCCTGCCCTCCTAACCTACCAGAAGACCCTTAACTTGCAGTTTTGGAAAACAAAATTCCAAAATTTATTTTTAATTATTTTTAATTTTCAAATTACATCCATTTTCAGCCATACGGGTAAATAGCCAAATTCAGCCGTAATTTGTAAGAGAACAGGTTGATACAGTCTGAGGTATCTGAATCAAACATTCTATCCCACGGGATGCAATATTCTGATATTATGTTTGCAACTGGAACATGTATTGCAAGAGATAGAGAGTCTGGCCTATTGATATCTGCAGGATATCTATTCCATGGAACAGGGAACTTGCTTTCTTAATGTCTGCAGTCACATCCTCTTATCTATGTGATGGAAGGAGTGATTAATTTATATTTATAGCCGAACCTTCTCGGTCTTTAAATACTGTATATGATTTGATATTCAAAAGCATGATGGAAAGCTCTGGATAATTTGATTGATGCCTGGATATATCTTAGTGACAAAGTCAAGACCTCACATGAGCGCACACGCACACGCACACACACACACACACACACACACACACACACACACACACACACACACACACACACACGCCCGTCTTCCGCTGGAAGACAGGAGAATTATGGGGGGGGGACATGATCACCATATACAAGAATCTCAAAGGAATTGTTAGAGGAGACAAAGACAGTTTATTTAACACAAGGGGCATATGCACTAGGGGACACGGGTGGAAATTGAGTGCCCGAATGAGCTATAAAGACATTAGAAAGAATTTTTTAAGTGTCATAGTTAATAAATGGAATGCATTAGGAAGTGATGTGGTGGAGGCTGACTTCATACACAGTTTTAAGTGTAGATATGATAGAGCCCCAATAGGCTCAGGATCCTGTACACCTCTTGACGGTTAAGAGGCGGGACTAAAGAGCCGAAGCTCAACCTCCGCAAGCACAACTAGGTGAGTATGCACACACACAATCACACATTTGTACATACACACACAAAATCACATATTTTTTACACACACACACAACTAATAGTTTAAAGGGGCAGAGCCAAGGAGCTGGAGCTCAATCCCAGCAACCACAGGTGAGTACATTCACAAAATGTCTAAAATTTGAATCTGGTTAATAGTTGCATATAAGTTATTGCCATTATGAAATAACAAAAACCCATAAACATATATATTTTTATAAATATGCAGTAAATTTGCTTGTATACTAACTTGATAATTTTGATAATTCAAAACAATTCTATAACAGCAAGATTATTTAATGTGTGAAAAAGTATCCCGTGGAGTATTTATATGATGTAACTAAGTAAATATGTGTTTTGTCCGCTAGGCACACGCGTCCGCAGTACCTTTGATTTTGGCCACGTGACGCTGGAGATCTCCGGTCTCCGTGAGAATGACTCCGGCATTTACACCTGCAAGGCTGTCAACCGTGTGGGAGAAGCCACCTCCACCTGCAACATCAAGGTCTTCGGTCAGTGCCCTTATTATGAAATGGTTGTCGTTACTTACTCACGTATTGGCCGGCGTATCATACGCTCTAGGATATTTATTTTGTTTTGTGCGTTTCATGATTCATATACTGAAAGTGGTTATCACATGGTTTTGTAGAGGGGAACGTGTACCTCCACTAACCCAGTAATATATACAGTATTGGGTTGGTGGTGGACCCGAAACACGGGTTTCTATCCGCTGGCAAACTGGGTAATTCGTGCTCCATGTTTTGTCTCTCTAAACTCTGCTTCTATCGAATTCACTACATTGTATAATCAACCGAAAACTGTAAAAAGAAGCAAAGTATGAATACAAATTAAACATAATAAATTGTTTTCTCCACAGATCGCGACTGGCTGATTGGAGAGTCCGTACACCCGGAGGCTCTCACCAAGATCGCCCAGCTGGAGAAACCGACAGAGGGCCCCGGCTCCCCTGAGGAACCCACCTTCGACGTGCCCGTCTTCATCTCCCACCTCAACAACGTGGAGTGCCGCGAGGGTGACACTGCACACTTTGAGTGCAGGGTCGAGCCTTCCCGAGACCCAACCATGAAAATTGGTACGTCCATATTAAATATGTTACAATTTTGAACAATATAAAAATCATGTAAGCTATATATGTTAAAATTCACCATGCTTTGTTGTTACTCTAAATTAGATATGGTGTATACTGAAAACTTTTGTATAGTGATCACTTTCTACCCTTAGTATAGGGATATACATGCTTCAACCCATCCTCTTCAATCGACCATTAAGTAAAAATGTAGTATATTAGTACACGTTAGAACACCATAATATTGACGTTATCTGTGCATCAGTGACAAATTGCGAGAACGAGTTGCTGGCTTAGCGTCTTCATTTGATAATTAATTACCTACTCTTCATACTTATGCAGAATGGTTTATCAACGGGAAGCCAATGCAGGCGGCGTCTCGATATGCTGCCACTTATGACTTCGGATTCGTGTCCCTGGACTGTACTCATTGCTACGCCGAGGACTCGGGCATATACATGTGCCGCGCCACCAATTCAAAGGGTTCAGCCTCTACCACTGGCACTCTTAAGTGCCTAAGCAAGGCCAACCTCTACTTCGACACCCAGCACCCGCAGGGCAGAGCTGGCCTCGAAAAGGTTGGTTTGTTTCCATCCATAACTGTATCTCAAACCGGCGGAAGCCTCTACACTTTTCTTTACGTAAATTTGTACAAAGTTGCCTCAATATTTATAAATATATTCCTGTTGTTTTCGCGAGGTGGTACTGCAGTACTGATTAATGGTGTTCCTCGCAGGTGGAAGAGGCTGAGCGCGCCTACTGGGCCAAGTACCAGAGGCAGATGTCTGAACGGGAAGTCACCTACCCGAAGCCCTTCTTTGTCAGGCCTCTGCAGACCAATTTCTCTCTCAATGAGAACCAGGTTAGTTGTTATGTATAAGTTTGAATTGTTCCCCATGAAGTATAGTTTATTCAGTAAACTTATATATATATATATATATATATATATATATATATATATATATATATACAAGCCATTCAGGCTTGTTCGCATATATATATATATATATATATATATATATATATATATATATATATATATATATATATATATATATATATATATATATATATATATATATATATATATATATATATATATATATATATATATATATATATATATATATATATATATATATATATATATATATATAATATATATATATATATTAACCATTATATTGGTTAATATTGAAAATGGCTAATATATATACTATATGCTGGCGTGTGTGTGTTTATTTTCTAAACTGGATAACATGGATGACAAACTCTCCATGCTCCAGGCTCTGCATATGGAGGCTAACGTCGAGCCCAAGCAAGACCCCGACCTTAAGATTGAATGGTTCTTGAATGGCAAGGTGGTGGAACAAGCCTCACGCTTCAAGACCAGCTACGACTTCGGCCTGGTCACCCTCAACCTGAACGATGCCTACGAGCGCGACCAGGGCATCTACACCTGCCGCGCCTTCAACAAGGTCACTGATTAAACTAATGTTATACCTTAGCCAAACTAAGTCTATGTCATTAATTAAATACAAAATTATTAGAGCGCTGAACTGGCCATAAAAGTCTATATCAAAATAAGAAAACCTTTTAGCATTTGTTGTTGAAGTCATTTAGTAATTAGGGCTGAATTATCATTCATAATGTTTCATAAGTTGATTCCTGAATCATTGTTCATTTGACGATAATGCCTTGTGTTCTGGAGTATGGAGGGTAATATAAATGTGTGGTGTTGCAGGCCGGGGAGGCATACAGCACGTCGACCGTTGTGGTGGGCAGCAAGGACGCGCTCATTGAGAGCACACAACATCCTGCCGGAGAGGCCGGACTTGACGCCATCCTGGTGAGCCAATTAGGATCCTGTTACTTATTATAATAATCATATTAAAGTAGTAACTTTTTAGATAACAAGATATTTTCAGCTTCACCATATCAAATACCATAACTGGTTATTATCCATGTATGTATTAAGTGTATGGCTCTAATTAAACTCATCATGTTTGCAGAAAATGGAGGAGAAGAACCTTCGTCGCGCCGACCGCGAGTTGCCGGATGAAGAGGGTCACCCACCTGTGTTTACCATACCATTCAAGGTGAGTGTCTGCAGCCCTCACTACTTCGCTCATGCGCACCCCCACTCATACTACCTCGTTCTTGTACGACTGAATAATGTCTTTATGTTTATATCTGGTCTATATCTGTATCCGTATATAACTTGCCTTGCCCAAGTAGGTTCAACGTGTGTAATATATATATATATATATATATATATATATATATATATATATATATATATATATATATATATATATATATATATATATATGTGTGTGTGTGTGTGTGTGTCTGTATGTATGTATCATCGAGACAGACATTTATACGGAGTCTGTGATTTATATCTGCACAGAAAGTAACCCATTGTTATTATGTTGACAGAATTTGAGCAACCTGGAAGAAGGTGAGATTGCTCACTTCGAAGCAATGCTAACTCCTGTTGGTGATCAGTCGATGAGGGTAGAATGGTTCTTCAACGGTGAACCTCTCAAGGCCTCACACAGAGTCAGAACTGTCTATGCTTTTGGAATGGTTGTGCTTGAGATCCTAGGAACAAAGGTTAGTTCTTTTTGTATGGCGCACTATTTATTTATATTTTGTTTGTGACATTTGTTCAGTTTCTCTTGTACATTCATTTGTTATAAAAACATAATTCTAATGGGATTAATTATGTTATTACTGTATATGTGCTGTTTCATTACAGATCTCTGATAGTGGAGAATACACTTGTAAAGCACACAACAAGTGGGGCAAAGCAGAATGTTCCGTCACCCTGGAGTGTGTTGATCGTGCCCATGGTCAACCGCCCAAGTTCACTTCTCAGGTCCAGAGCTTAGAGGGCCTGAAGGATGGCGATTCTGCTCACTTTGAATGTACTCTAATTCCCATTGGCGATCCTAACATGAAAGTAGAATGGTTCCACAATGGCGTGCCTTTGCGTAACGCTACTCGTATAAAGACTGTCAGCGACTTTGGTTTTGTGGTGCTGGATATTGCCTATTTACAAAACCATGATGCTGGAGAGTGGTTGTGTAAAGCAACCAACAAATATGGTGAAGATACAACAAAGGCTTTCCTCAACTGCTTCGGTATGGGAGGAGTTTACACTGAATCTCTACAGCCCGGTTCTCTTGACAAAATTGCTGCCCTAGAGGGCCACAAGACAACACTTAAAGCACCTACAGCGCCTTCAGCGGCAGAGCCACCTAAATTTATCACACAAATTAGCAACATTGAGCGAATGGTGGAGGGCCAGAGTGCCCACTTTGAGGCTCGTCTGACGCCCGTTAATGACTCGAACCTTGTCGTTGAGTGGTATAAGAATGGTAAGAAGCTTCCATCTGGTCATCGTTATAGGACCTTCCATGACTTTGGCATTGTTATTCTTGATATTCTGTACTGCTACGAGGAAGATTCAGGTGAATACGAGGCCCGAGCAGTCAACAAGCTTGGCGAGGATAGGACCACTGCTACGCTCAAGTGCCTCAGCAAGACAAATCTTATTCTGACACCTCAAGTGCCAAAAGGAATGGAAGGAGGCTTGCAGAAGCTCCAGAACTTGGAAGACTCCGCCTGGGTGCGTCGTGATTCTGTCACATCTGAGAGGATTGGTATGGCACCTAAATTCACTGTTCCTCTTAGTAACATTGATAGCTTGAAGGAAGGTGAAAATGCTCACTTCGAAGCTCGTCTTGTGCCCACCGATGATCCTCGTCTTAAGGTTGAATGGTACTGGAATGGTAAGCCCATGAAATATAGCTCTCGCATTCGCCAGTTCTGTGACTTTGGCTTTGTTATTATGGAAATCTCTCCTATCTACCCAGAAGACTCTGGTGAATATATGTGCAGAGCATTTAATGACTATGGCGAAGCCGTCACTAAGGCTACACTCAAATGTGAAGGCAAACGGTCCATTATCCTAGAAAGTCAGCTGCCAAAGTCCATGCAAAAGGGCATGGAAAGGATTGCTGAATTGGAGGGTCTTATGATTAAATCTCCTGATCTGGGAACACCAACAGATGCTGGACAACCACCTCAGTTCGTCACACAACCTCAAGATTCAACTATTCAAGAAAATGGTTTGGCTCACTTCGAGTGTCGTCTTTTGCCAGTTAACGATCCTAACCTTCGTGTTGAGTGGTACCACAATGGTCGTCCTCTTAGTGCTGGCTCACGAATTAAGACGATCAATGACTTTGGGTATGTCATCCTCGAGATGGCCAATTGTTACGGAAAGGATTCTGGCACCTACACATGCCGAGCTGTTAACAAGCATGGGGAAGCATCGGTAGAATGCAAATTAGTTGTTTCCAGCAAGAGTGGCATTATTTTGGAACCACAAGCAACTGGAAAATTCAGGGATTTAACTCAGTCTATTCAGAAACTAGAGGACAGCATGTACAAGAAGGAGGCTATTGTTCAAGAAGAAGAAAAGCCTTGTCCACCTCGCTTTGTCACCAATCTCGAGGATATCAATGATTTAGTTGAAGGTCAACCTGCACACTTCGACTGTAGAGTGGAGCCTGTTGGAGATCCCACCATGCGAATTGAATGGTTCCACAATGGCATGCCCCTTGCAGCTGGATCCCGTGTACATATGATGGATGACTTCGGTTTTGTTGTCCTTGACCTGGAATGGACTTTCGCACGTGACACTGGCGAATATATCTGTCGTGCCACCAACAAGTGGGGCCAAGCTACTACCAAGGCCATGCTCAATGTCCGGTTTAAGCATGGAGTTGACATGAGCACACAGCTGCCACAGGGCATGACGGCTGAAAAGCTGAAAGAATTGGAGCGTGGTCCTCTTACTGAGAAATTCGAAGTTGATGCTGAAATGCAACCTCCCAAGTTTACTGTTCCCATTAAGAGTCAGAGCATGCAGGAGGGTGAACGTGCCTTCTTTGAAGCCCGAGTTGAACCTCGCAATGACCCAAATCTCCGTGTTGAATGGTACCACAATGGTAAAGCTTTGCAGTCTGGTCACCGTTTCAGGACGAGTTTCGAGATGGGTCACGTGACTCTGGAGCTGCTTCACACCTACGCTGAAGACTCTGGTGAATACGTTTGCCGAGCTTACAACAAGCTTGGCGAAGACTTCACAAGGGCAACCCTTAAGTCCAAGGGTTAGTTGACTTTTTTCTGCTATTGTAGGAAGTGAAATTAAAGAAGCTGAATTGCTTTCACACAATGTCATATGGTTTTATTCTGTGCTATATTTATATTATATCACGATTTTAACTGTTTATCTTTTTTACTTAACAGCAAGTCAGTCGGTGGTGCTTCAGTCGCAGGTTCCTAAGGGTATGAAGAGCGGCTTGGACTTCGCGTCCCAGATGGAGGAGACCCTCAAGAAGTACTGCAAGGAGGTGTTGCTTACACAGGAAGACATTTATGATCCCGAGAAGAGGCAACCTCCTCGCTTCGTCACGCAAATTAAGGATGTGAAGGATCTGAAGGAAATGGAAGAAACTAAGTTTGATTGTCAGTTAGCTCCTGTGGGCGATCCCAACATGAAGGTGGAATGGTTCTTCAACGGCCGCCCATTGCCATTCAGTAAGCATCTTGATTCTGGATAAAGCCAGTTCTCAATATTAATATTTTTTATCCATGAATGAATTAGTTTGCTAATATCCAACTAAATGGAGACAAACCATTCAACTGTCCTCGGTCTGTAGTGGCGGCTCCTCACTCAAGGATGAGTCGACTCGTAAATAATTATGTTAAATTCAAGGAATTGAAACATTTGTTAACATATTAAAATAGCAGAGAAAAATTACGTGCACTATATTATGTATTTTCTCCCTTAAACAGAAAATCGCTTCACTCCCATCTACGATTTCGGCTACGTTGCTCTTATAATGAACTGGATATTTGGCGAAGACTCAGGTGAATACCTGTGCAGAGCAACCAACCTATGGGGCATGGATGAGACGAGGGCCACCCTCAGGGCAACCAGCCGCCCTGGTGTCATCTACGACTCACAGATCCCCAAGGGCATGCAGTCCCTCGAGAAGATCAGGGAACTGGAAGCCTCCTGGCAAATGTGAGTTAACTCCCTTATGTCCCGGGAAATTAACTTCAAGTTAATATATAGTGTTTAGGAAAGCTAATTTTGATTTAGAATTCCTTCAATGTGAACATCATCATAGGTATTAAAGCATGATTTTGACATATGGAAGGGGTGGAATTTTCCTGGTTAAAAATAAAATGAAGCAGATAGGAATAGTTTTATTAACGGTACATCATCTACCCCATGTAACGGTAAATGGGGTAGATGATAACCGAAGAACATGGCACTAACCTAATAACACCTGTGGTGTTGGTGCAAACTAGATTACATTTAAGGTTAACACTATAAAGAATAGGAACATAGGGTACCACATGTTCCTGTAAGGAGCACGTTTATCTTGAGGATACGGTATGTACCGGTAGGGTACCTGGGGGGTACAACATGTATCTGGAGTATAACGCATGAACCTGGAGAGTATCACATGTATGAGAGCTTGGAGAGTGAGCGATATGTTGCTGGCTTTAATCCCCGGAAACGACACGTCAAAGACACGTCTAGGGTACGTCAGGGACCTATCTAGGATAAGTCTAGGATGCCGTTAAAGACAAGTATAGGATGCATCAATGGCAAGTCTTGGACACGACATATATACGTTAGGGGCAAATGTAGGACATGTCAAGGACATGTCTTGGACACCTAAAGGAGATGCATAGGACACGTCTAGGAGGTGTCAAGGATACGTCAAATACAGCCTTTCCTAAAGGCAACTATAATTGCTCAATGAAAGAAACTCTTCATTGAGATAAACGTCTTGTGACTTGTTCGGGACCGATATTTCTTTCAGCAAGTGGAAGAATTCGAAAGTAAATCTAAACATCTGAAGAAATTGTGAATTAATAGTTACAAAGTCGGCAATTGAATGCTAGTGGAGCCAAGTTGGCTCCTGGATGGAATTTAATGGTTGACGAAGTAACTGTGGTGTTTAGTGGCTGTACTGTCCCGTCATTGTTGAGATAATAGTAATAATTAGCATGAGTGGTTATTGGTAGGACAGGGTAGAAAGAAAAACTAAAAGCCGAAGGTTTTCTGTGATAGTGAGCGGTAAAAATGTATTTCACTGTCTTGTAGGATACGTACAGTAAAATAATCCAACTTGCCCCCTGTGGTTAGTAGAGACAATGTTTACGTTTGCTGCAGTGCTCCTGAGACCGCCATTGAAGAGGACAAGCCGCGCACCAAGCCCGAGGTCCTGAAGAAGCCGGAGAGCCTGGAGGTGCAGGAGGGAGACTGGGCACGCTTCAGCATTCGAGTGTCTGGTCACCCAAGGCCCAGGGTCATGTGGATCGTCAACGGCTCCACAGCTATGAGTGTGAGTACCTCTTGCACACTCTACAACGGTCATCTTTTCCGTTTGTTTGGGCCAATCACTTGGGGTGGACGGTAGAGTGATGGTCTCGCTTCATGTAGGTCGGCGTTCAATCCCCCGACCGTCCAAGTGGTTGGGCACCATTCCTTTCCCCCTCGTCCCATGCCAAATCCTTATCCTGACCCCTTCCAAATGCTATATAGTCGTAGTGGCTTGGCGCTTTCTCCTAATAATTCCCTTCCCTCCGTCGGTTCGGATTTGGACCAGTAATTCTCTTTGAATTTTAACTTAGTCGACGAAGCAGCTACATTATTACCTGGGCTGTGAAAATACATCTTTTGGTGATTAAGTGGTACAATCTTGTAAAGCCACTAACACCAGAGCGTTTAGAGATATGCTTGAAGTGCAAAGTAACTCAAAAGGTCTTGAGAACTTGGCACTTATAGTGACAGAAAGATATAGTAGCACACATTATAATACAGTCATTTGAACTGTGATTAATCATCTGTTATAAGCAAAATTATGCTATTTACTCAGAATTTGTTATGCTATTTTAATTAATTAGATACATAATGTCATTATTCAGGTTCATATATTATATGTGAGCATTGTTAATAGATTAATAATATGTTCATATGTTCATAGCTCATATGTTCGAGATTAACTATATACTGCACAGCATTTTATCCTAGAATATTAACTATATTGGCACGGTACTGATTAAGTTACCATAATAACTTTGAATGTAAAGAGGCATTTTGTGACGGGTGGCGTATCGCTCCTCACAGGGAAATCGTTTCAAGATCTGGTATGACGGCATGTATCACTTGGACATCCCCAAGACTCGCCAGTACGACAACGGTAAGGTGGAGGTCATCTGCCGTAACTCTCTCGGCGAGAGCTACGCCTGCTGTGAGCTCAAGGTCAATCCTCGCCAGGACGATTACCGCGCTGTTCTCAAGAACTCGCCCAAACGTAAGTATTTGCCGCTTCCTGGGCCAGCTGGTGACTCTGGGCTGCAGTCGGTCACACTAGAGTGGACGAGGTTCACCCTTGCTGTTGATACGATAGCGGGGGTGACCCTGTCTGGTCTGAGGTGACTACCTCTGTCCAAGGTTTCCATTTCATATCATTTCTTCATCTCATTCATTTCATCGATGACTGACACGTTCACAATCACCATAAGTTTTTTTCAGGTCATCTGGACGTGAGGTGAAGGAGTGTTGTAGCAGTGGAGGCCTAGTGAGCAGTCTTACATTTACCACTTCACCCCATTACTTTAACAATAAGGAACATATCGCACCTCACCTTTAAGGCAACAGTTGATCCGCATGTTAGTACTGGCCTGAGCGGACTGGCAGCCTACCTACCCCGCCAGGATGGTCCTGATCTGCGTGTCACACTGGTGCCGGTGTGGGTGGAGGCTGGGGGGCAGCCACTCACAGCTAACACTGACAGCTAACACTGACAGCTAACACCAACGCGCTACACTCACCAACTGATTATAGCACCGCTATATTAAGCAACAACACTAAGTACTACCACTACGCCACTTAAAACTAATTTTCCTTTTCCTCCCAAAAAATAGTTTTTTTCTTCATTTTTCTGCGCAATATTATTATTTGGTAAGTCGGAGAAGGTAAGACTTGAGGCATGTCGCGTGTTAGCCGTTGTTCCCATTGGTTTAGTTACAACCTTTGTTTTAGTTTCGTCTCCCCATCCCCCACCCCCTCCCTGCTCCCCTAACTCTGTAACCCAACTAGGTTTAACCGTAAGCCCCCAGCTGTACAAAGCCTCTAATTCCTGCCCTAGTTTTTCTAACATGTTAGAAATGACGTTGTTTATTAAGTATTGTTGTATGTTACTCTTCAATATGTAATGTTTATACCTAATGCATGTTGTTCATATATACTGTACATATTCATATAATGTCACAGGAATTATTTCTTCTCAGATTTTATCACCCTCAGTGAGAACAACAGTATTCCTGAGTACATATACCTCTTGTAATATATTCCCAGTCACACTTATATATCAACTTGACACTTTGCCATGACCTTTTTGATGAACTATTTCCATCTTTGTTTACTTGTGTGCTGCACTTGCCACCTTTAGACCAGTTAGTTTCCCCTTAGTTCCTCCAGTCACTTGTTAGAAGCACCAGTTACCCCTGGTTGTATTCCTGTTTAATACCCCGTTAGTTACTTGTTCTGGTAGCCAGATTTCGGTGGTGGTTTGCGCATGCGCCCTACCGTGCTGGCGGGAGGGTCGGGCTTAACAACTGCTGTTTTTGTAGCTTGGTATGACTATGACCTCAAGAGTTACCAGAAGGAGCGCCAGGAGACCGAACTCGATCGTGTCTTCGAGGAAAAGATTGATTCTGACTACTCGATCCTGCACGAGTCCAAGTTTGGAGAGTACATGGCCAAGCCTCTGGATAAGACAGAGGAAACTGAGTGGCAAAAACTGGCCAGACAAAAGAATGCCGGAGAGAAGATCAAGGAGGTGGGTGGTGTCTTCGTGTGTAGCTTTAATAAATTAAGTGTGGTGGGTTACCTCACTGCCTCATGTATTCTCACCAACTGATAACTAATTGAAAACTTCGTTCCCATTCTGGTCTTTATCTTTCTTCAATTTACTATTTTAAAGTAATTATATATATATTTTAGATCTCCCGAAGTTGATATTGAAAGCGATTTGCAAGTTCAGAAACCTATAGGCTGTATCTGTATACCATATGACACATTATCCCGTGAATCATTATTCCCATATTCAGTTCATTGAAATGAATTAAGGTTTATAAACAATCCTAAATAGCTAGATCATTCAAATGTTTTGCATCGCCTTCCCGCCACAGCTGGAGGACACCCAGAGAACGAAGGGACGCAACAAGGACGTGCACATGTTCGCCTCGCCGGCCGAGCACGCCGCCCAGCACTCCCTGGCCAAGGGCATGGCCTCCAGATACGAGGAACAGTTGTAAGTATTCTTCACACACCCTCTCCAAGCGCTCCTCTAGGCACCTCCTTCACTATATTTCTCCTGGAATGAAGATTCTTCCGTATCTACTGTGCATATTTATATTTCAACTGAAGCTTCCTGTGCAGCGTTAGGCTGTAGAAAACCACGCACAAATGCTTGCGTGGATAGAATTAGGTATTCTTTAAGGCTTATGCAGTATTCACATAATTGCCGCTCTTTCTTTCGTTTTGCTCTAGTACATTATAAATTTTCAAAAATTTCTACTACACAACTAGTAATGAACTGTTTGCAACACATTCCTTCTTAAAATGTTCTTGCTCAGGAATGATAAGCATTAACTGCACTTCTCTCTAAGTAATCACCTACTTATCATGCTTATCTCTCCTCTGTATATCTTTAATTTATTATCACATACTTTCCAAGCCTAAATTTCGCTGTAGAGCTTGGTGATAAAAGGTATTAGAGCTGAAACTAATCTTATTTAATGCGGCAAAGGCCGAGGTTGACCCCTAGTGAACATTCTGACCTGGTTATTGACCTCCCAACAGTGATGCGGAGGTTGACTCCCGCCAGACCCCCGTGCATAAGGCGCCTAAACGGGTCTTAAGGTATCCTCTCAACGCTCTTCTCTGCTCCTTCAGTTAACACTTGTCCTCTTACTGCGCTCCATCTGCTTCTTCATTTTTATTTTGATCTGTGTATCGGACTTACTTTTTATTTGATTTCTTTTATTTTATTTTCTACGGATGGTTTTCTAATTCTGCATTGGTTCGTAGTCTATTTTATGTCTTTTTGTTTAATTGATTTTTCTAGCTATGTTTTCGTTTCTCATATTTACTTTTATTTGCTTAAGATCAAGATAACTGAATAATCTAACGGATTATATATCTGCAGTCTGTTTGGTATTTAGTTTCCATAATTTACACAACATTCACATTCAAACTATAATCTTTGTCCAAGTCTTCTCCCTGTACGTTCCCTTCCTTTTATTTTCCTTTCGTCCACCTGTAAAAAATAAAACGTGAAAACATGTCGATGTCCAATGCAGTGATGTTCGTCTGTAAATTTGAAATCTTGTCTCCCTTGATCCAAGAGTGTGTTCATTTTGTGGACTCATAATCAGCCATAGTATTAGCAAAATTCTCACGATGGTATATACGCTCTGCGTGCAACCTGTTCTCTTAAAAATAACGTCGCTTTTGGCCGTTTACCCGTATGACCGAAAGTGGACGTAATTTGAAAATGAAAAAAATGAAAGTAAATTTGGGATTTTTTTTTCAACAACAGTAAGTTAAGGATCCTCTGATAGGTTAGGTGGGCAGGAAATTCTCATAAAGTTTCAAAACGTTATGAAAAACGTGAATTGAAAGTTGCCTGTTCTAACCTGTCCGAGTGGGCCGGACGACTCAAACAGAAAACGAGACAGTACGTCACTTTTGTGAGTCGATTTCATTTCAAATTACGTCCAAATTTGGCTATAGCGCGCATACCAGCCAAAAGTGACGTTATTTTTAAGAGGACGGGTTGCTGTGGCAACTCGCTCATAAGAAACAAGTAACTTGCCAACGTGACAAGTTGGCATATAATAATAATAATAATATTAATAATAATAATTCAATCACATTTGTGAATAGCCTAGCAATTACTGCGGTCGCTTGATATATATAGACTTCATAGTACTGCGTAGCTTTATAGAGATTTTGTATACATAGTTGGAGAGGTTGTCTATTGAGCTTTATGTCGTTTCTGCGTGAAGAGGAGGAAGAGTAGTAGCTGTATCATCCGATGGCAGTAACTTGCTTATAATATGGCTGATGCAGGTTTTGGGCGGTGATTGTCTAGAGGGAACCAGACCTGACACAGTCTGGTGTGTGTGTCAGTAACTGTCCTCCTGTATGGCTTTATCCGAGCACTTGCTATGTTCAAGTTGGGTCTGTATGACTTTATCCGAGCACTTGCTATGTTCAAGTTGGGTCTGTATGACTTTATCCGAGCACTTGCTATGTTCAAGTTGGGTCTGTATGACTTTATCCGAGCACTTGCTATGTTCAAGTTGGGTTTGTACGACTTTATCCTAGCTGTTGCTTTACTCAAGTTGGGTCTCTGTCGGGATAATGTTCTTTGGACCCAGAAGAAGTTGACTAATAATTACAGTCTCAAGAAATTAATTGATTATAACCATCAATCTTATTGTTCTGATGTAGGGCGTGTGTGAGTGGTCTTGTGAGACATTATCAGCTGTACCGTCGTTTTCTGTAACATTTCTGTAGTATTACTTCTAATTGTGTATCATATTTCTTTAAGTTGTTACATATGTCAGCCGTCTCATATTTGTGAAATATTTACTATTTTATCTGAGAATCGCATTGATATAAGTAACACAATGCAATTGCAAATAACTTTATTCTTCACATACTTTTATTTTACTTTAACTTTCAGGTGAGATTAAACAAATTGTTTAAACAAACATAGCGTCTTTATGTATTATCTGATTTTGCTATTATCCAGCACCAGGGTTTGAATTATGTTTGTTTTTTGACTCACGATGCTGAAATCTAGGAAGTGTATCATGTTTATATACATATATGTAAGGGAAGATGATAATCACATTGTGTTGTGGGTGTGTTCTTAGGGACGCAAAGGATGTGCGCCACGATGAGACCACTTTGCTGCAACGGGAGGCAGAGCCTTCTGAGTCCGTCGTCCATGGCAAGGAGGTGAGTTATGACCCGGTTGACAGCTGGTCTCAGCCACATGACATGCATGATACCTGGCTTCAGCTGATTTTATATGATCATTGTAAATGTTTGATTTATATATGATAGTGTGCTACTGAATGTTTTATAACAGGACATTTCTTTCTAAATCTGAAATTAATGCTGTATGATGCATTTTATTTGATTTCAGATTCACACAGCCGTACAGAAACAAACACAGAAGGAGATTCAGGGAGATCTGGAGATCCACCGCACCATTACTGCCACAGAAAAGACTGAGATGGAGCATACAGGCAAAACCACTGAGCGTTTGGTCCAGGGTCAGCCTCAGAAACCAGCCAAACCTCCATTCTTTACCAAGAAGATTCAACCATGCCGAGCCTTTGAAAGAGAGCCAGCTCGCTTCCAGGTCGAATTTGACGGTGATCCCAATCCTACCATTCAGTGGTATCGTGAAGACTTCCTCATTACTAGTTCCCCCGATTTCCAGATTCATACCTTCGGTGATAAGAGCATCCTGGTAATCCGTGAAGTATTCCTGGAGGATTCTGGGTTGTTCGCCTGTGTGGCTGAGAATCGTGGAGGACGAGCCAAGTGCTCTGCTAACCTGGTTGTTGCAGAACGTAAACAGAGTCGTGGAGGTGTAGTACCACCCAGTTTCTCTCAGACCATCCAAGACACAGTCGGTAAGCCAGGCAGTCTAGTGCGACTCGACGCTAAGATCCACGGAACCCCACCCATTGACACCTACTGGTTGAAGAATGGCACTAAACTTTCTCAGAACATGCACTATAAGATGCTAGTTGAGGATGAGACGTACACACTCTTGATCATCGAGGCTGTACCAGAAGACAGTGCATCTTATGAATGTGTTGCCATCAACAAGGCAGGTGAAGGTCGGTGTCAAGCCACCGTCGAGGTTGTGGGTCCTCGGCCCACCCAGACACCAGCCGCACCCTCAGGTGTTCCTCAGGCTCCCAAAATTGTTCAAAAATTGAAGTCACAAGTTGTTCAAGAGGGCCAAGGTGCATTCTTCGAGTGTATCATCACTGCCTCACCTAGTAAGAACATTTCACATATGTTATTAGAGAGTGTTATGTATTATACATGTGACTTACCTGGCTTGCAAAGAAACTTATTTTAATCAGCCTATTATTGTTTGATTTCCTATAGAGTAAGTTCCCGCATTAAATATTATTTCTTCTCTCCTTACAGAACCTAAGATACAGTGGATGAAGGGCAAAGCTCCTATCAAACAGAGCAAATACTTTACCATGACAGCTGATGGTGACCGCTACACTCTCCGCATCTCTGAGGCCTTCCCTGAAGACGAAGGCACCTACTTCTGCGTCGCCACCAACCCATCCGGAAAGGTAACGCCAACTAAACCCTACCATCAATAGGGTTTTATTGTGCAGTATATTATTTATATTATTGGATAAATTATTTTTTATTATTTATGGATAAAATAAAATATTTTGAAACCTAATGTAGTTCAACAGGTGCAAGCAAAGGCAGTGCGAGTCAGTTCGCTTCTTTACTATTATTTTCAGTGCACCGTGGAGGCGAAACTACAGGTGTTTCAGCCAAAGCAGGCTGACGTAGCGCCCTCTATTGCTCCCCTCGAGCCTGTGACGGTGTTGGAGGGCCAAGGTGTTCGTTTCAACACAGTGGTGGTGGGAACTCCCCTACCTGGAGTCCAGTGGTACCGCGAAGGAGCCCTTATCCCACCCTCTAGGGACTTCGAGGTCAGTACAATGTGCAAAATATGAATAACTTGGCAGCTGTGTCTTTGATTTACTTAAAAAGCTGAATGCTTAACAAAAAATAGACTGAAATATTAATTACCATGATGTGTGTTTGGTTAAAATATGGGTCCTCAAGAGAAAGATCATTGCAGACACGCACATAGATACTTTCTACAACTATGAAAAGAACACTGAGACTGCTAAGGCCTCGGCTTATGAATATGTGAATAACTATGATTTTCAATGCTTTCCCAAAGCTAATAAATAAATAAAATGCTGTAAAAGACTTCAGTGAAGAGTTACATAATTATGAAAAACTGTCTAGGGGAAAATGCAGAGCAGATTAAAAGCTCGAATAATTGTAAAGTGACAGCTGGTGTCAAAGTGGGAGATCAAAGTAGCATCACTAAAAGCCCTCATGTTTCAGTCCAGAAATATTATGCTTGATCGATCGTATCACAGGAATTCTTACCATGACAACACAATTGCCCAAAGAAGCACAAATATCATTAGCCGTCCGACATCATACATTTTATGGATAATTTGTAAATATACTTTTTTTATTGTATATTATTATTATTTGAAGTGTTCTTTAATTGCCTTCCCATTGTCGAGTACTAGAAGCTTGTCAAGCTTATTGAGGTCCCCCTAAGTCAAGGGCGAGGCTGTCCGCGTGGTAACCCAACCAGTTATTAGCCTGACCCAACAGTGTTTAACCAAGTATAGCACACATATGTATTATATTAGGCCTCAGATAGCGTGCATTAGGCCTAGGAACGTTAGGTTAGTTTGTTTTTGCAACGTAAGTAGAAAATAGTTTTCAGGTTTGTCCAACTCAGTAGTGCCGTATTTCTACTTTCTAATTCCGTTGTACGTCGGTATATATACTATGGCCCTTATCGTTACTATAAGTACTACCAAAGCAGGAGGGGATATATATATATATATATATATATATATATATATATATATATATATATATATATATATATATATATATATATATATATATATATATATATATATATTATTCATTTATTTCTATCCACATGAACAATTAGGGAGATAGTCTCGTTGATAAAGTGCACATTGACAGCACAACATATTGCTCCATTAGAGCGGGACAGGCTATCTAGCAGAGCGTCAGTGCGCAGGCCAGGGGTTAAGAGGTGTGGGGCTCTCAAACCATCTCTCACAGACACGCCAGGCCAGCGCATTTGAGAAAAAAATAACATTGATTTTACCTGTATACTATGGCGTTGTTTACTTTTTAATATGCAGTCGCTAAAGTAATGCGGCAAAAGTAACGAGAGGACTGAACCTTAGTAAACCTGTTGATTATATTCAAGGAGACATAAACCTGTCAGCAGAAGGCGAGTAACAACAGTGTGCTAGCACAGGTATCTCAGATTGATGAAGATTAAGCCACCCAAGAGGTGGCACGGGTATGAATAGCGCGTCAGGTATCTCGGGGAAGGTGATTCTTAATTACGAGTGCCAGTTGGTGAGTGTGTGTGTTGCGGACTTGGCACCTCACTTGCTTTACTTGCTTCCTCAATACACAACACGTCGTTAATTCTTTTGCGAGGAGTTTTAGATTTACAGATTTACAGCGGGATTTTGAGTATGCCAAAATTTTACTAATGATCTCAACTGTTATATATTTTTGCTATGGAGAAGGCCTTGCAACGCAACTGCAATCAGATTTCAGTAGAATTCAATATATTTCAAAACAATAAATTATGTAAGTTATACTTAAAACCATATAATTTATCAGTTACACACTTCTCCAAGGCAACTTTTTAACGTTACCTAGCAAAAATGAAAAAAATCACAGTATCGTGTTGGAACAAATATACAACAGATTTATAAAAATAAAGTAAGTAGCCGAGGTCAGATAGAAACGCGTGTAAAATGAATATTTCCAATGTGTTGTTTGATATTTTCTATAATTGATCGATTGTTTTTTTATCTTTATTTAATAAAATACAATATAAATCATATATACAAAAATTTACAAGGCAATACTTCATTACATATATCGATTGTTTGGCAGAGGTTCTATTGTTGCTTTCGTTGTTGTTATTTTAGATTCAGCTACTCAGAACAAGAAGTTCCAGTATCACGGGCTATGGCGAGCCCGTAATTGTTGCCTTCGAAAGTGTCTTATCTTATCGGTACCGCTGTTTTGTTTGGTTGGGTAAGGGGGGATGGGGGGAAGGTACTGCGTAGCCTTGCAGGATGCACCTGGAGTTATTTACCGCCTGCCTCTGAATATAAACCTGACTTGAGAAACGCATCTCCACTTTGAACAACTGTGGTGCCAACACCGACAGTGGCAATGCGGTAATCCCAAACTTTTTGTTTCATCCTCAGCACTGAGTCTGAGTGCCAGAGGGAACTCTGACCATGCCAAAACACTATCATCATTAAATTAAACCCGGGTATTTGTTCATACTCTGCCAACACTCCAGTCCGTATTTTAAAATCGTTATCCATTTTCCACATTGAAAACCCATTCATTTCAACGTAATTTTTGGCAAGTGTGCAAAACTGCTATGTAGGATATTTTAGTTTTGTTTTTAAGAAAGACATATTTACAGTGAGGTGGCTAGAGATTTGGATTTGATGTTTGGCTCAAGGCCTATCAACCGCGGAAGGGTTATTAAGGCCACTGCCAAAGCTTGACCAACCAACACGTAGGCTTTAATCCTGAACATAGTTCTGAACTGAAGTAAACTCACAGTATATATGCATGGAGAAGCAGGTCACACCTCTCGCAGCGTCAAGGGGTATATAGCCTGATGCTTGAGACACGCCACACCGCTTTCGACAGCCTAGTGAGGACCACATTTGGCATGGGAATCAGACAAGGCTCGGGGACCAGAGTAGGCTCGTGGACCAGAGTAGGCTCGTGGACCAAAGTAGGCTCGTGGACCAGATTAGGCTCGTAGACCAGAGTAGGCTCGTGGACCAAAGTAGGCTCGTGGACCAGAGTAGGCTCGTGGATCAGAGTAGGCTCGTGGATCAGAGGAAGGTTCGTGGACCAGATTAAGCTGGTGGACCAGAGTAGACCGAGGGACTGGACTATATACAGTCCAGTATCATATTCCCACGAGTTCTCACAAGTTACCCGAATGAACAATAGTTATATCCAGACACGATCCACAATCGTTTGTTCGTTAACGCAAGTTTCCTTCACCAGGGTAGGTTTTTTCGCGTTTGCAGAAGGCAATCAATAATTTTGAATTAAACATTAGGGCTGGAGTTGCTAACAGGCAGCCCGAGACCATCACCACATTCCCTCCAACACGCCCACCTAAAACTTGATCTGGGTTAGTGTGCAGTTACAACTTGCTAAGTTGCCAGACACAGCTTGCTAAGTTGCAAGGCATAACTTGCTAAGTACAACCACACATGATCATACAACACACGGCATAATATACGACACTCCATAAAATCACTCCATGTACAAACAAAACAAACCGTGTTTACAAAGACTCAGAACTCACAGCCCGACATAACACAGCGCTACACAAAACCATACACACACCAACCATACACACAAAACTATACACACACCAACCATACACACAAAGCCATACACACACCATACATATACACACACCAACTATACACACAAAACCATACACACACAAACATCGTCTCTCGTGTGGGGGTGACCGAGGCTACTGGGTTCGTCCCGCCGTACTGCTCTAAACACTCTTCCAAATATCCTTTTTACCTGATATAAAGAGGAATGTAATTAACAAAATCAACTAGAGTTTATTGACCAAATTTCCTTATAATTCATAATTCAAAATGGTCACATGCACAGCATTCGTCTATTGTTAAAAATTTTCATGGGGCAAATTGACAATTTCATGTGTAGGAGCATAAAAACTCACCGTATGGTTAATAAATAAAACAAAATATGACCCATGGAAAACTTTTGTCGAATTCTTGATTTCTAGCGTTCACTGCGGCGGGATCTCTGGCATGTGGATCCCAGTTTTCGCCATAGCCTTTGACGAGGCTATAAATGGCAGTTCTTTATCTAAGACGTTTAATTCGAGATGAATAGGTTTTTTAGAATATCAACACAAATCTTAGAACTGCATCAATATTTGCGTCCTTTCTAATTTGTATTTCTCTTGAGCATCCATGTTTTTTGTATTATTATTATTATTTAATATAATAGGCTGTAAATAACATGAATGTAACCGCATTGCGTTACTGCCCTTTTTCAGATGTTCATGGAAGGTAACACGGCCGTCCTGGACATCAAGGAGACCTATCCAGAGGACACAGGTACCTTCACCTGTAGGGCCACCAACACTGCCGGCCAAGCCGAGACCTCCACCATGCTCACGGTTAAAAGTAAGAACGCCTAAGATCGTTCTATAGAGATGCCTCGTCCCCCCCCCCCCCCCCCCGTACCTCTTTGACGCAGTGTGGGGGATAAACTGTCCATATGGTTGCTCGCCCTTTTCTTGTGTCGAGTGTATGCGTTCATCTGTTTCCTATGGTGCTCTTAGTTTTTATCGTAATAATTCAATTTGCAATGTAGTGAATGAGGTTTACAGCGAGCTGTGACACCAAACCTGTATGTATGGGCACTTTTATGTTAGTGAACGGCGGCAACCATGTGAGACACGTTGGCAGTAGAGACAGTCCCCTCAACCGGCTTGTGTCGGTTCTCCCTGCCCACCCCCACACTACGTTCACACACACTCATCATCCCCTTCAACCCCCCCATGCTCACCCCCAGTGTTTTCTTGAACCCCCCCCCCACTCTTCAGTCACCCGTCCGGCCCCTTAGTTGATGCAGAGGCTAAATACACCCCCTTATGGCAACCCCCATTTTGTCGCAAGAAACTATGAATGGAGATTGCCAGTATTAGGATTTCATCCTTGTCTCTGAAGTCTGTCTGTTTCAGAATTTGGCACATGCGATTTGAATTTATTGTTTTTGTTAATTGATGCAGAAAGAGTTGATAAAACGAAGGGTATTGTGCACGATCAGACACATTGTGAACAGTAATAATTACGTGGAAATGGTAATAATTCCTTGTGAAACACATAAAAGAAAGCTAAGATTTTATTATACTGCTGCTGCTCTGTATCTAACAACCTTTGAAGCTAAAGTCCAAGCTTTCTCTTACGTACTACCACAAAGGAATCCTTCTGCTGAAGAATACATTTGAATTGTAGGAAATGGTTGTCGACTGATATAACTTTATTACTTTACTTGTGCCAGTTGACCTCTGTGTTTGGTGCTCTACCGTGTACCATGAGTGCTGTATTTCTTGTCTATATACTGAATATTTACCATATAGACTTTCCTTGGACTGTTTAATTGGGCTTCAGTATTAAGCATTATAAGCAAATAATCCTGCTATTTTTGTATGCTTTATTTCATAATTTATTTCTCTATATTTAGAAAATGCTTTTTATCTATTTTAACTGACAAGAATTATTTATTTTCTATTTGCTCATTTAGTTAAGATATTTTTTATCTTTAAGACACTGTCCAGTGGAAGTTTAGACTATGCTTAGGCTGAGATTGTTGAATATATTTCTTTGAGGTTTGGAACTTCAAGCCTTAATGTATAATAACTAAGAGGTGAAGGGATGCATGACTGGCTGTTGCCATTACATCTGTACTGTTTCCTCAGCATGATAAACAATATCTAATAATGTACAAAACTTGGGAAACATAAATAAAATAATCAGTGATAAAAAATCCCAGTTTACATTTCCACGCTTGACATAAAGCTCAAGGCACCTCACCATATTTCCACGCCGTTCCTCTTTATTGCACTTATTGCTGACTCGCCCATATAACGGGGGAGAAATATGTTGGCTGCCTCAGTTTTATTGCAAGTTTTCTTCCTATCATTTGTAAAAATAATGTGTATCGGTGGCGGGGCCTGGTTGGCATCACTTTTAACATCTGGAGTAGTATGCAAAATTGTCTTCCACTACAGATTTCTCACTCTCTGTGGGGATTACCTGTCCTGGTGGTAGTGGTAGTTTATTATTACTGACATATTAATGGGCTTGTGGCCTCCATTATCCCCCACGGCCTGAGGGCTGTGGTGGACCTCTGCTACCAGGGGGTGGAGAGCGGGCCGTAAATATAGCTGCTGCAGACTCTTTCATTGAGAGAGGTTGAGCCGAGGCGCTACACACGCCTCTGTTTACCTTTCACTTTGATAAATACATATCAATTTTATCATTGCTTATACCGCAAACAAACAAATCATATTTCTTTCAAGTGCTGACTTTTATATAAAGGGTGAGTTTCAGTGTGAGGAGAATTATTGGAGAGAACACTGGATTTTGAGTGCATTAATGACTCACAGATGGTTGAGAAACATGTGTGGCAGAGAGACAAAGGCGGCATTGTAGGAGCACCGCCACGTTACACAGAGGAAAGTGCAGGTCTGATACCCCATGGGGTCATTCTGTAGCACCATGCAGGGGTCAAGGCCGCCTCCCCGTGGGCATCCGTATACACATATAAACGCATACATTACTTTTTTATTTATTAATTAATAAAAATAATAATTATAAACAAGAATATTGAAAAATAATAATTATAAACAAGAATATTGAAAAATAATAATTATAAACAATAGTAGTGTTTATTTTCTACAAGGCAATATAGGAGAACAACACGATATATAACATTTGATGCTAACAAATGATGACAAGAGTATGAGGTGATGAGGTTAAATGTTACACACACGGCGCCTCAGGGAGCGTGACAGGGCATCTCTTTCATCTATCAGCTAATGGATGAGAGCGTCGGAAACGTCACAACCATTGAGGCTATCTGTCCGCACTCCAAAGAGAGCAACCTTTCTCAGTAGGTACCATATGGGCGCGAGTTCCGTGTAAGAACGCCCAAGTGATAGCGGGAGAGAGAGAGAGCTTGTGTGTGGGGAGTGGTGGGGACGGTGGGGTTTAATTTTAGTTTGCGCCAGGAGGTAAGTCTCCCCCTGCCGTCTTGCTCCGCCTTGGTGGCGGCTAAAGCTGGCTCTTTCTTACCTCCTAGCCCGGTAACCCTTATGATGGATATCACCAACTAACGTGCAATCATGGCATGTAAAATGAAACAACAGGTTTTGCATTTCATTAGTTGGAAAATATAAATTACTCAAAAGAGCATTGATTAATCGCTTGCGACTCAGCAAGAGAGTTCGAGGAAAGGTGGTTGGGAGGAAATGATGTATTTAATGGTCATTAATGCAACCTGTGAGGTAAAAACCCATCGCGGGTGATGAGTCAGGAGTGCCACGTGCAAGGGGGAGGATGAATCAACATGAAGGACAGGCCATGTTAGGAAGTGAGCCGCCGCACATGTTCAGTGCTCGTGGCCCCGGAGCGCGCCCGCAGCCCGTCAAGCAAGCTTTGCGCAGATGGACAGATCGCCATGTTGGGGCCCAGGTCAAGCCACCTGTTTAAACGCTACTTATGGTCTACTTTTTTAGCATGCTAGCTGGACGTGGGTGGAAATGAGTGCTCAAAGGCTATTGTAGGAGAGAGATAATGGGTTGTTGGTATGCAGGGGTGATGAAGTTTGACACAATTGGCACTCAGTCGTGACTTATGGAAGTGGAGAACGGTAGCATTTTCATGCTAGTGGTTGTAGGGCTGGTGTTGAGGTAGCAGCATGGGTGTAGAGGCAGTGGGGACAGGGGTAGAGTTGTGGTAGCTGTAGCGATGTAGAAGTAGTGGAGAGAGAGGTGATATGGGAGGAGTAGTAAAGTAAAGTCATATACAGTATTTAAAGTTTTATTGTTATACAGCAAGGGTTCACTGTGTAGGTTGAACTGAACACGAGCACAACCATAAATGAACAATGATAAAACATACGTTTAATTTATTCGTAACACAAAAATACAAAATAGCAATAAATAGGTCTTACACTAACATTGATGAGAATATATATATATATATATATATATATATATATATATATATATATATATATATATATATATATATATATATATATATATATATATATATATATATATAACAGCACAACACCTTGAAAAGAACCTCTGAGACAAGTTAAGCTTAGATTAGTCTAGGCTAGGTTAGCATGGCTATATTAGATTATCTTAATTAATTTGACTTAAGTTGATGTTGATTAGGATAGGTTTGCTTAGGCTTGGTTAGGTTGGATAAGGCTAGGTTATCTTAGTTTAGGTTTGGTTAAGTAAGATTAGGTTAAACTAGATTATGTTAGGTTAACCGAAGTTAGGTTAATCTTGCACATTGCTACGTGCTCATCCCTGCAGAGAAACTGGTTTTGAAGGTTGTGAGGGATTACCATAGTGTTGTTATGGTAATAGAGATATGGCATAGTAGAGGCAGTGGGAACAGTGCTGATGTTGTGACTGATGTAGTATAGAAATAGTTGTGATGTGAGGATCCATCTGAGGCTAATGGTGCTGTAGGAGTATTGTGGAGGGTCGCAGGCTTAGAAGGAGCTTGCGGGAGGGTTGCTGGGTTAGAAGGAGTTTGCGGGAAGGTTGCAGGGTGGTAAAGCCGCAGGGCAAGTGGTAGAGGTAGATTTATTAGTGGCGTGTCAGGGGGAGGCGGTAGAAGGGTTACTGTTGTATTTTGAGATTGGGGGCGCGAGGGAGGGGGTGTGAGATGGCGGGAAGCGCACCACCTTACGCCCCCTTGGTCACGTGTATATATAGTAGCGCGGTCACCAGGCTGATGTTCACCACCCAGACCAGGTGGACCCCACATGGTCGCTCCTCCTCCCGCCTATCTTCTGCTCTCAGTCACTCACCTCTTACAAACATTGACAATAGGGGTGATGTGGTGCTTGAGAGGTGTGCGCATGCGCTTTCAACTCAGGCACTTACCACGTCGTCTTTCCTGTAGATGCGTTGACATGACTGATGCCACTTAAACCCCGACGATAGACTTTCACGAACATTCATTAGTATATAGCCTCTTTTTTCTGTCGTTCCATGCACCACACGAGCCATGTGTTGTTTTATGGAGCGTCTAAATCATTTAAGATTTCAGTTATATATTACGTCGTGCTGTGACCGCAGGTATAGATACTAGGCTCCAAACAGCCAGTTTATATAATGAGGTTTATAGAATCGTAGTCACTAATGATCGAAAAATTTATTTTCAATACGTTCGCGTACCCGTTTGATATATTAGCAAGGCTTGCAGCTAATGTTGTTTAACATGGCCACTCTTTATAAAGTATATTTGTTGTCATTACTACGTGGTAACCAGTCTCTCACACATATGAATACAAGCAAATTCTCTCTCTCTCTCTCTCCTCTATCTCTTTCTCTCCTTTATTTCTCTCTCTCCTCTATTTCTCTCTCTCCTCTATCTCTCTCTCTCCTCTATTTCTCTCTCCTCTATTTCTCTCTCTCCTCTATCACTTTTGTTTCTCCATCTCCTCCATCTCTCTCTCTCTCTCTCTCTCTCTCTCTCTCTCTCTCTCTCTCTCTCTCTCTCTCTCTCTCTCTCTCTCTCTCTCTCTCTCTCTCTCTCTCTCTCTCTCTCTCTCTCTCTCCTATTTATCTTTCTCCTCTATTTCTCTCTCTTCTCTATCTCCTTCTTCTCTATCTTTTTCTCCTCCATCTCTCTCTCTTCCCTATCTCTTTCTCCTCTCTGTCTGTCTCTATCTCCTTCTTCTCTATCTTTTTCTCCTCCATCTCTCTCTCTCTTCCCTATCTCTTCTCTTCCTCTCTGTCTGTCTCTCTCTCTCCTCTTCCCTATCTCTTCTTCTCTCCTCTCTGCTCTGTGCTCTGTCTCTCTCTCTCTCTCTGCTCTCTCTCTCTCTCTCTCCTCTCTCCTCCTCTCTCTCTCTCTCTCTTCTCTCTCTCTCTCTCTCTCTCTCCTCTCTCTGTCTTTCTCCTCCTCTCTCTCTCTCTCTCTCTCTCTCTCTCTCTCTCTCTCTCTCTCTCGCTCTCTCTCTCTCTATCTCTCTCTCTCTCTCTCTCTCTCTCCCCCTCCTTTATCTCTCTCTCTCTCTCTCTCTCTCTCTCTCTCTCTCTCTCTCTCTCTCTCTCTCTCTCTCTCTCTCTCTCTCTCTCTCTCTCTCTCTCTCTCTCCTTATCTCTCTCTCTCTCTCCCTTTATCTTTCTCTCTCTCTCTCTCTCCCCCTCTCTCTCCCCCTCTCTCTCTCTCTTTATTCTCTCTCTCTCTCTCCCCTTTATCTTTCTCTCTCTCTTCTCTCTCTCTCTCTCTCTCTCTCTCTCTCTCTCTCTCTCTCTCTCTCTCTCTCTCTCTCTCTCTCTCTCTCTCTCTCTCTCTCCCTCCTCCCTCTCTCTTTCCCTCTCTCTCCTTTATCTCTCTCTCTCCCTCTCTCTTTCCCTCTCTCTCTCTCTCTCTCACACTCCCATCCTTGTATAAACATCCTCTGCCAGAGTCACGCGCACAACCTACCCTCTGACACAGTCGAGCCCACCTACACTGTCCATCTGTGTGGCTGTTGAGTGACAAAGCCGCACATCTGCACTTCAGCGCCACAACTCACACACCTCCCGCCCGTTGGTGAGTCCCGGGAGCCAGGTGGCGAGCCTCCCCGAGGGCTGACTGGCGCCTTGCCACCTGGGAGGCCGCAAGGCTAAGCCCAGATGCAATCCTCACACAAACATTATCATCTCTTAGTTGCTTAAATTTAGTCGAAAGAAACCTGCTGGAAAGATACGTTGACACAGCTGTTTCTTGTTTATTCCGATTGTTTTCATCTTAAATATTTGTTCTCCAAGTCATAGGAGTAAAATGAATTTATAAAACTATATGATAGGTAAATTTTCCTCGCCAAAACTATATTGGAATTAAGGTGCAGTGCTAATTTGTTATTACCTTTCATGGTTCATTTGACTTAAGTTCTGCGATGGCTGAATCTTGGCCAAATTTGGAGTGCATAATTTAAGTGCAGGTGAAGTAATTAATGTGACGAGTTATAATAGTCTCCCGGGGCACAGGATATTAGCAAGGACATTTATTTTGGAAAAAGGCTTCACTTGAGTTGAATATTTAGGCATTATTGCGGTTTGTAGTTAACACACACAACCCACTCTCACACACACACACACACACACACACACACACACACACACACACACACACACACACACACACACACACACACACACACCTTCCTCACCCAAACTCACACACACAACTAGGTGTGCACAGTTTTTGCTCTTCTGAATATTTCATTGGAGCTCAAGTTATGTGCGTATATCCCATTGCCTAAATATGCGATACATTGGGCAAACCTTGACACCGATAACGAACATCACACAGTATTCGTGTTACGAACAGCACAGCATATATATTCCTGTTATGAACGCCACAGTGTATATACCATTGTTACGAACCGTAGGGCATATTCTCCTGCTATGAACGCAACAAAGCACATACTCCTGCCAGAACGCCGTAGGAACCGCGGCGTTCAAAATTTGCAGCTGTTGCAACTGAAGCAATTGGCACTCCATATTCTGCAAGTTACATTAATGACTTAGTAATATTCGCCACACTTATCAACAGAAAATTTATTATAATGATTCATTAAACTCTTATATCATATCAATAGACTTCCCTCTGAGGAAACAATATATGTGACTCACCTCTCAGGGTAGCTATGTATATGGCTCCTCTGTGGGGAGCTACATGTTACTCATATCAGAGGGGGACCTATATATATATATATATATATATATATATATATATATATATATATATATATATATATATATATATATATATATATATATATATATATATATGACTGACTTCTGAAGGAAGCGACCCAAATATCCCAGTAACAAGGTTACCGTGAATAACCGAACTCAATTACTGGCTCACTATAGCCTATGCTACATGGACATCTTGTTCTGAGTAGCTAAATCTAAAACAACAACAACGACATGCAGGAAGCTACATGTCACTCATATCTGCAGGGATCTACATATATATGACTCACCTCTGAGGAGACCTATATACACATGAGACTCACCCTTGCATAGGAATCCAGCGACTTACCGAGTTCTCTGAAAGCCATTCAAAGTGTTATGACGAATAAGGAGGTGGGAGCATTTACTTACATCCTTGCCCCATATTTGGTTGAATATTCAGTCAAGGGAAATGTCATGTGCCTTTGACGTACAGACTCGCTCTCTCTCTCTCACAATCTGGGCGATGCCAGTCACATTTCCTTAGACATTAAACTAAGGTGACCGACATATTGAAATCTGTAGCCTATGCTGATTGGACATAACTGTGACAGAATTTTACCCTATCATTAGTGTGGACTCATTTATGATTCAATTACAGTCGGGTTAAATGAAAATCCGTTGTGTGTTTCAGTTTATTTTGTATACCAAAATATATAAATAGTTTGCCCACATAGAAATGACAATATTTTGGTCCTCCCAAAAATATTACACGAGGCAAAATACTTGTATAAAACACACTGTTACTGGTTAAGCCTAAAACACTCAAGAGAATACTTACTTGTGAGTAACACAGCAGAGATAATCTGGAGTGATAGACGCAGAACACATAGTTGCAAACATGTATATAAAGATACGATAAGGATAATTCCTGACGAGGCTATGGCTCCTGGTGAGAGAGTCTGGTCCATGCGCACTTTTGATAGAAGCCTCATCACCTGATGCAGAAAACATATGTATATTAAGCGTGGTAATACGTCCGTGAAACTACTTCCAACACAAAACTAACTTATATTTACCAAATTCAGTCACGTGTCAAATGTAACTTTTACATGCACACTGTAAATGGAAAACTCTTGAAATTAGGCCAAAATTTAATTATTTTGTGTCCATGACTGACTTAAGAGTGTTGTATTGCGAGGACGAGACATTAACAAATATATTTAAGCTCAATAATCTATGCCACTAGAAAGGTGACTAAATACACCATGGGATGAGTGCGGACACAAGTGTAGTAGCTGCAGGTTGTGTAGCGGGTGTTGTGGGTGTGTCTCCACCAGCCGCGGCTGCTCGCGGGGTCTCTGCTCCTCTCCACCACCTGCTGAGAAAGCAAACCAAAAATCATAAGCAAGGTCGTGCGAAAATATTTTGCGACATAATTCGCCTGAAGGGCACCGTTAATTTTACCCCCTGACCTTGATACTACCCAACTATATTTCCCGACAGCACGCCAGTCATTATCACGGTTCAGAATTATAATGTACATGCATTTGCCTGAGGAATTTGTAAAAAACATGGATATAATGATCTGTACAATTTCTAATTTTATATGAATATTTAACCTCTGGGGAGTTTCACACAAACGCGCGCCATTGGTCTTATGATGAAAACAAATTTTTGGCAGGGTTCTTAGACCGCTACCTCGAGAATATGGCCTGACTGCAACAGCTGCCGGAGCCTTATGAGGACATGAGGGAGTTAGGGGGCCACGGTGAGGCCGGGAGAAGGCCAAATGAGGTAATATAACAAGCGACTAATTTTGCTTCGTGGGTGCCTGGGTGCCGGGTCTGTCTCAGTGAGTCACGGATGCTAAGAAAGTCTATGAATCACCTCACTCTCTCCCTCGGGATCCCTTTTAAGATATTATGCACTCTGGACTTAGAGATCAAAATATTTCAGCACTGAAAGAAATGTGTCATGCTAAATAAATGTGATATTTTATGACACATTGATATTTTGAGCCAGCCTAGCGGACTGGCGCCGATATATTTTCAGTCCTGCAAGCAAGCACGGTATATTTTTCTTAATTTAAGTCTTCGTTCACCAGTTTATGATTCAAGATAACTTAAATTCACATAATATTTTCTTCATCATACCTTTAAAACCAGAGCAGCACTATACCTTCAAGATCATACCTTCAAAAACCATACCTCCCAACCTGACACTTATGACAACCATACATATGACTTAACCATACATACGAACCATACATATGAAAGCTTACCATAGTGTTGAGGGTGGTGTGTCACCTCCCCGCCCGGGCCCAGCTGTCAGTGAAGACTATTTGCTGTGTAAACACACTGGCTTTTCGCCACCATGTTTCACTTCTCTTACTCTCTTTGCTTTAGGGACGTATCTATACACGTCTCTGCTTTAGCTTCTGCTGTCAATCTTCCTTTAAAGCTTCCATGATATGTCCCCCGGTTTATAGAGGGCAGTAATATATTCAAAGTCCTTTCAAGATTATCTTTCAACTTTTCCTTCGTTGTTCATTCACGATCACTTCGAATTGACTTCGTCGACCCTCACACCACGAATGCTCCAACTAAACTGAGTTGCTCGAGCATTTGCGGCTGCTGAAGTAGTTCTAGTGGGAGGCAAGCCCGCCCACGTCACAGGTGCCTCCGCCACATTCAGCCAATGGGAGAGCAGCAGGCTATAGCGAGCGCTACAATTGGGTCCTCACCCATGGTGTGAACGAATCATTTGGGACGTCGATGTTACAGAGATTACGTCACTGTTCTAGCACCTCCCACGATACTCATAGGGTGTCCCCCCTCATGAATCATACAGAAGCCACGCACTGACTCATGACACATCTGTGGCTTTTAGACCTTTTTTTATACACTTTATAGCTTTCGTTGCTTAGGTTTATATCTAAATATAATCTCTCAGGTCTTTGTCGGCCAATGAAAATAAGGTTACTGCGAGCCGGTCTAATGACACAATGCCCTCATGCATCCCTTATGGCGCAAGTTGTGCCGAGTGTGTTGTTGACTAGTTGGATTAATTTCCTACAGGTTCATTTACCGAGGTCGAAGACTCTATCCGGCTTACAAGTCGGGCACAAGAGAGAGAATCACGAAGGCATCGATGGGTTTCTCCAAGTCCCGCCAGGTGGCTGTCTCGCAGCCCGGCAAGGCCCTTCAGAGACACAAGCGTCCCTGGAAGTGATGCACATCCTCGCTTTAGACAGAGAACTGAAGAAGACATAGAGAAGAAAAAGAGAGAAACCGCGCCATGGCTACTCGAGAAAAAGACTGAAGATATTGGATCAGCTGCATCAAAACTTAAGAAATCTACTAGAATGCTGGAACCCAAAGAACCAGAAAGGTGGACAATTCCTAAGGTCGAACTCAAGAAATCTCAGCAAAGAAAGTTTGCTCCGGAGGAAACCAAGCTTGAGTCGGTTGAGCTTGCACACTTTGAGGGACTCAAGAAGCCGGTACAAGAACCGGGCAAGGAGGGAAGCCCTGAGTCTGACTTCGACGACGATGATTATGAAATTATTTCCGAGGGTGAATATGGCGAGTTTGGTGAAGACGAGATACCAGATCAGGCGCCAAGGAGCAGAGGAAGAGTTCATAGGGAACTGACAAAGGAAAGATATCAGCGGAAAGCAAAGGACACTACACAGTTAAAGGAAGGGAAGAAGCCAGTGTATCGTAGAAGACGAGTGAAACCTCAAGAAGGTACTGATGAGGAGGTTCACTTAAAACCAGTCAAGTACACACCAGAAGCTCCTGAAGGGGATGAAAAGCCGCATCTGAAGCCTTTTCAGAAAGTGAAATCTGAACCAGAAGATACGACAGATGGGGAGATTAAAGCTCCTCTGTGGAGAGTCAAGAAGCTTCCTCAACGACAAGAGGAGAAGGAAGGTGTCACACTTAAACCTTTTAAAACTGACAAAGCCAAAGAACCGGAATCAGTCTCTCTGGCCGAAGAAGTTCCTGAAGATGGCTCTAAACCTGATGAGGAAAAAATCCATGAACCAGAAAAATTGAAGCCAAAAGTTGGTAAGAGGCTTCCTAAAGACAAAGAAGAACCAGAGAAATTTGTGTTGCCAAAGGTGCAGCTCAAGAAAACACATCGCTCTCACCTTGTTCCTGAAGACACAACACTTGAAACTGTGGAGCTCACGCATGTAGAGAAGCTGAAAAAAGTGAAGACAGAGAAGGATCAACGTGATCTGAGCCCTTTACCTGATAAGGAAATGTATCGTTATGAGGAATTACTCGATGACCACCAAGTTTCCTTGGACACTTGGGAAGAGATAAAACGAAAAGAAATAGAAACACAAGAACGCATTGAAGACACTGACACATATCAACGTAAGCCCAAAGAGCAAGCTTCTGAAATCGATGAAGATCGTGTCATGAAATTAGGAAAGGGACGGTGGAAACCAGAGGAAAAATTGGAGCAGATTAAGTTCAAACCAGGAAAGCGCCTCCCTAAACCTTCGGAAGAGGAACCAGAAATGCCTCATTTAAAACCATTTACAAAGAAAATTATAACACAGGAGGATGAGAAAGACCAGGTATCTCTGAAGCCTGGTAAAAGACCAACAAAACGTGTCCCTGAAGGTGAATCTACAGATTTGAAACCATATGAGCGTACTGAAGTAGACATCGCTGATAAAGACGAAGTAGAACCTCACAAAATTCACAAATCAATCTATGAGACTGAGCTTCTTAGAGAGGAAGAGTCTAAGATAAAAACAGATCTGACAAAACGAGAGGAAGAGGAAGAAATATCAAAAGTGCCTTCCTGGAGAGTCAAGAGACTTCCCCGAAAAGACGAGGAAAAAGAAGAGGTGGTGTTGAAACCCTTCCAGAAAGGAAAGCCTGAAGAACCTAGATCAACTCGAAAATTAAAAGTCGGTAAGCCATACGAACCGAAAGCTTCTGAATCCGAAAAAATTGAGAATGAAGAGTTTCTTGATGAATTTATTGAAACTGATGATAAAATACAGGATGAGTACCAAGAGAGCATAGATGAAACAACGACGAAGCCTTATCCCTTCAGTAAACCACCTGACTCTCAGGAGGCTAAATTAAAGCCTCATAAAAGACCAGGGATTCAAGTGCCTCAAAAAGAAGAATTCACAATTCCAAAGGTCACACTTAAGAAAACGATACCAAGAAAGTTTGTCCCAGAGGAAACCACTCTTGAATCTGTAGATCTTGAGCACGTGGAGAAACCAAAGAAGCCCGAGCCCACAAAGGAAAAGCGAGAATGGAGTCCAGTGCCAGACTATGAGACATATGCTCCAGACGAGCTGCCGGAGAGGGAACCTGTCGAACTTGAGAAACCTGATACATTTGAACCCACTGAAAGGACAAAAGATGAGAGGGAGCAAGAAAAGGATAAGTATCAGCGCAAGCCAAAGGAAAAGACAGAATATGAAGAAGAAAAGAAGTTGAAACTTGGCAAAGGTCGGTGGCCACCAGAGGAGGAAGAGGAACAAATAAAGCTTAAGCCAGGGAAACGCTTGCCTTGGCAACCTGAAGAGGAGAAAGAAGTACCACATTTGAAACCCATACCCAGGAGAAAGCCGGAGACAGAAGATAAAGAGAAAGTGCCTCTGAAGCCAGGCAAGAGACCATCCAAAGACATTCCAGAAAGAGAACCAATGGAGCTGCAACCATTCGAGCAGGTCGAGCGAGAGATTCCTGACAGAGATGAGGTACAACTAGAGGAACCTCTCAAACCTAAGTCCAAGCCTAAAAAGAAACCCATCAGTGAATCTGACATGCCAAAGCCATTTGATACAGTGAAAACTCCTGACGATGAAATTAAGCCAAGGAAAGAGCGAACAAAGCCAGACAGGAAAGAAGAGGAAAAAGAGTCTCCTTCATGGAAAATTAAGAGGATTCCTCCTAAAGAAGAAGTTAAAGAAGAAATTATTTTAAAACCATTCACTAAGGATAAACCTGAAGAGCCTAAACCGGCTCGAAGGCCCAAACCTGGCAAACCATACGAACCAGAAGTTCCCGAGCCAGAGAAAACCCCTCTGGAACCATACAGGAAAACTGACAAAGAAAAGGTTAGTGAACTTGAACGACAGAGAGATCTAGAGGACTTGAAGGTTGATGAAACAGTGACAGATATTAGAGAAGATGAGCTTCCTGTTCACCCAGACAAGGTTCAGGCAAAGCCCGGCAAAAGACCTCAGAAAGAAAAGCCGCAAAAAGAAGAGTTCTCAATACCCAAAGTGGCATTAAAGAAAACGGTGCCAAAGAAGTTTGTTCCTGAAGAAGAAAAGCTCGAATCGGTAGATCTTGAGCATGTAGAGAAACCAAAGAAGCCCGAGCCGACAAAGGAAAAGCGAGAATGGAGTCCAATGCCAGACTATGAGACATATGCTCCAGACGAGCTGCCGGAGAGGGAACCTGTCGAACTTGAGAAACCTGATACATTTGAGCCCACTGAAAGGACAAAAGATGAGAGGGAGCAAGAAAAGGATAAGTATCAGCGCAAGCCAAAGGATAAAACAGAATATGTTGAAGAAAAGAAGTTGAAACTTGGCAAAGGTCGGTGGCCACCAGAGGAGGAAGAGGAACAAATAAAGCTTAAGCCAGGGAAACGCTTGCCTTGGCAACCTGAAGAGGAGAAAGAAGCACCACATTTGAAACCCATACCCAGGAGAAAGCCGGAGACAGAAGATAAAGAGAAAGTGCCCTTGAAGCCAGGCAAGAAACCATCCAAAGACATTCCAGAAAGAGAACCAATGGAGCTGGAACCATTTGAGCAGGTCGAGCGAGAGATTCCTGACAGAGATGAGGTACAACTAGAGGAACCTCTCAAACCTAAGTACAAGCCTAAAAAGAAACCCATCAGTGAATCTGACATGCCAAAGCCATTTGATACAGTGAAAACTCCTGACGATGAAATTAAGTCAAAGAAAGAGCGAACAAAGCCAGACAGGAAAGAAGAGGAAAAAGAATCTCCTTCATGGAAAATTAAGAGGATTCCTCCTAAAGAAGAAGTTAAAGAAGAAATTATCTTGAAACCATTCACTAAGGATAAACCCGAAGAGCCTAAACCGGCTCGAAGGCCCAAACCTGGCAAACCATATGAACCAGAAGTTCCCGAGCCAGAGAAAACCCCTCTGGAACCATACAGGAAAACTGACAAAGAAAAGGTTAGTGAACTTGAACGACAGAGAGATTTGGAAGATTTGAAGGTTGATGAAACAGTGACAGATATTAGAGAAGATGAGCTTCCTGTTCACCCAGACAAGGTTCAGGCAAAGCCCGGCAAAAGACCTCAGAAAGAAAAGCCGCAAAAAGAAGAGTTCTCAATACCCAAAGTGGCATTAAAGAAAACGGTGCCAAAGAAGTTTGTTCCTGAAGAAGAAAAGCTCGAATCGGTAGATCTTGAGCATGTAGAGAAACCAAAGAAGCCCGAGCCGACAAAGGAAAAGCGAGAATGGAGTCCAGTGCCAGACTATGAGACATATGCTCCAGAGGAGCTGCCAGAGAAGGAGCCTGTCGAACTTGAGAAACCTGATACATTTGAACCCACTGAAAGGATAAAAGATGAGAAGGAGCAAGAAAAGGACAAGTATCAGCGCAAGCCAAAGGAAAAGACAGAATATGGAGAAGAAAAGAAGTTGAAACTTGGCAAAGGTCGGTGGCTGCCAGAGGAGGAAGAGGAACAAATAAAGCTTAAGCCAGGGAAACGCTTGCCTTGGCAACCTGAAGAGGAGAAAGAAGCACCACATTTGAAACCCATACCCAGGAGAAAGCCGGAGACAGAAGATAAAGAGAAAGTGCCTCTGAAGCCAGGCAAGAGACCATCCAAAGACATTCCAGAAAGAGAACCGGTGGAACTGGAACCATTCGAGCGGGTCGATTCGGATATTCTTGATAAAGACAAGGTACAACTGGAAGAACCTGTCAAGCCTGAGCCCAAACTTAGAGAAAAACCGTCAACAGAACCTGGACGGCCAATTCCATGGGAGGAAAAACTTGAGGAGGAGGGAAAACCTAAGCCAAAGAAGGAGAGGACAAAGCCAGAGAAGGAGGAGGAAGAATCTGAATTACCCTCATGGAGAGGCAGGAGATTACCTCCCAAAGAAGAAGAGAAAGAAGATGTACAACTGAAACCATTCGAGAAGCCGAAACCCACAAAGCCAAAACCAAAACCTAAGCATAAACCAGGCACACCATATGAGCCTGAGATTCCTGAGCCAGAAAAGACTCCTCTTGAGCCATATGATAAACCGAAAATGCAGATTACTCCTGACCATGAGCCTCAACCTGTAGAAGATGAAGATGACGAGAAGCTTCCATCAGATGAACAACCAAAACTTAAGAAAAAGGCAGTTAAGCCAAAGAAAGATGAAGAGGAAGAGATTCCTTCATGGAGAGGTAAAAGACTTCCTCCTAAAGAGGACGAGAAAGAAGAAATTACGCTAAGACCATTCAAGAAGGTAAAGCCCAAAGAACCGAAACCAAGTCCAAAGCTCAAGCCTGGTAAGCCATATGAACCTGAAATCCCGGAGCCAGAGAAAAGTCCCCTCGAGCCATACTCCAAACCTGAAAAAGAGGTTTCTGACAAGATTCCTGAACTTGCAAAGGAAGTTTCTAGGAAACCTGAGGAACCAGAGAAGCCTGAAGAACCAGAGAAGCTTGATGAATCAGACAAAAAGCCTGACGAATCTGAGACAGTAACACAAAAGCCCAAAAGGAGACTTCAGAAACTAAAGGCTCCAACTGAAGAAAAGTTTGAAATACCAAAAGTTACTCTCAGAAAAACATCTCAAAAAGTATTTGTACCTGAAGAAGTAACACTGGAAACTGTAGAGCTTGAGCATGTTGAGACACCTGAGGTAGTTGAACCTGAAGTTGAGAAGAGGGTATGGAGTCCTCCTCCGGAGTATGAAACTTATGTTCCAGAGGAAATACCGGAGAAAGAACCTGTAGAGCTAGAGAAATACGAGAAGTATGAACCTCCGACAAAACCAAAAGATGAGGAGGAAGAAGATAAAGGTAAATACGAGCGCAAACCTAAAGATAAACCTGAACCAGAGGAGGACAGGAAGTTGAAGCTTGGAAAAGGTAAATTGAGGCCTGAGGAAGAAGGCGAAGAGAAGAAATTAAAACCACCAAAACGTCGGCCAAAGTCTCCAGAAAAGGAAGCTGAAAAGCCACAACTCAAGCCTATTCCTAAGAAAAAGCCAGAGGAAGAAAAGAAAGATAAAGTAACTCCTAAGCCTGGTAAGAAACCTTCCAAAAAGATTCCGGATCGTGAACCAGTGGAGTTGGAACCATTCGAACGAACAGAACCAGAGATTCTCGACAAAGACAAGGTACCACTGGAGAAACCTCTCAAACCTAAACCGGAACCTAAAGAAAAGCCTTCAATAGAACCAGAAGCTCCAAAGCCATTGGAAGAAAAACCTTCAGAAGAAGAAGAACCAAAACTCAAGAAAGAAAGGCCAAAACCAGAGAAAAAGGAAGAGGAACCTGAAGTCCCTTCATGGAGAGGTAAGAGGTTACCTCCTAAAGAAGAAGAGAAAGAAGAGATTGTACTAAAACCATTCAAAAAGGAGAAACCTGAAGAACCGAAACCTAAACCAAAATATAAACCAGGCAAGCCGTACGAACCTGAGATTCCTGAACCAGAAAAGACTCCTCTTGAGCCATATACTAAACCAGATAAAGAAAAGGTTCCAGATGGTGTGACTGAACCTGTGAAGCCGGAAGATGAGGAAAAACCTCAGCCTGAGGAAGAGATTAAGCCTAAAAAGGAAAGAATAAAACCAGATAAAGATGAGGAAGTTGAAACACCATCGTGGAGAGGTAAAAGACTTCCTCCCAAGGAAGAAGATAAAGAAGAAATTACGCTTAAACCGTTCAAGAAGGAGAAGCCCAAAGAGCCTAAACCAAGTCCAAAAATCAAACCAGGAAAGCCGTATGAACCGGTAATCCCTGAGCCTGAGAAACCGCCTCTTGAACCTTACGAAAAGCCTGAAAGGGAGAAAGTTCCTGATCAAGTTCCTAAACCTGAAAAGGAGAAAGTTCCTGAGCAAGTTCCTGAACCAGAAAAGGAAATATCTCCTAAACCAGAGAGAGAAGAGAAGCCACAACAACTTGAGAAAATACCAGGAAAACGAAGGAAAAGACCTCCGATGCTCGCAGCTCCAATTGAAGAGAAGTTTGAAATACCAAAGATAACACTCAAGAAAACAACACAGAATGTATTTGTACCTGAAGAAGTTACCCTGGAAACTATAGAGCTTGAGCATGTTGAAACGCCTGAGGTAATTGAACCTGAAGTTGAGAAGAGAGTATGGAGTCCTCCTCCGGAGTATGAAACTTATGTTCCAGAGGAAATACCGGAGAAAGAACCTGTAGTGCTGGAGAAATACGAGAAGTATGAACCTCCGACAAAACCAAAAGATGAGGAGGAAGAAGATAAAGGTAAATACGAGCGCAAACCTAAAGATAAACCTGAACCAGAGGAGGACAGGAAGTTGAAGCTTGGAAAAGGTAAATTGAGGCCTGAGGAAGAAGGCGAAGAGAAGAAATTAAAACCACCAAAACGTCGGCCGAAGTCTCCAGAAAAGGAAGCTGAAAAGCCACAACTCAAGCCTATTCCTAAGAAAAAGCCAGAGGAAGAAGAGAAAGATAAAGTAACTCCTAAGCCTGGTAAGAAACCTTCCAAAAAGATTCCGGACCGTGAGCCAGTGGAGTTGGAACCATTCGAACGAACAGAACCAGAGATTCTCGACAAAGACAAGGTACCACTGGAGAAACCTCGCAAACCTAAACCGGAACCTAAAGAAAAGCCTTCAATAGAACCAGAAGCTCCAAAGCCATTGGAAGAAAAACCTTCAGAAGAAGAAGAACCAAAACTCAAGAAAGAAAGGCCAAAACCAGAGAAAAAGGAAGAGGAGCCTGAAGTCCCTTCATGGAGAGGTAAGAGGTTACCTCCTAAAGAAGAAGAGAAAGAAGAGATTGTACTAAAACCATTCAAAAAGGAGAAACCTGAAGAACCGAAACCTAAACCAAAATATAAACCAGGCAAGCCGTACGAACCTGAGATTCCTGAACCAGAAAAGACTCCTCTTGAGCCATATACTAAACCAGAAAAAGAAAAGGTTCCAGATGGTGTGACTGAACCTGTGAAGCCGGAAGATGAGGAAAAACCTCAGCCTGAGGAAGAGATTAAGCCTAAAAAGGAAAGAATAAAACCAGATAAAGATGAGGAAGTTGAAACACCATCGTGGAGAGGTAAAAGGCTTCCTCCCAAGGAAGAAGACAAAGAAGAAATTACGCTTAAACCGTTCAAGAAGGAGAAGCCCAAAGAGCCTAAACCAAGTCCAAAAATCAAACCAGGAAAGCCGTATGAACCGGTAATCCCTGAGCCTGAGAAACCGCCTCTTGAACCTTACGAAAAGCCTGAAAGGGAGAAAGTTCCTGATCAAGTTCCTAAGCCTGAAAAGGAGAAAGTTCCTGAGCAAGTTCCTGAACCAGAAAAGGAAATATCTCCTAAACCAGAGAGAGAAGAGAAGCCACAACAACTTGAGAAAATACCAGGAAAACGAAAGAAAAGACCTCCGATGCTCGCAGCTCCAATTGAAGAGAAGTTTGAAATACCAAAGATAACACTCAAGAAAACAACACAGAATGTGTTTGTACCTGAAGAAGTTACCCTGGAAACTATAGAGCTTGAGCATGTTGAAACGCCTGAGGTAATTGAACCTGAAGTTGAGAAGAGAGTATGGACTCCTCCTCCGGAGTATGAAACTTATGTTCCAGAGGAAATACCGGAGAAAGAACCTGTAGTGCTGGAGAAATACGAGAAGTATGAACCTCCGACAAAACCAAAAGATGAAGAGGAAGAAGATAAAGGTAAATACGAGCGCAAACCTAAAGATAAACCTGAACCAGAGGAGGACAGGAAGTTGAAGCTTGGAAAAGGTAAATTGAGGCCTGAGGAAGAAGGCGAAGAGAAGAAATTAAAACCACCAAAACGTCGGCCAAAGTCTCCAGAAAAGGAAGCTGAAAAGCCACAACTCAAGCCTATTCCTAAGAAAAAGCCAGAGGAAGAAGAGAAAGTTAAAGTAACTCCTAAGCCTGGTAAGAAACCTTCCAAAAAGATTCCGGACCGTGAGCCAGTGGAGTTGGAACCATTCGAACGAACAGAACCAGAGATTCTCGACAAAGACAAGGTACCACTGGAGAAACCTCTCAAACCTAAACCGGAACCTAAAGAAAAGCCTTCAATGGAACCAGAAGCTCCAAAGCCATTGGAAGAAAAACCTTCAGAAGAAGAAGAACCAAAACTCAAGAAAGAAAGGCCAAAACCAGAGAAAAAGGAAGAGGAGCCTGAAGTCCCTTCATGGAGAGGTAAGAGGTTACCTCCTAAAGAAGAAGAGAAAGAGGAGATTGTACTAAAACCATTCAAAAAGGAGAAACCTGAAGAACCGAAACCTAAACCAAAATATAAACCAGGCAAGCCGTACGAACCTGAGATTCCTGAACCAGAAAAGACTCCTCTTGAGCCATATACTAAACCAGATAAAGAAAAGGTTCCAGATGGTGTGACTGAACCTGTGAAGCCGGAAGATGAGGAAAAACCTCAGCCTGAGGAAGAGATTAAGCCTAAAAAGGAAAGAATAAAACCAGATAAAGATGAGGAAGTTGAAACACCATCGTGGAGAGGTAAAAGGCTTCCTCCGAAGGAAGAAGATAAAGAAGAAATTACGCTTAAACCGTTCAAGAAGGAGAAGCCCAAAGAGCCTAAACCAAGTCCAAAAATCAAACCAGGAAAGCCGTATGAACCGGTAATCCCTGAGCCTGAGAAACCGCCTCTTGAACCTTACGAAAAGCCTGAAAGGGAGAAAGTTCCTGATCAAGTTCCTAAACCTGAAAAGGAGAAAGTTCCTGAGCAAGTTCCTGAACCAGAAAAGGAAATATCTCCTAAACCAGAGAGAGAAGAGAAGCCACAACAACCTGAGAAAATACCAGGAAAACGAAAGAAAAGACCTCCGATGCTCCCAGCTCCAATTGAAGAGAAGTTTGAAATACCAAAGATAACACTCAAGAAAACAACACAGAATGTATTTGTACCTGAAGAAGTTACCCTGGAAACTATAGAGCTTGAGCATGTTGAAACGCCTGAGGTAATTGAACCTGAAGTTGAGAAGAGAGTATGGACTCCTCCTCCGGAGTATGAAACTTATGTTCCAGAGGAAATACCGGAGAAAGAACCTGTAGTGCTGGAGAAATACGAGAAGTATGAACCTCCGACAAAACCAAAAGATGAGGAGGAAGAAGATAAAGGTAAATACGAGCGCAAACCTAAAGATAAACCTGAACCAGAGGAGGACAGGAAGTTGAAGCTTGGAAAAGGTAAATTGAGGCCTGAGGAAGAAGGTGAAGAGAAGAAATTAAAACCACCAAAACGTCGGCCGAAGTCTCCAGAAAAGGAAGCTGAAAAGCCACAACTCAAGCCTATTCCTAAGAAAAAGCCAGAGGAAGAAGAGAAAGTTAAAGTAACTCCTAAGCCTGGTAAGAAACCTTCCAAAGAGATTCCAGACCGTGAGCCAGTGGAGTTGGAACCATTCGAACGAACAGAACCAGAGATTCTCGACAAGGACAAGGTACCATTGGAGAAACCTCTCAAACCTAAACCGGAACCTAAAGAAAAACCTTCAATGGAACCAGAAGTTCCAAAACCGGTCGAAGAGAAACCACCAAAAGAAGAAGAACCTAAGCCTAAGAAAGTAAGAAAGAGGCCAGAGAAGAAAGATGAAGAGCCCGAAGTTCCTTCCTGGAGAGGTAGAAGGTTACCTCCTAAAGAAGAAGAGAAAGAGGAAATTGTATTAAAACCATTCAAAAAGGAGAAACCTGCAGAACCAAAACCAAAACCCAAACGCACGCCAGGTAAACCTTACGAACCTGAAATTCCGGAGCCGGAGAAACCTCCTCTTGAGCCATACTCAAAACCCGAAAAAGAAAAGTCACCGAAGCCTGAGGAAGTGCTGAAGAAGCCTAGCAAAAAGCCCAAAAAGATCAAGGAAGCTGAACCCAAGAAACCTCTGGTTCCTGTTATGGCTACTGAAGTGCCAGAAGAAGCTAAGGTTGAGGAAACAAAGGCTACACGAGTTGATATAGAACTGACTGAAGTAGTGACGAAGAAGGAGAGCGTTGTTAAGTCAGTTAAACGGGTGAACCAGAAGCCGAAGGACATCGAAGTCATTCCACCATCCTTCTCTCAGTTCCTGGAGCCGATTATCACACAAACCTCTCACAAATCAGTCTTCAAGTGTGAGGTGAAAGGCTACCCTCCACCTGAAATTAAATGGTATTTCAACAGATTCGAAATCATACCTAGCCCCAACAGGATCATCTGCTACGAAGACAGGGTATCGACCCTGACCATCGTGCGGACCACAGAAGACGACGAGGGCATGTACTCATGCGAGGCGGTGAACGTGGCAGGGAAGGCAACCACTATTGCCAACTTAGTGCTAGAAGGTACAGTCCAGATGTGTCTTTGTGGCTGCTGCACGAAGCTGTAGGAGGATGATTTCGTCTTCAAATAACTTGATTAACCTTTTGAGTTGTGTTTTGTGTGATTTTTTTTCTACTATTTTGAGTTCGATGTTGTCGATATAGATCTAAAATTGTAATTATGTTGTGTAAATATGTCTGTTTATTGTAAGATCAACTCTTGTATATATTGTTAGAAACTGTGATGCTCTTTTGAACCTGTAATATTAGTTTACCTCTAACCATACTTGTACATTTTCTTTGTTTTAAATAATAATAATAATAATAATGCTAATGTACATTATATTATTAATGCTTGTATGTTTGGTGTTGGTAGTTTGAGGAACTTCATTGTTGTAAATAGTAATTATAATAACGACAACTTCATGTCCAAACCACACATCAGAAAATGGAGAAACGACTGGACTATCATATTACTTGATAATGCTCGAGGACGGACCGAAACGTCGTCGTCTCCTCGTCTTCTGATGCATGGTTTGGTCATCATATCTACAGTTTGGTCATTATATCTACGTTATTGTGACTCATTGTCTGCAATAATTAATTTATTATTAATGCTTTTTAACGTTTCGTGTTGTAGAGTGTGAAGATCTGTTATTTACTGGTTCATATGCTATTTATATGTTTATTGTAAGCCATTTTCACTCAAAATTGTATTGCCAAGACAAGGAATATTTGGACGTAAGGTGAGTGGCGAGTAGGACCTCTGGACGACCTTCCTTACTGCTGTAAGTTACCTATATGTAGGGAATAAGTCTCTCTCTCTCTCTCTCTCTCTCTCTCTCTCTCTCTCTCTCTCTCTCTCTCTCTCTCTCTCTCTCTCTCTCTCTCTCTCTCTCTCTCTCTCTCTCTCTCTCTCTCTCTCTTTTGTTCATGAGCAGAGGCCTTATGACTCCTCTCATCACGCTGAGAACTTTCCCTTCCTATTTCTCATGGTAAGTCTTACCCTACTAATTTCCCTAGAACACGACCCGCCAATCGGTTACAAACCAAGTACCCAGTTATTGCTGGGTGAATAGCGGCTAATGGTTACGGATTGGCGCCCAATCAATCCTCTCTGGGTTGAAATGGTGCCGGTTGTAGTAACATTGTACATTTTGTGTGAAAACAATGAAGCCAAGATTTCGACTTTAGAAAACTAATTACCACATCGGGAACACTCAACTCTGCAGCTGGGTACCTACATACACAGTTTGATTGTTGTTTAGAAGTGCATCTAATGGTAATAGTGCATCTAGTAGTGCATCTAATAGTAGGGCATCTAGTAGTGCATCAAATAGTCACTAGCTACAGAGGCAATACTAGTGTTCACCAACCACGACTAAGAGTAGCAAAGAATAATTCGCTACTGGTCTGGAGGTCGACCTCCAAGCCCTCTGCTCCTTACTCTCCAATCATGCCTTCTACAAGATCTCCGTTAGGAGTGGTAAACATAAACAAGTTTGGCGTGTATGTGATAGTGAAACCCGGCAGCGGACCACCGTAGTCTTCTACACGCTGGCTCGCTTACGGGAGCATGGGTCAGGTGGGGATTTTTTATTATCACATATAACCAGTCATCTAGTCTAAGGTGTCCCAACAAATGTCCAGGTTCCCTTATATAAAATAATAATAGTGAGAGCATCTGTTTTTCACATATACTTTACGTAGAGAGTTTCGCTAGTAGAGTGGCAACCTTCTCGACTACAAATTGAGGATTCCGAGTTCGATCCCCAGGGGAGGGGGTTGGCGGAAATGGTTAGGCGCGTTACATTTCACCCTGATTCCCCTGTTAACCTAGCAGTAAATAGGTTCCTGGGAGTTAGACAACAGTTGGGGGTTGAATCCTGGGTCAGTACTTTGACCTCGATATAAGCCTAACGTATATATATATATATACAGGCTTCTTGTCCCCAACAAAAAAGAATCATACGTACTGTCGTTTTTCTTGTTATTTATATAAAAATATAGGAACAAGTAGGTCATCACGTTTAGTACGAGAAATATTTACTGGCGTTTTGCAAAGATATCGGAAACATAAGTTTCAAGTATGCAACAAAATCCACATAAAAAATGAATGAATAAAGATGAACAGGTTTCGTAAGTGGAGACATGAATGCTTTAAAGTCCTGGCCGTGGTTGGTACTGATGGAAGCTTTCTGACCTTTGATCGAAGCAGGACATGTTGCTCCGTTGAGAGCGAGCCAACACCCTCCTGACGGAGAGTTGTTGTTGTTGTTATAGATTCAGCTACTCGGAACAAGTTCCAAGTAGCACGGGCTATGGTGAGCCCGTAACTTACCTGGCACAGGAGCGGGGCAAGTAGCCACGGGCTATGGTGAGCCCGTAGTGGACTTACCTGGCACAGGAGCGGTGCGTGACAGAGATACACGGCGTTCATCCCAGCAAGTACTAGGCCAGGATAACTAAACAATCACAGACTTCTTAAACTCCGGGTGCCCCTCGTCTCACTATATACCAGCGTGAACCATGTTTGGTGCGCAGTACTGATGGAAACAACGCTTAATTCTGTGATTTACATGCCGCTTATATTTTGGTTTAAACGCCGAGTTGCTAATCTTAGCTTCTATCATCTAGATCCCTTGTAGGGATCCTGCCTTCCTATGTGTTTCCCTAAGCGTGTTTGGGAGCTCATGTTTGTGTATGTATGTGTGTAAGTGTGTTTTCGTGCACTTGTGAATACATACAGAAACACATACATACATTTAAAACTGTTAAGTAAATATGATGGGTTATGGTGAAGGGCGCCACACCCTCCCTAGCACATTTTCCCGCCCACCCGCCGAAATATCTGGGCGCGCGCTCAGCCATTTCCCGCCACACCTTACACTAACAGAACACCAACCATGCGTGCAGGGCCTTGCCAACTACCCCACTCATTGTTACTGTAACCAGTGTGTGTGTGTGTGTGTGTGTGTGTGTGTGTGTGTGTGTGTGTGTGTGTGTGTGTGTGTGTGTGTGTGTGTGTGTGTGTGTGTGTGTGTCATTATTCGTCTCCTGAGATGGCCTTGAATTTGGGAGCGGTCGTACAGTCTTACGTAAACGGTTACATTCAAATATTTGTGGAGTGGCAGAAACTGTGTGTATCTTGGATGTTTGTCTATCCTTCTTGTTCTTGAACCCAGAATAACTTAGATTATTCTTCGCATCCCATGTGTAGATGTGCATATCACACACACATACACACACACGCACACACACACACACACACACACACACACACACACACACACACACACACACACACACACACACACACACACACACACACACACACACACACACAACACACACACATCCCCAGGAAGCAGCCGTAGCAGCTGTCTAACTCCCAGGTACCTATTTACTGCTAGGTGAACAGGAGCAGCAGGGTGAAAGAAACTGCCCGTTTGTTTCCGCCTCCGCCGGGAATCGAATACGGGCCATATGGACTACGACTCCCAAGCGCTGTTCACTCAGCCGCGTGGCCCCGACGTGTGTGTGTGTGTGTGTGTTAGATAGAGAAATGTATGTAGTAGATATGATAGAGGAAAATAGATCGGGAGTGAGTACATTAGACTGCCGACGGTTAGAAAGGCGGGGTTCCAAGAGCTAACAGCTCGATCCTGCAGGGACAGAGAGTAAATACACACACACACCCATACCAATCCCACTCTCGTGTGACCATCTAGGTGTCTATAAGTACCTGTATATATTGCTTGTGTTTAAGAATGCACACATGTGGAGCACGGGTGGGACACGAACAAGGGGACACAGGTGGAGACTGAGTACCCACATGAACCACAGGGACGTTAGGAAGAACTTTTTCAGTGTCAGAGTAGTTAACAGGTGGAATGCATTAGGCAGTGATGTGGTGGAGGCTGACTCCATGGACAGTTTCAAATGTAGATATGATAGAGCCCAGTAGGCTCAGGAATCTGGACATCAGTTGATTGACGATTGAGAGGCGGGACCAAAGAGCCAGAGCTCAACCCCCGCAAGCACAACTAGGTGAGCACTTGTGTGTGAATGAACATAGCTGTCATCTGCCGGCTTAAGTTACTGGTGCGATACCTTGCCTAGTCGTCCCTATTTCTAGTTTTATCCTAGTCGTGTAAATAAAAGACGTGTCGTGTAAATAGTCGTGTAAATAAAAGACGTGTCGTGTAAATAGTCGTGTAAATAAAAGATTGAACAAATCCACAAGGGCCGTGGCGAGGATTCGAACCTGCGTACAAGGGGGCATCCCAGACGCTGCCTTAATCGACTGAGCTACGACATATATCAAACATATACCATGTGTAGTGAAATAATAGATTATTTCACTGTTTATGTGTTGGCATGGCAACAAGTAAAACAATAACATTCGTCGGTTGTAACCCAAATAACGCGGCTCGGTCTATAATTGCAACATATTTGATCTGCCGGCGCCCCCTGGCAACGAGGAGTGTGTCACAGGTTGACGTTGGTGGGTGGGGGGGGGGGTGGTCTGTGTCGAGGAGGGGCGTCATTGTGGTCTTGTGTGTGCACAGGTGAACATCTCAGGGTATTGATTAACACCATGACCTCAAGACCATCGCCTAACACCGTCTTCCGCCAGCAATAATGCTTTCGTGGCTCTGGAGTAAGTGTGCACCACCTTCTTCTCTCTTAATCCGTCACAATAATTGTGTTGTCAAATTTGTATCAGTGAAATTATATCTTGGCAGACTGATTTGGGACATTAGAGCTAGGGAATTGTGTAGATTATCACACCCCGGATGACTAATGTGAGATAGTTAGAGCCATTGAGAAAGTTGGAATCTTTTTTTAAGAACGGATTAATGAGACGATTTACAGTTTCTAAGGTTATGCGTTTTCTCAGGGAATACATAGCAGGTACCGTCCAGTGCCCTGTAGTTTGTTTGATATATATATGTAATTAAGGAAGTGTAATATGTTTGCCTTAGAAATGTTAATTGTTTAGAGGGCTCGCCCGGACCTGCTGCTTTGATAGTTATCTATGCCTCTAATCTTTCTAACCGCCTCCCTGAATTATATCTTGTAGCGACCGAGCCTGCATCCATCTCCTCTAACCACCCACCTGCATCCATCTCCTCAAGCAACTGAACCTCGATCACTCGACATTGATTGTATTTCATTTTAGTACGATGGTTTGGTCTTATGGAAGGTTGCGAAACCAAGCGTAGGGACCTGCCCGTAACGCTCCGCGTACTAGTGGCTGTACAAGAATGTAACAACTCTTGTATATATCTTAAAAAGAAAAAAATAATCATCCCCTCAGGTGTAGACGTCCCAAGTCCAAGTTCCTTCCAGCTCCACCAAGGAGCACTTCTCTCAATCTACTAACTGAAGGATGAACAACGTACTGCCAGCTCTTTAGGTTAACATACTAGAAACTGTAAACTGATCTAGCAAGGAGATGATTAGCATTTTATTTTAGATGAACAAAGGCATCAAATAAAAGAAATTTTGTCCATTTGTTCCTGTATCGGCCTGGATATCCTGTAATATCCAATATTAAAGGATATCCATATTACAGTATTACATATCCTGTAATATTACCCACCGTCAGCCTCGTGTGTAGCTAAATCTACGTAACCGGACGTAAATCAAGGTGGTAAGGTATAGGACAAAATTAAGGGTCTCATACCTTAAGTCGTGTCCTAAGACTTAAGCTGGACAACATCTCCTTAGTGCAATGAAGGAAGGAAGGCTCTATGAGGAGAAAGTGCCAAGCCGTTACGACTAAACAGCACTTGGAAGGAATCAGGATAAGGATTTGGGATGGGACGGGGGGAAGGAATGGTGCCCAACCACTTATGGACGGTCGGGGATTGAACGCCGACTTGCATAAAGCGAGACCGTCGCTCTACCGTCCAGTGACGTTCAGACCGTCGCTCTACCGTCCAGTGACCTTCAGACCGTCGCTCTACTGTCCAGTGACGTTCAGACCGTCGTCCTACCGTCTAAAACCCTTAAGTGGCTGGGTTTTAGCTGTCTTGTGGTTCGCTTAAATAATATTATGTTGCGTCGCAAGACTCTAAAGATGTATTGGTTAGTTTGACCAGGTGAGATAGACTGCAGTATGAGTTACCTTAGGTGGAAGGGAGGAGGGGGAGGATGATGGTGTTGCTGACTGAATAGTACAAATGACTTGACCTCTGACCTTACGACAAGCCTCACTATCTACTCCCAGAATTTCGTAATTTGCGTTAAAATAAAATATATTTTGCATCTTTAATTCATTCTTTAACCCTCGAAGCTGACGCCGGCGTTAGTATAATCTTGGCTGGGAGGTGAGGCTTGGCACAGGGCCATGTATGGCGGTGCCAGGGAAGGGTGCCAGTGCCGTGTAGAGGCTCTCAAGGGCAACCGGACACTTAGTGGGGGGGGGGTAACCTTTTGCCTCGTATCTTGAAGCAAAGGTTCCTCCTGCTGCGTATATATTGCTTCTCACACAGCAATAACGATGATGCTAAGTGGCCACAGTTAACGTCTGTGTGTAGATGTTACGAAGCCTCTCCAGTTACATGTTACACTTTGTAACACTTTGTAACACTTTATAACACTTTATAACACTTTGTTACACTTTGTCGTGCATGGAACTTCGTGTCATACCTTCCGTACCTTCCGAAGTCATACCTTCGTGTACGACACGAAGGTATGACTATACAGCTGGGTGGTTGACCGCTCATCTGTGTATCTGTATGTGTAGCTCACTGTTGCTCTGTATACATGTGTCTGGGGCCAGAAGACTCTGGGACGATATGTGTCTTTGGGTACCTTACTGTTGGGTTGTATATCTGACTGAGTACCTTACTGTTGGGTTGTATATCTGACTGAGTACCTTACTGTTGGGTTGTATATCTGACTGAGTACCTTACTGTTGGGTTGTATATCTGACTGAGTACCTTACTGTTGGGTTGTATATCTGACTGAGTACCTAACTGTTGGGTTGTATATCTGACTGAGTACCTAACTGTTGGGTTGTATATCTGACTGAGTACCTAACTGTTGGGTTGTATATCTGACTGAGTACCTAGCTGTTGGGTTGCATATCTGACTGAGTACCTAGCTGTTGGGTTGCATATCTGACTGAGTACCTTACTGTTGGGTTGTATATCTGACTGAGTACCTAACTGTTGGGTTGTATATCTGACTGAGTACCTAACTGTTGGGTTGTATACCTGACTGAGTACCTAACTGTTGGGTTGTATACCTGACTGAGTACCTAACTGTTGGGTTGTATACCTGACTGAGTACCTAACTGTTGGGTTGGATACGTGGGTGGATGGGTGACTGCTGGGTTGAATATCTGGATGAGTAGTTGATCGGGCAGCTTAATGGCTTCATGGGTTGTTAACTGTTAAATTGGATAGTTGAATGGGTAGCTGAATCTTTAGTTAGATGCCTAGATAATGGGCTCGCTGAGGGTTTGAATGCTTACTTGAATGGCTGTCCAACAAGATAGCTATGTGTGCTGGTGATTGGTTGTCCAATTGCCAACACGCACAGTCTACTCGCTCCCGTTGCCCACCATGGTGTATGGCAAACTGGCAAGTATAAGGTCTACCAAATATTTCCATTTGCGTAATTTTTCTCCAGCTATTGATTTGTACTTTAAAAGTTGTATGGTTTCATAAAATCTATCTCTTCACATTTGGGTGTTATGATATGGTAGATTGTGAGGTGGGTTATACTACATCCTCTTCTTGCACCACTACTCTTGAGCCATCACTACTTTACCCACCTAGGGTAAAGTAGTTTATCCACCTGTACCACGTTAACCACTAAGCTACGTAGTAAAGGTAAGTGTCGGCACTAAGACTCACGGGACACCTCCAGCAGCAACTGGTCAGTGAGTCTCATTATTATTAATTAACAGCCAAGATGTACACAGAATTTTTCCCTGTGCAACCTCCAAAACAATAGTCAAAACCCAGCATCTGATTCTTTTGACCAAATACGGGCCTCCTGTAGTCAAATATGGTGGCCCCTTGTGTTCTTTTTTGTTCAAGAATTATTAAGAACAAATATTAGTTAATTTTTTACCTAAGTAAGCTATAGCAAGACATTCGTGATTAACGATGCATATATTTTACAGCGCGAAAGGACAAGCCTCGTGGGGAGGCGCCCAAGATCTTGGAGCCATTAAAGCCGCTCAAGGTTAAACATGGCTCCAAGACGGTGCTGGAGACCACAGTCAAGGGGAAGCCCACTCCTAAGGTTCTGTGGTATCATCTCGACAATGAAATCGTGCAATCTTCTGAATTTGTGCAGGAGTTCGACGCCACGACAGGACGCGCCGCCCTTATCATCAACGAGGTCTTCATTGATGACAGGGGGCTGTATCGATGTGTTGCTATTAACCAACACGGTCAAGATGAAACAGCTTCATATCTTACTGTAGAGGACATCGAGATGTTAGAGAAGAGTGAATTGCGTCAGGCACCACGGATCACAGAGCCCCTGCAGGCTCAGATAGTGACAACCCCGTCGTGCCTTGACCTGCACGCCCACTACGAGGCCTTCCCCCCACCCACTGTCAAGTGGTATCATCAGGATAGAGAGCTGAAGCCTTCGCGCGACTATGTTATCGAATATATCGAGGACGAAACGAGCCTCCATATTGAGGAGGTTGTCGATGACGACGCTGGCGAGTACGAAGTGAGAGTCTTCAATGAAGTTGGAGAAGCAAGATCAGTTGCCACAGTTATTGTGATTAGTAAGTTAATTAGCGTTGTTGACACTATTATATTATTGTTGTTGTTGTAGAAAGCTCTTGGTTTTGTTTATTGTTCAAGGCATTTCAGATATGTCTTATTGCGTTGGTTTTATATGTATTATTTTGGCTTGTTTCTTTGCACAAGCTTACCACTTTTTATTTTTTAGCTTGTACAGTGAAGGCTTGTTCTCAGTAACTATATTTCCAACAGAACCTGAAGAGGTAATCGAAATGGAACCTCCGAAGTTCATCAAACCGTTGCAGCCTCAAATTGTTCCAGAAGGTGAGGTTGCAATTCTGGAAGCAGAGGTTACTGCTAAACCTCCAGCGGAGTTTACGTGGTACAGACACGGCCAGCTGATAACAGCCGATGAGGAGCTGGAGGTACAGATCACAAGTGACAACAATAAGTCATCTCTTGTTCTTGGGGAACTGTTTGAGGATGATTCTGGTGACTACACTGTTACCGCTCAAAATCCAGTCGGGCGCGCATCCTCAACCGCCACGTTACTTGTAGAGGGTGAAGACACCGAAGACGCTGAACCACCCGCCTTCAACCCTCCCCTGACCCCCATCCGTGTGATGGATGGGGAGGAAGTTCGCTTCACCTGTAAAGTAACTGGGAAACCCACACCCAAGCTGATCTGGTTCCAGAACGGGCGACCTATCGGCCATCACCGTGAAGTGCGGCTCACGCAAGCCCCCGATGGCCAAGCCGGCCTCCAGATCCTCGAAGTGTTCCCTGAAGACGCAGGAGACTACACCTGCATCGCTCGGAACCCGGCCGGAGAGGCAAGAACCACAGCAAACCTCGCTGTCGAGTGTAAGTATCACACAACGATCTCCTTCATGATGTTTCCTCAAATTTGTTTGACAATTGTTCCTGATTTGAATATTTCTGAACATTTTGGCTTTCTTATAATCTTATGAGTATAGGAAAAAACGAAGGTCTATGGGTTTTAATTCACTGAATAGCAAATGAGGCGTTGTTATGAGAAATAATATACTCAGTGTGAGGGAACCACACTAGGAGAGGAAGAAGTGCGTGAGGGACATACAGTAGGGGAGGAAGTACCCCATGAAGGGGATCACACGTTAGGGGGCTGAAATAGTGTGTGAGGATAACATACTAGGAAAGGCAGTGGTGCATGAAGGCAACACACTGGAGGAGGAAGTAGGTAAATCAAACTAACTCCGCACACTAATTTATATATAAATATGATTGTAATCTCGGACATGTTGGACACATGTCCGAGACGATTGTAACATGTTGGACACATGTCCGAGACGATTGTAATGATTGTGATCCGGGACACACAAACACACACATTATAGAGCCCAGTAGGCTGAGGAATCTGTACACCAGTTGATTGACAGTTGAGAGGCGGGAGCAAAGAGCCAGAGCTCAACCCCCGCAAGCATAACTAGGTGAGTACACGCACCCAAAAATATGTATGTTATTAACGCCAATACATACACACACACATATATTATAACCGATGGAATATAAGCAATAAACATATTAATGTTTAATTATCGTATACGCAGCATTGACGCATTTTATAAGTGTTATTTTGTTATTTTATTTCATTATAAAAGCTAATAATTCCTTTGATCATTTCAGCCTACGAATACCAACCGGACTCTGAGGCTGCAACAACAACTTCAGTATCAGATAAGAATGTATTTTCGGGCCCAGCATCTGAGGAAGATGAGACTCTTGAGATTGAGAAAGACACTGAGTCCGACACCTCGGAGGCTGGCTCCTCGCCTTACTTCTGCAACAAGCTGGAGCAGACGATAGAGGTTATCGAGGGGTCCTCCGTCAAGTGAGTCCTTCCGTTTCTTCGACATACTTTTGCTAGTACAGAAGTACATAAATTACTGATGAGTACAGAATTACTCAATTGGATTTTAATGTGTTCAGTATGTATGTAAGCGTATGTTGTAGAATATTTTTGAGAGTTGTGCCTATTTATATATGGGTCCCATCTATATGGGTCCAGGACGGGTCGAAACGTCGTCTATATGGGTCCAGGACGGTCCCAAACGTCGTCACTTTCATTTATTTTCACATGTAACGGAGTTGTTTCTTGTTTTCAGCCAAGTTAATGTGAGTTATTATCTTTATTATCCCAGAATGCTGGTTAAGGCTACTGGCTACCCACGACCAACCGTCTCATGGTACGCAGACGGCACCCCCTTACAGGTCACCGAGGCACTCGTCCTAGAGACCTACGAGGACGGCACGGAGGCCCTCACCCTTCCCTACGCAGTGCTGGACGACTGTGGGGAGTACACGTGTGAGGCCGTCAACAGGAACGGCGTGGACACCACAGTGACCACCCTAGTGGTTCTGCCCGGTATGGGTTTGTTCCTCGTTCACACTCACGCTTTGATAACTATAGCATTTAATTGGATTTAAGTGTTCACTTTGACATGCTAACTATATGATTTCAAGTCAGGAAATTTAAAACAAAAATGTTAATGGTTTTAAAAATAATTGAATACTGTTTCTATATATACATACATATATATATATATATATATATATATATATATATATATATATATATATATATATATATATATATATATATATATAATGTGTGTGTGTGTGTATAGTGTGTATATTTGCCATAATTTTATTTCTTATTGTTATTTCATGTATATATTTCTTGATTTTTGTTTGTTTGTTACGAGATTGATTTTTATGTAGTATTATGCCATATTTAGTTGATAAATTACATCAACTATACAAATCATCTTGTTTGAAAAAAAAATAACAATCTTCGGATTATGTGCAACTATATTTCAAGTTTGTCTTAATTATATGTGGAAACAGCGATGCAGAATTTGCATATCTGATTCCCATTTTGTTGCAGGCATTTCTCAGGGCAGCACTGTTCTCCAATCACGCTTCTGGGAGGCTCCACATTGACCACTGTCTACCTCTCTCTTTACATTCAATACTGTGACATTCTCCACCATAACACGCACACTGCCATTAACTCCATATCATGTAATATTGTGCATCTCTGCATCATTAAGCTCTCATGAAACCATCGGCCTCTATTGCTTGTTGATTTATGTTGAGATATTTTATAATGATTCATATTTTTTTATGCTTACAGGACTGGTGACATTGTTTTAATGGCTCCTAGTTGATTGTCATGTTAATAAAAGGATTTCCATAGCTCATTTATTTAATATAATACAATTATGAAATTTGCTTTCTTTCTATTATGCTTACATTCATCAATCTATTTCCATATAGAAAGCTTTTAATTTCTTGCTTTCAGTACATGAAATTGATAATACATTGGTTTAATAGTAAATTCACTTTGTTAAGAATGTGTTTATTTGCTACTGCACTTGCCCACAGAACACACAGAGGATACATCAAAGTCCTATCGCAAACCAGAATGGGTAACTCGCATGGAAGATCTGAAGCAGGCTATGTCAGGTATAGTGGAGCTCTCTCGTGCACGTAGGAGTGGATCACAGCTTCAGCACACCCAGTCCTTGGAGCCACCAGCAAAGCCTGTGTTGCCGTCCTCTCAGTGTGTGTTGTCAGCCTCTCCACCTGAGCTGCAGTCTCCCTCACCCATACCCACATCCGTATTAGCATCTCCCATTCCTGCATCCTCTACACCCGTGTCCCTCAAGTCCATGTCAGTGAAGCAAAACCTGCCACAAGGCTCCCTTCCCATAGCATCCTGTGTGTCCTCCCTCCCACCTAGAACATTTGTCAATGCTAAGTCTGCTAGTGATACACAGTGTGCTTTGAGTAGCAGTGTAACTAGTGCCTCCATCACCAGCATGTCTGTAGACAGCCTTGAGAGAGCCTCAGTATCTTGTGATCCCTCATGCATGAGCAGTCGAGACACCATCTCAGAGTGTGACGCAGAGTATGGCTCTCAGACTGACGCAGATTGCCAGAGTGATACACAGCTTAATGAATCCATGAGTGATCGCTTAGCTCACGTTGAAGTGGCAAGTTGTGTGTCTCTTGGTGATTTGTCCGTGGGTAGTGATTCCGTGTTTATTTCCGAAACCGAGACCGTGAGTGATGCAGTGAGTCAACAGCCCAGTGTTCACGCCGTCAACCCGCCTTACTTTGTGGAAAGTCAGCACACGCTCAGTACATCCAAAGATCAACTTCTTAGCCCAAATATAAAACATGTTCATTTTAAATTTGATGCTGACACTTCTAGCACATTGTCTGAAGCCGAACGTCAAACAGACTCGCCTAACTTCGCTCAATCTGTGTTATCAAATTACTTAAGCTCGCATCGCAATTCAATATCTCAGGTAATCGAGGCATTAAGCTCACTGGCACAAGCTGATATTACTACGGAAATTGAAATGACAATCGAGCAAAACAAAAAGCAAAAGATTTGCGAGCATTCTCAACAAACTGATGCTGCTAGTGTTATATCTTCACAAGTATTGGAATCTGCATCTATACCAGTTATTGAAATTACCGAACCACCAGTATATACATCTGTTCAACAGATAGAACTAAAAAAGCCCTCAATAAATGATGACAGCTCTGAAATAAAATTTTCGGTTGCAATGCAAATAAAAGAGAAGCAAAAGTTGGTCAATTTGGAAAATAGTGAAATGTCGACTCATCACAACTACGATCTCAAAATCAAAGGAAATAATGATGACCCTCAAATCTCTGACACAGATACACCTGAAAAACTAGAACAAATTGTGTTGTCAAAGCCAACAGAATGTACGGGACCAGAGGTCTTAGAGCCAGCAAAAGGCAGGCAAAACGAAAGTGAAGACGAGTTCCAATCATCTGTAGGTAAAGATCTCACCACAACTAAAACTAAAAAACAGGTAACACCCAGCGCTGTTCCTAAAGTAAAACGTAAGTCTATACTAAAGAACACAACAAGCACACACACATCTTCTGGATTCCAACCCCAGGATGTTTGCTGTCATCATAGCAATGAAGGAGTTAAAATTACTCGTCAGCTTACACCCATCTTAAGGAGAAAACCAATTTTAAAGAAAAAAGAGACTATGGTATCTTCATCCAGTAAACTTGGTGAGAGAGATCATAATTTAAGTAAAAGATCTTCATCTCAGACGGAGAAAAGGAATTCGAAAGAAGAAATTTCAAAGACATGTAAAAATAGATCCCAAAATTTGAAATCTCTGTGCAGGTCATCAGAACAATCGCAGAGACATACAGTACTGAGTTCTGAAGCCCAAGGCACCATTTCCCAAAACAAAACTACAATTTCAAAGGAAAGCGAGAGTGAAACTTCAAAATTATGTGAGAAAACAATTAATTCTGATAAATCGCCACAGCTTCCAGTAACTCAGATTTTTAGAGGATCTACTAGTTTGCCATCAACACCCATTACCCTAAGAAAAGAGCGTCCGTCACCACCAGATAAGTTGCCTTTGCTTATGATACATGGATCTTCATCAGACAGTCTAAGGGAATTAACGATTCCTAAATTGGCAAGTTCAGATGAATCTACTCCAACTTCAACTCCTAGAATAATGCGTAAATCTTCATTAAAATCAGAGGAAAATTTCTGCAAAATACCCCAAAAAGTTTCAAGAGAGCATTCATTTGACAGTCTAACAGAGTGGACAGGAAGTCCTAAAAGAAATGTATGGAGTGAGCCAAGCTCTCCAATGTCAACGCCACAACTAATAAGAAAAACCTTCAAGCAAATCCATGAGAACACAAAAATCCCAATGCCAGTGTATCAATATTCATCAACAGAGGATCTTGAAGATTCAAGCCCACAAGAATCTCCAAAGCAGTCCCGAGAGAAACGTCAGCGAAGTGTGGTTCGACCTCCTAGGGCAATGTCTGTTGACAGAGCAATGGATTTGACTGCAAAAAAGGCCAAAGATGAGAGCCCAAAGACTTCAAGAACATCATCTAGGACACAAAGTCCATTGCCGGTATCTCCAAGGATACAGAGTCCATTGCCGGTATCTCCAAGGATACAGAGTCCAATGCAAGAAAGAGCCACACCATCTGGAGGAGCTGAGAGCCCAACACTTGGTAGAGTAAAGACTCCAGTGCTAGGTAAACTGTATAGTGTATCTCAAGCGCCTTTCAGAATGACAAGCACAGGATCATCTCCAAGAAAAAAAGTAAGTCCTGGAGTAAATACAAAATCATTAGCAAATCAAGACTCGACAAACAAACAGATGCACAGCCCAAAACCAGCACCAAAAAAGTCACGGAGTACATCTGTAACTCCAAAAAGACTACATAGTCCGACTTTAACCCCAAAGAGAACGTCGAGTCCTGCTCCACGAAGCTCCTCACCTAATCCTATAAATAGTTTTAGCAAAACGGGCACTCGTCCGAAAGTTCCTTCCGCAGAATTTTTCCTCGCAAATGAATATAGTGATAGAATTCCAAGCCAGAGATCAGCATCCCTCCCCAAATACGTGTCTGCTTCAGACTCTGAGGATCACTCCAGTTGTGTAGGTATTAGCAGAGCGAAGTCCTCCAAGCACTCACGAAGTGGTGGCATGAGGAGGGCTGATAGTCTTGAGGAATTTCTGCTGCTTGAGAATGAATGCATGGATTAGCCACATGTAGTGAAGGTAAGGACACGTTTATTCCTGCTTTTTTTTACTGCTTGTATTTTTGTCGTTAAAGTATATTGCATTTATTTGAAGAGCTTTCGACTTTCTATGAACATAATTGATTTTTTTTTTGATAAACAGCACTTATCACCATTATAAGCTGCACTCAAATAATGTTATTTCTTAATAAACCTTTCCAACGTAGTTATAGCAGATCGCCTTGATATTAATTTGACTGAAATACTTATTTCTTACCACTTCTTTACTCAATGTATCTTATCTGTAAGAATATGTCTTGACATTGTTTTCCCTCATTATGTTCGCACATATCAAGGTTTCTTAAAATACAGTTTTTCATTTAAAAATAGAAGACCAATAAAATCTGGGAAGCAAAGTGAAAAGTTAGAATTATCAAAATTTTGGTTGTGTTCTATTATCACCTATTTATAAGATATGTCAAAATATATGATTAAACAGTTTCTTTTCCTTGAACTTAATTATATCAGACGGAACTTCTACTGTCATTTCATGTATAAGTAATCTTGGCGTATTATGAAAAAGTGGCTGACACTGACATATGTTAATCTTGAAAAAATTAAACAAAATTTGGAAAATGTCGTGTAACTGTAATAGCAATGGAAAACTTGCAATAATCTGTCCCAATATATTTACCCTAGAAAATAATTCGTCCATGCAATAGGTTCTTCTGTATTTGGGTCACTGTGCCTCAGTAAAAGGTCACTGCACCTCAGTGAAAGGTCACTGTACCTCAGTGAAAGGTCACTGTACCTCAGTGAAATGTCACTGTACCTCAGTGAAAGGTCACTGTACCTCAGTGAAAGGTCACTGCAACCTAAGTAAAAGACACGAAGGTTGCATTCACGCCAACCCAGCATTCTCCCACATGTTGGGAGTACATATAGGAATGATCCTATGCATGTGGGTACACGCACGAGCACAAGACCCTTTATGGAACTTGTGGGTAAAAACTTGCTGCAACTTTAATGAATAAAACTCTTTTCGGACATTTGGCTGGTCCTCGAGTCCTGGTAATATTTAATCTGTGGGACGCAGAGAAGCACCTCATGCCTTCAACAGACCACAAGTATGTGGAAAAAAAATAATATACCCATAATTTATATGACCTAAACATTTAAAAAAGCAAGTATTTTGCCCTCAGACCATTTGTTAATATAGGCCTACACCGACTTAACTATATATGTTGACATGTCTGAAATAAAGGTACATACAAATGTAGTGACAGTAATATTAATTTGCCTGTTTACTACCTGCAGGCGAACCTACTAAACCCAAATTCACACAAGAAATTGTCAACTCACGAGTACGGGAAATGGAAACCATTACCTTCACAGCAACGTTTATTGGTAACCCAAAGCCTGAGATAACCTGGTACCACAATAACAAGATTATACGCCAACATGCATCATATCAGGTAACAAATATTTTTTGGGGGGAGGGCTGAATTTGTAAAATATAAATAAAAAAAGTCCTTGTTTTAGTCCCAAAATGTTTATTTTTTTAGTTTTGTTTTTTGTTTGAAACATTTGCTTCATTTTATGTAGATTTTCAGCATCTATAGAATTATTTAAAAATAATTATTGAAACATATGGGTGAAACTAGTAAACTACATTAATTTAACCCTATTCCACTCTGAATCAGAGCAATAGATGTTGTTCTTATACAGTATATATGGCCTAAAAGATACAGCTTTAATCTTACATAATTTTAATGAAACCATCCACTTTAGTCGTGTGTAGAGAGGAAACGTTTTTTTCATTACAGCACAGTTTACTAGCTAGAAAAAATGAATTTGTCATATCCAATGAATCTTATAAAATGGGAATACTAGTCTCTAACGATTTTTTGTGTTTCCAGATGAGAGTTCGTAACGACAAGGCTATTTTGACCATTGTCCAAGCCAGACCTGAAGTTAAGGGAGAGTACTCCTGTCGGGCTGCGAATCCTGTGGGTGAAGACTTCACCCGGGCCAAGCTGGAAGTCATTGGTGAGTAAAGGCGTTACTCTCGAATGCATAATACTGTGTGTGGGGAAGGGAGGAAGAGGGTAGTCTACTAACACCCTGCTCAAGACAGCCATTGATAAGCACTATGTTCATATCAATTAATTATGAGTAGTTTTATAGGCAGATAGTGTTATGGTGAAGTGGGAGACAGATAGTGTTATGGTGAGTGGGAGGCAGATAGTGTTATGGTGAGTGGTAGACAGATAGTGTTATGGTGAGTAGGAGACAGTGTTATGGTGAGTGGGAGGCAGATAGTGTTATGGTGAGTGGGAGACAGTGATATTATGAATAGGAGTCAGATAGTGTTATGGTGAGTGCGAGGCAGATAGTAGTGGAAAATGTGCAGTAAAGAAAACAGTAATTTAAGATAGAATTATTTTTTATCAGTACATGATTTTAATAATTTTGAAATTGTAATTATGTAAATAATAGAATACACATGCAGCCTACGATGTATTATAAATCATTGAACATAGTGAAAACTACATATTTTCCCATTTTCCTCAGAACTCACCTATGAAGAAAAGATGAAAGTAGAAGATGAAAGATACGCAGCCGTTCAGATTCAACACGCAGCAGAGCACATGAAGGAAAAAGAAAGGGAGCGCGCGCAGAAGCAGAGACAAGTACACCAGGAAGCGATGGAGAGACTTAAACAGAGCAAAGTGGATCGTACAGCACAACGAGAAAAAGAACTAGAAGAGGCTAAACAGAATGTTTGGAGGCCAAAGATCGAGGAAAAGAAAGTCAAGGTCTTCAAGACCCCCAAAGACCGCCGGGTTGCTGAAGTGTACACGAACTGGAAGACTCCCATTGCTCTTGAAGAACATTATCCAGAAATTCAACCAAGTGAATTTGCACCGAACCAGATTCCTGGTGTCAAGTGTTTCGTGAAGGTTTCAGAAACATCTGTCAAGGGTGAAGAAGTTGTTCGAGAAGTTGCTCCTCAGTTCTTTGAGGACGAGCAAGTTATCAATGAGTTGGCCAAAGTACATACAATGTTGAAGAATAATGTTAGGGTTAATGAAATTTGGTCAATGTTCCGAGCTGGTGAGTTTAAGGCTCTTCAGCAACCAAGCATCCAGACTGCTCTTGTTAAGATTTGTGAGCATATTGGTCACCAAAGGAATGTGTCTATTGTACTTGCCCAAGAAACTCAAGAACAGGCTGCGAAGCACCCAGTTGGTCTCAAGGCCTTCTTGCGTATGGTCAAACATGCCAAGAATATCAAACCTGAGACTCTCTTCAATGATGTTATTCCAAGGGAAATGGGCAAGTTCTCTTCAACCACTCAGGAGTTGACCAAGGTTTCTCAGATGATAAACCAAGGAATCGAGACAGAGGAGATTATCGCATACTGCGAAGCGGGCAAGCTGCCTGCGTTGAAGAAGCCGGAGACCCAGCAACCTCTTATCAACATCGTGGAGAAGCATGGACACTCCGTCATGGTTGCACAGGTGTTGGTAGAGGAGGCTTACCGTGATGCAAAGGAAGGTAAGAAATGGATACATCTTTGTGGCTCTTGGAGTATAAGAAGTTCGTGCTTTTTAGTACAGTATAGAGATTGTTTACAGTCACTAGCATTGTTGTACATCATTATGCAGCAGTAAATATAAGAGATTAGACCTTATCTTTCTTACATTTACTGTGACTCATGGAGTCATGAACATATTATTATTGAAGCCTAATATTAGAACACAACAGTATTTTATTGATAAATGTGCTTGCTTTAAAAATAATAAAAAAGAAACGGACAAAATTCGCACTTGTCAAAATGGCACCCAATATATTTTATGGACCGTTCATCATTTTTTTGTTAAATATTTAGTTTTAAAATATTGATGTGAAGTTATGTATTTAAAATACATAACTTCACATCACTTTTGAGATTTCCAGTACACATCAAATTTTGTGTTCGTTAAGGATTGACAAAGAAACAGATACATAAAACATTATACTGTTTTATTCATTATATATTATATTCATTATATAATATATACTATATATTCATTAATATAGAAAAAATACGGTCATTACTGCTCAAAAAATAGTCATGTACAATAAATAGTAAAGTTATAGATAGTAACAACAATTTGACGAGAATTAGCATAGTGAGTAGATAAACAGTAGCTGATTACCTGGTAGAGTAGAGAGAGGGGGAATCTGTAAGTTAAACCCATGATGCCAGTTTTGACTGGAGGAACACGCCTCGCCCCAACAGATAGAGTGTTGGCACAGAAAGCGTGGCAGGTGATCCATGAGCAGGAGATGGAGATCGCTCAGGTATCCGAGACTAAGACAGGTAAGCTCCATCCACCTCACACCTTAAGGTTCTTCTTCTCTTACATCTTCACTGAGTCTAAATATCTACACATTCAGTTCCTGATTATCTAATTATCATACCATTGGGACTTGATGCATGACATGAATGAACAAAGAATTACAAAACTAAAATGTAATCATGACATATAATTGTGTCGCAAGAATGCACCCATATGGTACAATATGGGTGCAAACTACTACCATAGTACTACAGGTACTACTACTACCAAACTACTACTACAAACTACTACTATATATGGTACAAACTACTACCATATGCTTTACGGAAAGGTCAAACAGGAGAGGGGTAAGGAACAAGGTTGGATGAAAGGGGTTTGCAAAGAGACAGTGGATGTATTTTGTATACTGAAATTCACGAGGAGTACTGTACACCTGGTCCTGTACAGTGGTGGATGCTGGTGTGGATGACTGCTGGAGTGTGGTGGTGCTTCTTTATGACTGATGGCGTCTGCTGTATTCATGGTCTGCTGTAACGAATGAACGAAGGGTATATATCTCTAACGTCTATAACCTTCTGTAACTATATTATTCAAGTTCTAAAATAACATTTACAGTTGTTACCAAGACTAAAAGTTATTTATCTAGTTCTCATCAGTTTTTGGTTCTGATGCTCATTCTCACAGTCAGGTATTACAGAGCTAAACTGTTAATGTAAAACGTGTGAGTTGTAAATTTAATCCTATAAAACCCTTGCAAATGATTCTTCATCCTTATAGCAATCAATATAAGAGTAATGTAAACTACCTCTTTTACCTTACTCTGTCCATTTGGGTAATCTTGAATTTCGCCTTGAAAGGTAAGTTAATTATTTTCATAATACTGTGTGTGTGTGCTTTGTTTATAAACATATGACTTTATATAAATTCCTAATGATCGTGGCTGTGATAATGTGAACTAGTTACAACATTCACGGTGGTATAATAATAATGATGAGACTGATATGAAGGAACTGAATGCTGTGAAAATAATAATATACGACCTCACATAGCACTAACTGCAGCACAATACGTTAAGGTACTTTGGGTTTGAAACAATTTCTAAAAAAACAAACAAGTACAGTACAAGACACTGCATGGAGAAAATTAAATGGTATTTGATTCTTTGGTTAAAATTCGTTCCTTATTTGGTATTTTTATTTTAACATTAAAATACATTGCATTATGACATTACAGTTTAAAAAAATTCTTAACGAGAACTTGACTCTTCACAGTTATTGAACAATACCTGAGTATTAGGAAAATATATATCAATACTCTCGAATTGTGTATACAGATGAGACTTATTTTTGTTGGTATAATATTCAAAGCATAACTAACAAGTTATACCATTAACAAAAGGATATACAGAATTAGAATTATCTCCCATTGCTCCACAGGATGCTACTATTTAAGTAGTGCTGTCAAAATAATTAAACTGTATTTATCGTAGTAGATTTATCAAAATATTGAAACATTTACCAAACTCTTCTTCCATGAATATTGGCAAGTCAGTTATAGTTCCCCACAAACGTATTTGTTCGATTCATAAGCTTTAATAATAATTCGGGATGTTAATTAAGTCTCTTCTGTTCCATACATGTATAGTTTATTGTGTGTGTGTGTGTGTGTGTGTGTGTGTGTGTATACATACACTGTATGGGTCATTGTGTATACATGCTCAGTATGATGCATTGTGTACTCACCTAGTTGTGCTTGCGGGGGAGGGGAGGGGGTTCAGTTTTGACTCTTTAGTCCACTTTATACATGTGTGTATGAATACACTGTATGTCTCATAGTGTATATATATATGCTCCATATGACGCATTGTGTATTTTCGTGCACTACAAAGCTCATTGAGTGTATACATACATTGTATGGTTCAATGTGTGTACATATGCATATGCATTGTATGGTTCATTATATGTACATATGCACCGTATGTCCAATTATATGTTTACATTTCACTGTATGGCTTATCGTGTATTCATGCACAGTATGGCTTATTGAGTATGATTAATGCACTCTATGATGGCTCATTATGTGTAAGAATGATTTATATACAGTATGTCTCATTGTGTGTATATGTGCTCTGTATTAGTCTTTGTATGTATACATGCATTGTATGGCTCATTTTATGTAAACATGCATTGATATAATGTACGTATACATTATGTGTATAAGTACTGTATGGCTCTGTGTTGTATACATAATTGCATGTATACCTGCACTACACAGTTTATTGTGAGTACATACATGCTCTGTTTGGTTCTCTGTCTCTATACATACTCTATGATACTTTGTGTGTGTGTATATACCTTCTTTGTATGGTTCTTTCTGTTTATACATACTGTATGGCTCTTTGGGTATATACATGCATTGTATGGCCCATTGTGCTTATACATGGACTGCATGGTTCATTGTGTGTATACAGATGTATGATTCTTTGTATGTATGCATGGAGTATATGGTTCAATGTACACATAAGTACTATGCATGTATTCATAACCCACTTGGGTCACTCGAGCTGGTGGCCAGCTGGCTTTTTAGACTGGCCAGATGACTCTTTAGACTGGCCAGATGACTCTTTAGATTGGTCAGATGACTCTTTAGACTGGCCAGATGACTCTTTAGATTGGTCAGATGACTCTTTAGATTGGTCAGATGGCTCTTTAGATTGGCCAGATGACTCTTTAGATTGGTCAGATGACTCTTTAGATTGGTCAGATGGCTCTTTAGATTGGTCAGATGGATCTTTAGATTGGCCAGTTGGCTATTTAGATTGACCAGAATTGGGTTGTGAATACAGCGATGTATGCTATATAGGAACTGGTTATACAATCATACATGTAAAAACTTAAACCATTTGACCTTATTTTAAACGGTGTTATTTCTGTTTTCTTTTTTTACTTACATTATTGATTCAATTCTTTTGTTTTATATATACAATAAATACTAATCATTTGTTCACAGCTTTAAATCTATACTCCACAGGACATTTATAAATTTATGAATTAGTTACAGTATTATCAATTATTTTACATTTTATTTCTGTTTTAAAAGGTATCTTTTTTCAGCATTTGCATCCATGTTACACACACACACACACACCAATACACTGTGTTGAGGGTGTTGACACATTGTTATTGTGAAGACACTATACACTTCAAAACACAGGCATGAGACAAAATGACACACTATAAATTTACCAATACATGGATACTGTGACGGCACTATACACCTCAAAACACAGGTATGAGGCAAAATAATACACTATAAATTTACCTACACACACATTGATATTGTGAAGGCACTATACACTTCAAAACACAGGTATGAGACAAACTGATACACTATGAATTTACCCACTATGGAGAGAGAGCACATTAACACATCTGTATACTAGAGGAGACCAGTGGTATTGACTCGTGCTAAAACACCTTAACACAACACCTCCTCGTTGCTGGAGGTCCCAGAAACTACACCACTATACAGGTGTAGGTGGCCACTTCCTGCACCAAACTAGACCATAGGGGCATTAGAAAGAATTTTTTCACTGTCAGAGTAGTAGGCAAATGGAATGCATTAGGAAGTGAGGTGGTGGAGGCAGACTCCATTACACAGTTTCAAGTGTAGATATGATAGAGTCCAATAGGTTCAGGAACCTGTACACCAGTTGATTGACAGTTGACAGGCGGGACCAAAGAGCCACAGCTCAACCCCCGCAAGCAGAACTTAGTAAGTACACAACACACACACACACACACACACACACACACACACACACACACACACACACACACACACACACACACACACACACACACACAATTCCATAAAAAAGGAATTTAAGTTAACATTTAGTTCAGCAGAAACTAGACAATCTGAACACAATCATAGAAAGTTTCAACACCATTCAATAGGGACGCAAACCTTACACACATTATAGATAAATATACATTTGCACGTGCTCCATCATATTCTTAATTATACTCTACACTTATTCCAGAAAAAACTACAACTTCTCCATCTCAAGTAAAACTTAAACCAAGACCCACACATGCTACAGAAGAAATTAAACCCACACCAGGTGTAGTAGAATATAAACCAGTACATGTTACAGAAGAAATTAAACCCACACCAGGTGTAGTAGAATATAAACCAGTACATGTTACAGAAGAAACTAAACCCACACCAGGTGTAGCAGAATATAAACCAGTTCATGTTACAGAAGAAATTAAACTCACACCAGGTGTAGCAGAATATAAACCATTAGATGTTATAGAAGAAATTAAACCCACACCAACTCCTGTTAAATTTAAACTAAAACCCACAGTTGTTTCAGAAAAAACTGCGCCGACACTTTCTCTAGAAGCAGAGAGTACACATACACCTGCTGTAACCATGGAGGCAGAGAGTACACTTACACCTGCTGTAACCATGGAGGCAGAGAGTACACTAACACCTGCTGTAACCATGGCAGCAGAGAGTACACATACACCTGCTGTAACAATGGAAGCAGAGAGTACACTTACACCTGCTGTAACCATGGAAGTAGAGAGTACACATACACCTGCTGTAAATATGGAAGCAGAGAGTATACTTACACCTGCTGTAACCATGGAAGCAGACAATACACTTACACCTGCTGTAACCATGGAAGCAGACAATACACTTACACCTGCTGTAACCATGGAAGCAGAGAGTACACTTACACCTGCTGTAACTATGGAAGCAGAGAGTACACATACACCTGCTGTAAATATGGAAGCAGAGAGTATACTTACACCTGCTGTAACCATGGAAGCAGAGAGTACACATACAACTGCTGTAACCATGGAAGCAGAGAGTACACATACACCTGCTGTAAATATGGAAGCAGAGAGTACACTTACACCTGCTGTAACCATGGAAGCAGAGAGTACACATACAACTGCTGTAACCATGGAAGCAGAGAGTACACTTACACCTGCTGTAACTACAG